ATATATTAGAAAGTATAAAGATATTACTATTTTATATTAATTATAATATTAAATTTTAAGCTAGATTTATATTAATAGAGATTAAAACTTAAATAAAATAAGCTATCCTTATAATAGATAAAATAAAAAAACTTTATAAATAATTAATAGAAAAATTATAATTTATCTAGTAATAAATAAAATACTATATAAACTAAAAATAAATTAAAAAACTAACTTTTAAAAGGGGAAATAAAATCTAGTTACTATAAAAGAAACTAGAAACTAAAGACTTTTAAATTAAAACTATATAACTAAATAATAAACTAAATTATAAGAAATTAAAATTATTTTTAATTAAATAAAAAGTTTTAAAAATTAACTATAAACTAAAATTACTAAAAGAAATAAAAAAATATTTAATTTTCTATATAGTACTTTTTAAACTAATATATAGTAATATACCTATAGAAAAGTCTATTATAATTAAACCTAAAAAAGATATTTAAGATACTAAGAAAATTTTTAATTTAATAAATAATAATAATAAGAAAATTAAATATTTAGTTAAATAGAAAAATTTTAAATATAATAAAAATACTTAAAAACTTATTAAATATTTAATAGAAAGCTAGTAATTTCTTACTATATTCTACTAAAAATATTTAAAGAAATTAAAAAATCTAATAATAATAGATCTAGGAGCAAGCTCTAATTAATCTTTAACTTAGGAATAATAGATATAATATTCTTAGTAGTATCCTCCTTAGTAACCTACTCTATCCCTAGACAAATAACCTCTAAAGCCTATTTTTTATATAATTCCTCCTCCTAATATAACTAATAGATTTAGGAAAGTATAGCTTATTAAATATTAATAACTTTCTTAAAAACCTTTTCTATTTTATATTTTTCTTATTCTAAGTAAGATTATTCTTATTCTAAATAATTAACTAAATAAAGTAATATTAAAACTAAAAAATAAAAAGGAAAGATTAGAAAACTTATATATAGAATTAGTAATATTACTAATATTATAATTAATATATTTTAGATAAATATATAAATTATACTAAAACTATTTCTTATAGATAATATAATTTTAAGGAACTTATATATTATAATAGGAAATATATTTAAATATTTTAAAAAGATATTATTAGAAAAGAATATTATTAACTACTTAAATAAGATAATTATAATTAATTTTAAAGATAACTATATTAGGGGAATAAGACTTAGAAATATAATTAGATATAGTTAAGAGAAAGAAAGAAGAAAACTTATTAAGGAAAAGAAAAGAAAATAAGATTATTATAATTAATAGGTCTTTAAAGATAAAAACTAAGGGAGGGGGAGAATTATATTATAATATAGCTATAATTAGGTTATAGGGAAGTAGTATAATACTATAGAATAAGAAATTATATAATAAAGAAGTTAGATAGAACTAAATCTAATTAATTAGTTAAATAGAAATTTAATAAAGTAATTATACTTATAACTAACTAATTAGTTAATTAAGAATATAACTAACTTTAGGAGAGCTTAAAAAGGAAATATCTATATAAGCTATAAAATCTATTATATATCTAGTTTATCTTTTAAGACTTTTTAGTAGTTAATTTAAGTATAATTATACCCCTATACTTAAATATATACTTCTTACCTATATCTTATAAATATTACTTAACTATCTTACTCTACTATTAATAGATAACTACCTTAATTCTATTACTAGTTATATCTATTTAATATTATTAATAGGCTAGTATTAGGATTATAATAATAGTAAAATAAGAAAGGGTTTAGCTTAGTTAATTTAGATAACTTTTTATTAAATTAATAATTTTTAAAAAGGAAAATATTATATTAATTAATATAATATTTTTAATATCTTAAAAATAAGTAAAATATTATAGAAAAAGGGGCTTTTGCTGATATTAGGTATAGTAGAATGATTAGATAGAAGAAATAGTATCTTTTTACCTTTCCTAGTATATTTGAGAAGAAGAAATTTATATAGTATGTCTTTTTAGAAATGGAACTGGAAAGGAGATAGTAGGTATAAGTAGAAATGTTTTTCTAAACTAATTTTTCTATAATTAATGTAAGAATGATTGTTCCTTCTGGACTTAAAAAGGTTATAATCTTCCAATAGTATGTAATCACGCTTTAGGTATACGAAAACACTCACTGCTCTCTGTGTGTTATGTCCATGACCCTCTACTTTTATCCTTCTCTTCATCACCCCGGAATACGTTTCAACACGGATCGTGGACTCGACCTTACCTGTTTGGCTATTAGGCCTCCCATGCTACGGGCTACTAGAACGATGGATGTCTATACTTGCTAGTGTCAATACTATACCCTTAAAGAAGAAAAGAGGAAAGCTAGAGGGAGAGGTGAAAGAGAGAAGATAGGAAAAAGGAGAGAACAAAAGAAGAAGTAAATCTGTTGGATTGTGGGCCAAGGTAGAAAAGACTTAACGTTTGGGTTCCTTCTGAGATGAGATGAATTCGCCAGGCCCGCCACCAGCGCCGGGCCAAAGTCGTGGATCGTGAGGGCGCTCTTGCGGTCCTTGGCGAAGTCCGGGTCGTAGCCGAACGTGTGGATGCGGCCCTTGCGGAAACCGCGCTCTTGCGGCAGCCACTCGGCGGGCCAAAAGGACCGCGGGTCCTCTGAGTAGCTCCACGTCTTCCGCGAGCCCGCGTTCAAGCCGTGGATCTGTGGCAACTCCCTTGTCAGAAACGTCCCCGTATCCGACGTCGCAGAGTATCGAAGCAAAGAGGTAGGGGCCGGGGAAGTCGAACAAAGACAAAATCAACCTCGGGCTCTGATGGTTGGAAACAAAGGTGCAGACCCAACGGGCCCCTCGGGTCATCGGCCCCGACGCGCAGGCCTCCCCTGCGAAGGAGTTGAAACCGGCTGCGGAGGAGGCTCAGTGCAGACTGGCGAAGGCGTGGACACGGGTGTGCGTCCCGGCCAAGGAACGAGGACTGCGCTACTAGAGCTTGCTGTGAAGGCTCTACAGAGCCAGAGCCCGGGACCGGATTCCCGAGGGATAATTGGTACTGGGACGAAAACAAATGAACGCATTTGGGTCGAGTCAGAAATGGATTCTAGGAGGGCATGAAGTCGATGCCAAGTCTGGACTTTGGGGTCTTGTTTTACCTGATCGCGAAATTCCATGGTTCCATTGTCCTCTATATTGCGACAGATAAAGCAAACGAACTTCACGTTCCGTTGTTGTTAAATCCAGCAGCCCCTTCGGTCTGCGACAATCTCGAGAGTCGAGACCGACTGTCACACCGAAGCTCTCAAGTCCCCTCTTTTCGGGGCTTAATCGACAGTACAAATGAAAAAGCAAAGAGCCACAAGCTGTGTTAGGTAGGCATTCGAGAAAATCGTACAATGTTAGACTAGCCTGTGAAATGCAATGAGCGGAACGTTTGCGGAAGCAATAGACACAAGGAGGCAGGGTCGGCCGCGGAGAATCTCCTAAGTCACTGCTAGCCCGCGAAATGAGAATGGCCGCAGCGCAAGATGCGGGCTCGACCCGCCCCCAGCGGTCACGAACGTCACCAGCTAGGCTTTTCTCATCCCGTAATTGGGTGGCACCGCGACCCCTCACACCCATGCGCGTACCATGTAAAGTGTGCAGGATGCGCTGCGGGCTGGGAAAGACCTAGGGCATTGCCATTGGCCAAACCCCAAATATCCTCCACTGCTGCAGAAACTGCGCCTTAGGTAGCACAGCGAATTGTATGGCGTACCGGCTCGTGGATGTTGGCGCCACAGGCCAAAAGCTCGTTGTGACCCAATGCGCCATGTCATGCCGTCTCTCCCTTGCACTCGCTCTAGAGAAGCCGCGTTTCTTGGTAGTCCCTGGCACCGTTGTGAGTGTGACCGGAACTTCCACCTTACCCTCGAGTGCTTTTTCATCTCATATCAGCGGCTACACTCCCTATCCTCCTAAGAGTACGCAATTTCATTCCTAGACTTACAAAGAGGGCAAATGCGTGGCACCCTCCTTACCGACCTCAACGTCAACCAGTAGGGCACTGCGCAGGTGTCCTCGAATCTTGTCCGGTGTGTATCGGCCGGGGCCGCCATCAGCCAGGTCCCGGTGCTTATGATCCTGATTCCCCGCGGACCAAGGCGGAGAGATAATCCTTCCTGCCCAAAGTCGTGACGCTATGGTATGATAGGAAAGCTAAAGCCCGCTTCGTGACTGAATCATGGATGGACAGGGCGTGCTGCGAAGCAATAACTTTCATTCGCCGCCGCCCGCACATGTTTACCCTCAGTGGCCAGTTTGGGTTGGCATAGTGGGAAGGAGAGCCCTCCAAAGGCGGATCTTTGGCATATAGTGAACGAGCTAGTCTATTCGGCTACTTGGTAAGCAGAGGGCTTAGCGTTGAACATAAATAGATTGTACTCCGGAAACTGACGTATAAGTTATGTTTCAAAATTGCGTGGTCTATTTCTCTCCGGCAACTGTTATAGATTCTAGGTCTGTAGAAATAGACAACCTGTATCTGTATAGAATGGCTAGAGATTTGCAAAGCACAGCGCCGACGCGAACGAACGACGGATTTGGCAGAATCTAGATAATCCTCGTTTTCATCGATATTTTATGTCTCAATGTCACACCCCCGGAAAGGGATATCTTGCATCAAACCTGAGAGGATGAAGATGATCTTGAAATCCAGCCCATATATCCAAATTCTAATTGTCGGCATTTGATCCAGTCATCCACCTAACAGTTGAGAACATCCGAGCCACATCCAATAACAACCTTGGTCACCCCGGCACTAGAGACACTCTTACTTGTGCTTCCACAGTATCGTCCAACGTTCTTCGCAATGTGTCAGTTGTATTCTCTCTCATCTCTCTTTCTCATTTGGCAAATCCGGGGCTTCTTACCGCGCCTCCTTTGCAGAAGACAATACAGCAGCCATCATTGGTCGACTCCCAGATCCATGACTTGACGGTGAAGTTGGCATTGTGGGTACCAGAAGTGACGAAAGTACCCTGAATGCCTTGGTAGTTGTCCTCGCTGTAGAGGCTAATCCTATAGGCGGAGGAAGAGCCAACAAAGAAAGCACCAACAAGCAGGATTGACGAGAGCTTCATATTAAGATAGATGAGAATCAGAGAACGACGCTTATATGGGCTACTTCCGAAGAGAATAGGAATCCCAGTTGATAAGGATTCCCAGGAGTGGCATGAGACTAGAAACGCGTCCTCCAACTAACTTTGAAAACTCGTCCACCAATTTATATATCGAACGCTCCGAGTCCGCTAACACAGAGCCCGGAGGGTTAAAAACAGGATGATGCTGTCTCATCGCCTGCATAGAAATATTGGCGTCCCGAACAGGAAAAGTTACGCGAAGGTGCTGCTGAGCCGCGCAAATGGAGTGTTGGCGGGAAAGACGGCCAAAAGGCCGTGATGTGCATGCATGCTTTTCAGCTATCTGGAATTGATTCTTTCCCTCACGGAGACGACGGCTGAACATACAGAAAGGCTACACATAGTCTCGTCAGAGCTGCACGAAAAGATCGATAACTACACTCGATTTTCCCTGCATCCAAGCTGATGTAATGGACATGGCCTTGGTTTTTCAAAGCGGGCAAATGACTCGGAAGAGACAAAACGGGATTCGATGAAACTCGCAGTCGGGCCTGCAGCCCAGCTGATCTCACAACGGCCGCTAAGTTAAGAGGTGTGATTAAGACTTTTCCCATTCTACAAAGGTAATGCTGGATGAAACTTATATACCGCTTTTGTTCAGGTGTCCTCGCCATCACCTAGCCTTGTTTACCCTGGCGAAACCGCATTCCTTGATTCTGTGCGAGTCGATTAGCTGCGTAGGTTCGACCTAGCGAAGTAACAGGTGTTTCTGGCTATTACGGAAATGAGAAGTGCCCGGTCTAGGCAACCGATGTCGTGAACATGGATAATCTCACCTGGCGCCTTGGCCGATTATGAACTCCAAGCCAATGGAGGCATAACGGCATAAACCAAAACCGACAACAGTTACAACAGCCCGAGAAACTGAGGTGATGGATCCGAGGGGCCGCAAGCGCTCCAGTCCTTGTGCGGAGACCTAACCTTACCTATGTGTCTCAAAGGTGGAGGAAGCTTCCGTCTCATCGATTAATGCAGGCCCGAGGGCGCATTGGCCCTTGGCTCTCTGCCTCTGCCTCATATTAAGGTTCAGAGGGTAAAGATTGCCGGTGAAGACCTCTCGCCGAGGGCCCCAACATTATTGTTCTTTGCTATCTAGACTTCATTTTTGCTATGGGGCTTTTTCTCTGCTCTGCTCCCTGAACAGTTAGTAGGATATCAGCAGGAAGGGCACTTACGAAAAGCTGGAATCGAGGTTATGCACATGGCGATCAAAGTCACTCGAGCTTGCCACTTGCTACCATTTGCTAGGAACCGGCTGTTGGATATCTGAGGGAGTGGTCCCAGTCTGCGGTAAGTATTTCACTCGAATAAAGCGTCTGCAATCTGTCATAATAGTCTCCGGCTATCCCATGCCTCTATGCGAGTGCCTCGATGGTGTAACTTAGATATTCCCCCATCACAGGTAGAGAACCAGTTGCTCCATGTAGATGGAAGATGAATGCAAACCTATCCACCCATGTATCAACATCCAGGATGTATACCCTTTCATAATTACCACGCGCATCATATGTCCTATGGAACACATGGCCAACTTCTCACAACCCTTCGCTAAAGGCCAATGAATCAGAGTGGCCAATTCCCTGCTATTTTCTCACATGCAAATAAGCCATTTTGCCATTTGTTTATTCGCTCCATGTATCTGCTGCCCAATGCGGTGCTAACCTAGCTTCCAACTGTGCCTAATAATAACTTGGGTCGAGTGATGGGCCGACACACGCCGAGGAACAAGGACTTAGAGATCAGATCCATCGCCGAGGTCTGGTGTGGCAGTCGTGGATCGACGAGAACAATGGTCTAGTGCTGCATGACGCTGCCAGCATGTCCCTTGACCACGACTTTTCGCTCCGATAGGATGGATGGATTAATAGCCGTGGCTCAACGGGGACAAATTGAAAAAGAAAAAATTAGGGCTTCCCAAGATCCGGATGCTAAATATTCCCGTGGAATGTTCCCCGGGCCACTGATGTCGAGCCAAACAAGCTGAATGTGGATATCCCGGGGCAGGCAACCGAGTCTTCGTCAACATTGCTAACGAACCCTTGCCCGAGCGCCGCTCCTAAGACCCTGTTTGGGGTAGTGGCTCACACGACATCTCATGACCAGTAGTGCCAGGCAATGACAGGGTTCCCATACAGCACACACCGGGTCCACTCGTCTTGGTTGGCGGAACGGCGTTGGTCCATTCAAGGTCCATTCAAGCACACGTATGGGTCCGGGGCCCAACCCGAGGGTCGGGCCGCTTTTTCGGCTTTCCACAAACGAAGAAACCAAGACCAAATCAACGCAGCGAAGGCACACGGAATCGAGACAAATCAATACCCCGTGCCTAAGTAAATCTGAGTCAGGCCTAAAATTCGAATTTTTGTCCTCTTTTCGGGCAGCCAAGGCCGTCGAATGTAGACCCTTACGTAGCGGCCAAGCGAAGGTGTGCACCAACCAAGATGGAGGGCATGACACGGCGTGGCCTGAGACGCCGAAACAACGTCCAATGCATCGGGACGACTTGTTGGTTTTGCAGCGGTCAGTGCGATCGCAAGAAGTCCAACGTCGAATTCCTTTTGCTACCAAGATGAAGTCACCATGCAAACTCCGAACGATATAAGGCCTGGGGTTTTCAGCCAAAATTCAAGACCATTTTCACCAGCACCAAATCAACAAACAAAAGATAACACTAGAACAGGCAACCGGCCAAACGCAGCATTAATACCGGCTCTCATAGATAGGTCTGGTTCTTTTTTGGATATTTTTCACCGCTTTTTCCAACCAATACCTTCACCATTCACCCTTCACACTTTTCACACATCGCGCCAGTCGCCATGCCCGAATACTGGGACCCCGGTCAACTCCTCCAGGTCGAGGGCTACAACACTTCCGGTGCCCTCCGATGCCTCGGCCGCACACGATACAACGCTAGGTGTAACTGGACGATCGACAACCGCGATTCCGATGAAGCCCGCACCCTCCTCTCCACAATGGCCCATATGGCCCCCTCGGCAGTCATGGCAACAGACCTACGACGCCTGGCAGGTCTCTGCCTCTGCAACTACTACCACCAGAACCAGAGGGAAGAAACCGTCGCGAGATGGATGGACGTCGTGAAGAGGGCCGGCGAGCACTACACCAACGCCGCGGCTCAGGCAAGCGAGGAACGAGATGCGCTCGTCGTGAAGAAGAACGTCTATCTCGACCAACTCGAACTGGCCCTCATCGAATCCGGTGCCGAGTTTGAAGATGTCCAGAATCGGCTCATGGAAGCCGTCGACAAGAACACCAAGATGCGGGCCGAGAACTTGGGGCTCCTGCATGAGCGAGAGGGCTTGAAGGAGGCTCTGGACGCCGCGGAAAAGAACAGCAGTGATCTGCGCACCGAACTCGAAACCGTGCAGGGCGACCTTGCCAGGCTGAGCCAGGAGAACGCTGTATGCCGTGGCGAGATTGCCGTTCTCCAGGGAAAGCTCAGCGAGTTCCAGTCTTCCCTCGAGTCCGCGGAGGAGAACAGTGCTCGTCTCCGAACGGAACTCGGAACGTCGCAAGAGAACGCCCTCACACAGAAAGCCGAAAACGACAGGCTCCGCTTGGAAGTATCGCGACTTCTCGAGCAGCTGGATACCCTGCAGGGAGCCCTCAACGCCGCCAGCGAGAACAGCAACAAGCTTCAGACCGAATTAAGCACCGCCTTGGAGAAGCTTCACCGATCATCCTCTACCAACGACCAGGTCCGACTCGACAACTCTGCACTCGAGGAGAAGCTCCGCGAACTCCAGAAGATTTTGGGCAGCGCCGAGAAGCGCGGAGACTCCCTGCAATTCGAATTAAAATCAACCCAGGACAAACTCGCCAGCGCCGACTACGAAAACGTCAAGATGAACCAGGACAATGCCGAACTCTTGCGAAGACTACGTGAACTAGAAATTGTTGTTCAAACCGCGGAGCGACAGGGCGAGGATGTAAAGAGAGAGCTCGCAGAGGTTGGCGGAAGGCTGGCCGAGTCGCAGACCGAGAACGATAAGCTTGACACCCAGAACCGAGATCTAAGGGAGCGAGTTGTCGCCCTCGAGAGGAAACTGGACGAAGCCGATAACGAACGATCGCATCTCGAAACGGAACTTCAGACGGCAAAGGCATACGAGGAACTCGCTGCGCAGGTCCCCGGACTACTGGAACAGATCAGTCAGCTGGAGGGTCAGATCGCAGCAACCTGGCTTCATCGCTTGATGGAGTTGGTCAGAAGAGCCAAAATTAAGATCAAGGCCATCATGAAGGGAGGCCTGAAGAGGCGTGGAAAGAAGGCAGCGAGAGAGGAGGAGGCGAGACGCGAAGGAAGTGTTGTTTAGATTTAACCGGTTCGTTTGAGGAGCAGAAGGGGGCAGAAGGGGGCATAAGGGGGGATAAGGTAAGGGGGACACAAGGTTAGCATATCGGTCATGGTTTCTTGGGATTACTTGGGTCAATTTGTATTTGCATCATGGATTCATCTGCTGGAAAGATATCCATCTCGGTAGCATTGGGCGCGGAAACGTTCGAGGGGGAAGGATGAGAAAGCTCAGAAGGTATTCCGCAAGGTATCATTGAGGCAGATGGTATTTTCTTTTTTTCATTTTGTGGCAGTCTTGGCTCATATTCATTTTCATTTGTACATTTCGGTCATTCATGGAGTTTTGATATTTACTCGCAAGATTAAGGTTAGGGCCAATCGTGATCTTCCTCTCGCTGATCACGACTGTTATAATTATATTTTTCTGTTGGACTAGATCAAATACATTTAATACTCCCGTCACATCCTTCGAAGAACTGTCAACATTGAGGTAAAGAATCAGACAGAAAGTTTTCCATCGGCGATCTCAGAGTCAATCCGGGAGAAGAGGGCTCCGAGAGGACAAGGATTCAGTTGACGTAGAAGATGGTGCTCACGGAAAGTAGGCGGAGAATAAACGGAGTGCGAGGGTCACTAACTAGTTGAAAGATAATGGCCATTCGTTTGCGATAAAAGGAAACGAAACCGGAGGCCTTTTTTTGTCGGGCCTGGTCGCTGCTGAGCTCCCGGGCGAGAGGCTGTTGGAAGACAATAATCGCTGGAGGAAAATATTGAAACAACAATCGGGCACCCGGAAAGAACCGAGGATTGAGTAGACCTGGAGACTGGGCATGGAAGCTAAGTTCTGCCTGATAGTTTATCCACTTCACTACAAACGACTCGGCAAACTGTACGAGAACATTGCCCACACACTACATCACAAAGAGGATCGAAACGGGACAGTGATTCACAACTTAAACTCATAAACATCCACACTGCGTAGACATCCTAGTGATATTGACAGAAGCTGCTAGGATATTGACACAATTAGTATTAAATATCCTTCCCGAACCGGGGACCTTGCGTTCCCGTCCCTGACCCAAGAGGACTGGTTATTGTTACAACACGGGGGCCATTTATCGCGAGCGGTATGCACTAGGACATAACGCCCACGACAAACATTAAATTAAGGTATCGTGGACATCAGAAGTTGCAATTAGATAAGAGCGGCAACGAGACCGGCAGCAGCAAGGAGGCCAGAGACAGCCTTGCCGTTGGCCTAGAAAGGGGAAAGAAAACGTTAGCTTCGCACTTCCGGACTAGGATTTAACATTAGAAACACAATTGATCACATACAGCATTGACAATGACGGGGGTATCAGAGCCGGAGGTGCCGCTGGGGACGGGGCCGGAGCCGGTGCCAGAGGCGCTAGCGGAGGCAGAGCCGGTGGGCTCAACGCTGGTGTCGTCGCTGGCAGTGGGTTCGGGCTCGGGGTCCTTGGACTCGGTGGGCTCGGGCTCAGATCCGGTGGTCTCGGCAGGGGGCTGAGTGGTGGGCTCCGTAGGGGGAGTGCTGGTGGGCTTGGTGGGAGGCTTGGTGTCGATGGTGATGGGGAGACCGAGCTCTAAGAGGATCGTGAGCTAATGAATCCAAAGTAAACTACGTTGTGAGGGTGTCGAACGGAACTCACGAGAGCAAAGGTCAACACCGAAGGCAACGGCCTCGGCACCCTCGGCCTCAGTGGCGCAGGTGCCAGAGCTGTACGAGCACTCCAAGAAGTACTGCTGAAGCGAGGGCATCTTGCAGAAGCAGTGGTACATGTCGGGCTCAGTGCAGTCAAGAGGGGGGTGTTCAGTGATGACGTTCGTGAAGCAGTTGATCTGTAGGGCCGTGGCATGTTAGTGTATCCTAGTCGAGACGATAATATAAACTACCCTCTCATGAGAAGCAGATCGCAAAGAAGAGATAAAACATACGGCACACATGGGGATCGCGGCGGCGACCGAGGCCATGGTGATAGCAGCGAAGGTAGCGGTCTTCATTTTGATTGTTGGAGGTCGTTGAAGCTTGGAAATAGCGAGTGTATTGAACGACTGGAAAATCTCGTCTCGAGGACACGGTTCTTAGCGAATGTAAGCTGCAGTTGCGGTGGGTTGATGAGGGGGAGAAAGAGAGCTAAGTGGTTCGGAATGGGGAAGGGATCGCTCCAGATATATGCGCAGTCTGTCACCCCTGGCTGCCCTTTGCACCTCTCGCAGGTCGAGCGGAGCTAATATTTCGTAAAAGGAAACCGGGAACGGGAGCGAGTGTACACCACGCTAACAGCTGTGCGTGTACCTGTACCCACGGTCTCCTGTTGGCTGCCATGATCTATTCCCATCCACCTTCATTTCCTATTCCTTGTCGACATGCCCCGCGTTGGGCCAGGAGGGAGCCCTTCTCGACCCAACCAGCATAAACACTAACAGTAGCGTGCAGCACAGGAGAAAATCGAGATGGGTGTGGTGTCAAATGTACGAAGCACACTACCTCTGCTCACAAAGTTCTCGGCAGCGACGGGCAATGTGGAAGGTGTGGGAGGTGGGAGTGGGAGGAGTGGAGATGTGAGGCGTCAACCCGGATTGGGGGCCCGCAGCACAGATGGTAATTTTAGGTTATCAGATCATCAGATAATCTATTGTCTCACGAGTCCAGGTAATCCCTGTCGCACACTTCCCAGAATGGACGTCGGCCCCTAGTCAATGAGGTCGATACGCACCGGCTTCGCACGCCAACCCACGCCGGCGATTCGAGAGGTCCGCTGGTGCTAGCCGTATCCGGGACCTGCTTCTCTGATGTGGAAATTGGTGGCAAAAATTCGAACAGCAGACGGGACTTGGCGTCCTTCAGTTGTCCCCGAGCAACATTTGCGCAGGAACGCGCGTCGTTCACCTCCGGTGTTAGATCGATCCTTGCGATTCCAATTCATCCGGATATATCACATTCGTTACACAGCAGAGCTAGGATATGGGGCTTGTGGCGGGCGATGTGGGCGGCACTTCGGGCTCACCACGTTGGTCTTGGACGATCCCTGGAGACGAGACTGGCACGAGTCCGGAATGTTCCCGCCCTAAACTCCTTGTTAGTGGAACTGCACCATGTCTTTCTAGGAGAAATTTTTTTTCTGTTCAGAGACAAAGTACACTACGAAGTACGTACATGCTTGGTACACTATTGTCCGGCACCCCGGCAGGCCTGATTCGAGGGGTATTTCGTAGACCTTATGGGCAGATGGGTCCGACAGCGGAGATCTGCCTCTGCCGTGACGGAAATGGAAGCTCATTGACCAACAACCGAACCATGAACACGAACACCACACTGACCAAAAAACAAGGGTTGGATTTTGCAAGGCCACAACAGAGTCCGACCAACATTGAAGACCCGATGACGTTGTGCCAGCTTCCTCGTAGGTTAGAACTCTCTGCTCTCCCTCCGAGACCCCAAACTCTCAAACGAAGGACAAAAATTAAGTTGGGTGGTCTTGCGGAGTACAGAGAGATCAAATTTTCTTCGACACTACCTACTTCGTTGATATCCACACTCAAGGTAGTACACAACACTGCTAGGACATAACCACAATTTCGCATATTGCCGGACCAGATTTTAGCTTGGAGCGATGCTGGATGGTGTATAATTGAAGTACGTCGTAGTGTACACTGATCAGTAAACCCGCCCACACTGAACAGAAGGCTGATCCACCAGCCAGCAAACAACACCGCTCACTACGAAGCAAGCCAGGATTAATCAATCGATTGATCAATGCACATCTTGATGGAGTGTTCCGCCCCATTGAAAGGCCGGGCATGTTCTTGATCCAATCGTGCAATCGGCCCCGAATGTTGAATTGGGCAAAAGTGATCGCACACCCGATGTTCCATATTTCGAACTGACCTACTCTGCTCCTCGATTTCCTCCCCGCTCTCGATGTAGTGTATGCTACTCCATGGGGATTGATTGTTTGATGGTTGATGGTGAGTCGGGTCGCGAGTTGTGGGTTGTAAGTCATGCCGCAAAATCCGAGGACATGGATCCGAGTGATTCGTATATGCACGAGACTTGGGGGGTTCTTGACTAGAAAATCAATACTTCGTCGTCCAAATACTACTCCGTACGGTGTCATACCGTAACCGTATAACAGAGAGTCACCTGTGCTGTCCACTGATCTGGGCGTCTTGCTTGATTCCCACGCTGGCACCGACCACCACTGGTACAGATACCTCATGAAAACCAGACCCGACCATCCGCCGGTGTGGTGCTGGGTCACCCCACGTTGGCGTGGGCCAAGCCCAGGGCCAATCTAATGCGTAATCTCAGGCACATCAATCACACATTTTCCAGCCATCCCAAGAGCTCTGATCAATGCAGGGAAACGAGTGGAGGCCAGCGGTTATTCTGGATGGTTGCAATGTTGCATTTCCTCGTACTTCCTGCCATCTTACCCATGACCTACTGGGTTGTGTAACTCGCGATCACAAATCCTACCGCTCGGTCGATGGGTGTGGAGAGCGGAGAGCGGAGAGCGAAGAGCGGAGAACGTCGGCCGGTGGGAGATTAGATGGGATTGATAACAGATCCCTGCTCTGCCCTTGTCCTGCAAGCCATCAGGATTTTCACAAAGTACGAAGTACTTCGTACCTCGGTATTGTTTCCATTTTCGATTTTCTCATCCGCGAAGCTCTCTGCTCCTTCGTCCCACAAGTCGATCGACAAACCTTCAACTCTCTTTGTCTTGGAACGCCACATTCAGGGTGTCCCATCCCGTCCCACACTTTGCACCCAAGAGAATCCTACCTGGAGATAATCTCGCCTTCCACCCCCCGGTCTCCCTGCCTCGCCGTAATTCACACTGCTTAACCGAAGTGGAAGCTGCCCTTGTTCTCTCTCAAATTTGGTCTAGCGTCGTCCTTCGTATGAAAGTACCTCCTTCGCCGATTTTCGGCAGCTTCAATGTTCCAGTGGAATTACTTCCGACCCTCCAAGAGCCTCGGTCGACATCAATTTTTTCCCTTCGGTGGGGACTTGCCCAGACCAACCCATGTCCATTCTCAAAGACGAAAGCGACGTTAATTAACCTCATATAGAAAGTGACCTCATACATGTACTTATACATCATCTCTATGTTTGGGTATCGCACTTGACGCTACTACCCGCTACCGCCTGTGCTTTGGTCGGGATCTTGATATCGATGCCATTGGTAGCCTACGCTATAGTGTAGATTCCGTTCCGTCTTATTCAGACAGGGCTGCATGCGGCGCGCTTTCCTCCCCAAGCCTTTGGCATGAATTAATTTGCACTCGCCCCTTTTATTGACATTTTTGCTTCTATCCTGGTGGTTGTTCGGCCGGGGTTTCTTGATCCTGAGATTTACGCGACGGGACGGTGCGCCTCCTCGGGCAACCAACTGCGGACATCATCTGCTATATCGCATCCTTGTCAACTTGTCGGTTGGTTCGGTCGGTCTTCGAGCGAACTCGGACTTGCGGACATACCCAGCTCTCTTGCTAATCTCCTGGGGATGAACTATTGGCGAAATATGATGGATGTTGGCTGAGATGCGAGAGAGGGCCCGTTGTGTAGGATGATGGGTCCTCCACGCGTGGGCATGGGCAACGAGCCTATCCCTAGAACGCTATCAAACGGCTTGTCTTCTTTCCTCACCAGCTTAGGCCGGGGCCAAATACGAGATCACTTGTGGACCTCATCGGAACCTACAAGACCCCTCTCTTTTATGTCAATAGTTCCAGCTTTGGGCAGTCTGTATTCCTCAGCTAATGTGACTGAAGACAGAGAACATCATATCCTGCCTTCTCGAGGACACGCCAAGCCAGTGGATCGGAAATGGGTTACAGTGTTGCGAGGTCCTATCCACATCTATTCCTCTAACTGACCGATCGGCCCTCGTTCCAAGGTATATACTCTGTCTTCACGTTTATCAGATTAGGTTCCATCTAGCCTTCTCGAAAAGCCCCCCAGACGACTCAGGAATGAATCACCAAAACACGCACACTGACTCTGCAAAAGTTCGACAGACAGCTGATGCCTTTACCCCCTCCACAACCTGGCTGAACTTGGCCCCATGCAAACGATATTTTAAGAAGGACAGCCAAACGGATCTCTCTCCCAGAGTTGGCATTGCTCCACTCTCCAGGCTATGTAGGTGGGAAAACATAGACGGGAAGCTAAGGGTGCACACTACGTACGTAGAACCAACGGAGGCAATAACATGATATGTCAATCTTATCTGATCATCAGATAATCAAAACGTTGCACCTGCTGAACGCCTTAGACCCCCTTCCTCTCTAAACGGAATACTCCATCGCTCACTTCCTTACCAGTCCAACTCTGCGACCAGAGGCCCGAGTTCGACCTCTTCCTCTGTTTCCTTTGCCGCGAGGTGCCACTCCATCTCCAGTTCTACATGACTTTTCATCGAACTAAAATGTGCCACCGAAATCTGACTCTCGAAGTGCAGAATCTTCTCCATCTCAGTCAATCAACGGCTGCCCCTATCTTTGGGCACTATGCCAACCCCATAGAAATGGCCCTAATCAATGTCAACCCATGAAGAGTTGGATACTGAGACTCCGTCATGCATTGATGAAATCTCGCTCCAGGCCATACACAGTGCTGGCAATTCATCGTCATCGCCCGAGAAGGACACGCCATCAAAGTCCCAGAAGTACGAGTCTTCCAGGCTGGGCCCTGACGAAGCCTTCCGCCGAGACCCTTTCGGACGATACCGAAGTGTGTATGGAGTTTCCGGCGCCGGGAGGCAATTCATCCCAATGTCCTCTCCCTCGTCATCGCCTCTCCGAATAATCCCCCTGCGAATAAGATCCGCAACTTCTTTCCGGTCTGGGGTCCCGTCACATCCAATATGTCCTCTTGGCGACGCTCGTTTCGAAGAAAACGTCAACTCCGCATCGTCAGCAAGACTATATCCTTCATTGATCGCCGGTTTAATCTGGGTTAGTGCCTTGGGGATCCTTTCTATCTTAGGTTCCTCGGGAGGTTCTTCGCTGCCTTCTCTTTCGCCGACTTGATAATTCTTCGCTGAGGAGATGGGTTTGCCCTTGACTGGTAATGAAGGCTTCGACTTTTCCGCATCCTTTGAGTCCGAACGAGGATCGTCGTGCCCCAAGTGAGGTGGACAATGTCATGAATCTGACGGATTGCAATACTCGCACGTCTGCGGGCCCTTTCCGGAGAATGAGCAGAATCCACAGTAGTGATCCTGTGTCTTCACAGATTTCTTTTGCTTATATGGATACTTAGGTGAAGTAGAATCGACGTGGGACATGGATCCTCCGCTCCTTTCTTGTCAGGATATCAGGGCATTCGATCTCCCCTCTCCCGAGGGTGTTGTCGAAGTTGAGACGTTGGCAGCTCTGATGATAGACGCGAATCGAAAAACAACAGAAGCTTCCTCTGACTAGGGCCAAAGGAGATCCCCAATAGGTTTGAATAGCGGCAAGATCCCCAGATGTACGATAGCCTCGCTTGCGCTCTTTCTGGTCTTCTCTACACTGGAAAGTAAAGCTTAAAGTTGTTGAACGAGACGAGTGATCAGCAAGAAATGAGTCACTTGACCGAAGTGGAGGGAAAGCGTCCTGTCGTGTAGCACGAAGTACGAATCCCCTTCCGCGGCCTGTCACCACCACTTCCCTTCCCCCTCCAATAGTATGGTTCGGATGTTATCAAGGTTATGTACGTATTCGGAGAGCACGAGACAGACGTCGGGCTCGATTAACGCCTAATAAGACTCTTAATAATAATAATATGTGCGGGTTATGGGAAAGAAAATTCGGACCTTCGTAACCCAGAGGTCGAGTACGAGCACTACACAAAGTATATACAAAGCAGTCTCTCGGAACTGCTCGGAGATGACGCTCGCAACGATCCGGACGAAAAGAGAGCCTCCCGCTATTAGAGCGACCTTTAACAGTCGTATTGAATTTTATATACGTTCATATTCGCCTGGTCTTGTCTAGTCTAGTAAAAGCGGCATGCTGGTGGTAAATGCACGTTGATACTTAAATGGAGAAATAGATACCGGCAGACCCATACTAATTTATATGGGATCCATTGTACCTGGACTCGTATTATCAGATTCACCGTGCTCCCCTCTCACTCTCACTCTTGGCCTTTTGCAATTCAGATTTATTTCACCTCGCGCTCTGCCAGTGTCTGTAAAGCCCTACGGCTATATATCACCTCTGCAAACAATGCGTCCCATCCGCTACAACGTCGCCATTTCCCTTGATGGCTATATTGGCCCAGAAGACCACTCAACGACATGGATCACCGATGACCCATCCATTGATTTCGACGACCTCTATTCACAGTTCGACACCTTCATCATGGGCCGCATAAGTTACGACGTCATGAAGGCTCAAGGGGACGCCAATCCTCTGCGCAATCAACCCAAGGGCAGGGTGCTCGTGGTTTCCCAGTCGGCGGATCCTGCAGCTTACCCTGAGGTGACCATCCTCGGCCGTGATTTCATTTCAGAAATTAAAAAGCTCAAGGAACAAGAGGGCAAGGATATCTGGCTGTTTGGAGGCGGTCAGCTGTTGGGGGCCTGTCTCGACGCGGGACTTGTTGACACGATCGAGGCAGCCGTCATGCCTATACTTTTGAGAGGAGGGATCAAGATGGTATCTGATGCTCCGGCGAGAGATGGAATGGTCGGAACGAAACTTGAGCTTGTGAGTGTTCGGCAACTGGAGAAATCAGGGATAATTCTCACGACATACAAGGTCAAGTCCAACGAGTAGCTAGAGGTTGAGGAATATGGCGTCTACTATCAGTTTAAGAGGTGATCTAGCCGCGTCAGTGAAGAGTTTTTAAGGTGATACTGAAATAATAGGCCATATGCCTGGTCCGGCTGCTCTTGATTCTACCTCACGGCAAGCTGTTACAAGGGGACCTGTCTTTCTAAGAAGCACGGATGCTTCCATCTAACCAACCGCCCAGTCTAAGAGCCACGAGATGGCCCAATTCCGTCGTCCCATCAGAGGCGGCCACCCTCTTATCCAAGTCGTCGAGCACTTTATCTATGTAGGCGCCAGCCGCGGAAAGGTGAAGGATTTGTGCAATAGAGTTATGAAGCTCTAGCAACCGTCGGGAAGGCGGGTCTATGGTCCAGTTTTCCGCGAGAGTAAGCGTTCGTGTAGTTGGCAGAAAATTTCGTAGCACAGGTGGCGGCTGAAATGTGTCGATACGATACGTGTGAGGCGTGTCTGGGACAGGCTGGAAAAAAATCTCGAACTCGCCGAAGAGCTCATGCACGTCATGGCTGAGAGAGAGCGCGTTGCGTGGCTTGTCGACATTTTCGCCCTCGATAAGATGAAGGACGCCGTGGTCGAACATGTTAAGTATGTCAAGCGCTGCCTGTTTAAAGGGATGCTAGAGATGAGATGATTTAGCAAGTGGCAACTCGAACGGGCATCATGTAGACACACCAAACTGCCATCTGCCTCTGGTTGCGTCAGGGAGTGGGGCATGATATGCGCTACTTCGAGACTTGTGAGATTGGGCTCGTTTTGAAGGAGGTCCCCATCGTCGTCTACGGCCGCTGCTCCATCTTGCTGATACCTCCTCAGAAATTCCTTCCGGTCAAACTGACGACTGACTACACATCGAAAGCCATCGCGGACAAGACATTCTCCACGTAATTCTGACAGGCGCCCCGGCGTACCTACGAAGTCTTGCACACCACCGCCCTGGGCTCGTTGAATTGCAGAGTGGATTGCTGGAGAGGGCTGTGGCGTCTGCTTCGTCGATGCTCTCACTAAGAGACCATTGTCAGCAACGGGCAGATGCAAGGCTAGCGGACACATACAAGGTAGGAAGAAGCTGTCAACGAGAAAATCCGCAAACTCGGAGACTGCCAAGGCCACAGAAGCCTCAAGGTCTCTCTCACTCAAGTCAAAAGCATCATCATCGATCGCAATGTTCGCCGTTTGAAAAAATGCCTGGAGAAATACGTCCCGGGACTCTTCTGACCGTGCGTACTCATACGTGAGTTGCACAAGCCTCAGGGGGTTGTACGGCTGGCCGCCCAGGCCTGGATTTGCCGCTTCAAAGTGGTCGATGATACTACGGAACTTTGAACTGGCTTGGGTGCGCTCCGATGCGGACAATGGTGTTGTCGACTGGAACTGGATGATTGATTCGAGATATGCCTGATGCCAATGGTGGCGATGATCTCCCGCTTGGATGTCCCACCTGAATCTGCTCATGTCGAAGTCGAAGTAAGTCGACTGTTGATCACGCACGCGGGGACGGATCGTCTCACAGATAGGGGAGAAATGAAGAGAGAGGACCGGCTCGTGGGATGCCCAGTCGCCAGCTGAGTAAGTCGAGAAACGTCAAGATTTCCAGGTTAAAACAAGTTCATTAACTTTTTTTTTTTTTCTAATATTTATTGAAATGTTTATTTCCAAAATTGTAATGTTATTAATCATTAATTCAGAATAATTATTATCCATCTTAGTAGGACAACTCGAGAAGTCTAAAAACTGATGTATTGATTCTTGATTGCTTATGTCCGACAACACGGTGGTGGGGTAGGTTTTGCAGCCTCCCTGCGAGGACGCCCGCATCAGGTACAGTAGGTTAAAGCAGGAAGCACAGAAGATGCTTCAGGCTGCATAGACGCGCTTCTTGAAGCAGGAATTCTCGATGATAAGATTTGACTGTTTTCTTAGGCTGTTGTGATTATAAAAAGCTGTTCAATGGCCTGGTTAAGCTCCGAGAACCCCTCCAATTGATGATTTTCTCTGCACAAACTCCATTTAATGACCTGGGCTAAAACAACGCTTTCAATCCTGTAAACCTCCCAATCAATGCAAGAGCGTCACCTAGCACCTTTCTCCAGTTTGAGGCCACAGGCGCTCGCTCTGTTTCAGGGCAGCTCTAGAGTCATAACCACACAGCTCCAGTGTCTGCGCCAATGTATGCCGTAAGCCGTATACCGTATGCCGTATGCAGTGGCACTTCTCTGACTCGGCCACTCAGGAAGCGCTGCTGTCGTCGGTTGTGCTGGTATCATCGGTGCTCGTTAAAGCAACACTTGCAGCGCTCCAGTCCCCCTCGTCAAGCGAGGGCACACCGTCAAGGCGCCTCAAGAACTCCTCATCCGAGACATCATCGTCATCATCATCATCGTCGTCCTTTTTGAGCGAATCACCAGGTATCTTGTCACCTCCGCCCTCTGGCGTAAGCCCGTCGCCAGTAGCATTCTAGTCACTGGCACGGACAACCTGGGGCAAGGGAGCCGGCACGCTTTGGACCTCCAGCGGAACACGCGAGTCGTAATACCCCCGGTCAACGACTTCGAATAGGAAAATACCCTCGAGCTCCTTCTTGATGCCGATGAGCTGTTCTTGGGCCTTTCGCACCTCGTCGGGTTTGTTGTCTTGGATGACATGCAGCTTTACCTGCAGCATCCAGTGATGTGTGTCATCGACATTGACGAGACTGTCCCATGGAGGCAAGGGATTCGCGGGATGGATGGCCGCGGGGTGCTGGGGTAGGGGTTGAGTGTATGAGTAAGAGTGGAGAGAAAATTCTACCTCGTCGCGGAAGAACTGGTAACTGTGTTCGATTTGATCGGACACGAGGCTGGATACAATCAGCAAATTTGTTATCCAGGAAGAGCAGCCGATCCCCAGAGAATCCAAGCTTCTCGAATTTCAGGTTAGAAAAGAACCAGGATGAAGGAACCCCTTACCGATATTGCTTCCCCATCAGTACGTTATAAAGATTCTTCTGCCCCCAAATCTCAATCTTTTTCCTCTGCGTAATCAATCCTTTCTCCTGCGACGCCACTATCGCAGGCGGTTCCGGAAAGTCTGTCCACCTCAGGACCCCAGGCGCGGCGTTGAAATCCACCGTGTTCCCGCTCCCGAAATCTCCCCTGGACACCTCGTATCGAACCTGCATATGGTACGACTGCCGGCTAAGAGCCTGGTCCAACTCCTTCCATAACGCGGGGATGTCCTTCTGTTGCTGAGTGGGGGTGGGCGAGGGGTTGGACATGCCGCTTGGACGACCAGGGCCGCGGAAGAAGTGTACATGGTGGATGCTTTCCCAGGGTTCTTGGGCGCAGAGTCCGGAGAGGACATTACAAGCTCGTGGGACGTCCTTTTCTGCGACGATTGCGAGGAGGGAGAGCTCGTACATCCTGGCCGGTGCGAAAGAGACCTGGCGCGCGTTCGAGGAATGCCTCTGGAGGGTAGGTCAAAATAGAGGGCGGGGATAATAATGCCAAAATGAGCAGTTAGTAGTGAAGTTTCCGATATGGAAATAAGCAGGGTGTAACGGGGTTTCCTGACAGAAGGCTCCGAATATCCTGAGCTCTCCTCTCGCTTAGCTTGCGGACTGGAGAGAAGAAGTGTGCAAAGCTCCGATGAAGCTTCGGGATGGTACATTGAGTGAACAGCGCTCGGTAGGAAAGCACTGAAAAGCGGATACCGTCACGTGCAGCTCAGGGGGATGACCCAGTAAATTTGGGCCGCCCTGGATCTCTAAATTTAGCTTGTTACTGCTGATGATGACAGCAAAGGTGGCCTTTGGCCCATAGATTCGTGATAACGTATAAATCCCCCGTTCTAATGAATTCCAAATCCAACGACCGAAGCTACAACCAATATCTAGCCCAAATTTCATGCTCATCCTTCGTCCCGCGAAAGCGAAATTCAACCTCGACGATGTCTTCGAACCCTTCCTTCTCCTGCGGCTGTTTGAATCTAGACATGAATGAGTTGAAAGCTAGCTTGGGTAACGCCTCACGCCTTTCGGGATTCATCTAAAGAGGGTCAGCATAAGAATTTGAGACGCCAGACGAGTGGGAAGCTAACCGATTTATTCATCGCCCTCACGGCGTCATTGTGCTCGCAGATATGCGGCGGTGTCTTGAACCAGACACACCGCACAGGCACCTTGAACTTCTTTGCCAGTCCCACCCACACAGCTCTTGTATCGGGGTCGGGATTCGTGTTATCTAGGAGAAAATGTCAGGGAACCTAAGTCGGGAGCCTGGAGATGATACCCCATACCTATCACTACCGAATCACCCTCCCCAAGTAGATTCTGAGCGGCCTGGACACACTTGTCACGCCTAAACCATGTTGTCAGCACCCAGACCGCGACGGGAACTTGTGGCCAGGCAACTCTTACGTTTTCAGCGTGTCCTGATTGACCCTCCTATAACCCAACGGTTCCAAGTACCGTTGATAGAATGTGCTCTTCCCCGCGCCGGGTGGTCCACAAAACACGACGAGATCTAGCTTGTTCTTCTTCTCGAACATAGGCATGTCCTCCGCTGCTTCCTCTGGGAATGGGAAATGGGCCAGGTCGAATTCTCGGTGGAAATCTCTCGGCTGGAGTCCCAGGAAGAATTCCTCTGGCGTGAGGAACGGAAGACCGATATTGTGAGCAAAGTTGCGGTCGCTGCAACTGAAATCCTTGACCGTCGCAAGAATTTTGTCACCGCCTTTTACGTCCGCGATCCTCCCGCCGGCATCTCCCACGAAGAAGCTGTGCTCGAGATCGATGTCTTGTGGAGTGAGATCATAATCATCGCACATTTCAGTCCACATCCCCGTCCGAGGCTTCCTATACAGGTCTTTGCCAGTAGCTGCGTAAACGGTCGTGGGAATATCTAAATGGCTAAGCACTGCGCTACATTTTTGCTTGAACGCGGTTACTCGTGTCGTAGAATGTGATTTGGGGGCTTTAGATTTCGGGTCATGGTGTAGTTTTAGCCCGCCCTGGTTCGAAATTATTATGACGCGGTAACTACGAGCGGGTATCAGAGGGGTGATGCCATTCGCTTGTCTTGTCTGTTGGGGCGCTTACCCGTCGTCTTCGTATAGCGCCTTGAGCTTAGTTGGTACGGTGTTATGCCACCACTTCCAATCCGCCGCGCTATCAGCATGTTTCTTGCCCGACGCAGGGACAATCAACGTTGAATCCTACTCCCGCACCGTTAGTCAAAATGACGGACACAAGCCGAGACACTTAGCGCAACACACAAGGTCAAAGGCTGCTATCTTCCTCCTCTTAGAGAGCGGCTCCGCCTCCTTTTTATCCGGTTGGTATCGGCCAACAAGAAGTGTTGCAGGAGTATCATCGTCCGGCGCCCGTTCGGTCCAGATCGTCTTGTCTTTCGGTTTCTGGGAGGTAGGGGTGAAAAAGTTCGCGACAGCAGATTCTAGAAGGCACCTATTAGACATCACCCACTCTGTATCCGAATAAAAGCAGCCAAGATTCCGAAAATTGAATGGTAACATACTGGTTGTCCCACTCTGTAGTCTCCGCTTCAAGGGCGGCGGGGAGACGGGCGCATCTGGACCTCGCTTCGATGTGTTCGATGGACCGGTCGATGACATGGTTCTCGGGAGCAGCGCACGGCTACCTAGTCGGATGCTCGATGTATAAACGGCAAAGAGGCGCCAGCCGCCTAGGCAACTCATTCGTATCCAGGGAAAGGTGGCAGCCGGGCTCAAGTCAAGGTCAGGACGTGTTCAAGTCGTGCAGTGAGGAGCTGCTAAAAGTTCAAGGCAGGCACGACAATGACAGGAGATCACGTGATCAAACCGGGTCGATCAACAGGCTCTCCTGGGGGGGAAACATCGACTAATTGATTCATTGGAATTCTGTATTTTTACGACGCAAGACAACAGGAAGTCATGTTTTCGAGTTTAAACGACTAACAGTAATTTTATTCTTCGAGACCACGGCTAGTCCATGTCTCTGGAATCATGAGTGAGATCTAAAGGAGCGGTATCATTTCTTCGTACAAAGAGGATTTTAAGGACAAGTACAACTAATGAAACAGGAACTATGGCATTTCTCCAAGCTTAGTGCGCGTGTGAGTTTTCTACTCACAAGACTCTTCCGCTCCTCCCCAGCATGCAAACCATCTCAAATGGACGAATCAGGCAAAAAAAGGAAAGACCAAGTCTTCTTTAGGAAAGGAAAGACTGGAAAGGCGCCGGAATGCCGTGGAAGGTGGATTTAGAAATCGGAAAGATCGACAGATCGCCTAACAGCGCGGGCGAGGCGGCGGCGAGCCTCGGTGGCGTTGTTAGCAGCACCACCGGCGGCAGCCATCTGAACGGGGACGACGCCTCCGAAGGGACCAGCACGAGCGGGATTCTGGCAGCGAACAAGGCAGACATTGTCCTGGCCAGCAACAGTACCAGTGCACTCCTGGTTGGCGGGGATGGCAGCGGTGAGAGGGAAGTCGGTAGCCTCGCCATCTCGTTCACGGCCACGTCGTCCGGGAACGTTCTGGGTGACCTGGATGTCGGTCCAGGTGGTTCCGGTGCCGTCATCGTTGATCATGCAAGTGTAAGGGCCAGCGCCGTCGGCGTTGACCTGGTGGAGAGTCATGGTGAGTTCGCCACCGGCGCTGACCTGGGGGAGAACATCGCCAGTCTCGGCCATGATGGCCTGGGTGCCGGCCTCGAGGTTGTTGTCACCGGCTCCGAGGGTCTCGCCGAAGGTTTCAGCGGCGTCACCTCGGAATCGGGTGGTATCCTGCTGGAAGGGGTTTCGGCGCGTGCCGTCTCGGGGGGTGGAGGAGTCAATGCCGAGAGCCATGCCAGAACCGCCGGCGTCACCGGTAGCAGAGACAATGGCACCGTGTCCAGCGACGAGCTGGGCGGCGAAGAGGATGGAAGAGAGAACAGTATACTTGAGAGACATTTTGGCTAGTGTTGTAGTTTTGGGTTTCGGGTTGGAATTGGTTGTTTTGTTTGAAAAGTGCAATTAAAGAGTAAAGAATATAAACTATTGGACCAGCCGAAGAATGGAAGAGTGAGTTGCAAGAGGGGAAAGGCAGAAGAGTCTTGTTGATTGTTGATTTGTCTTGATCGTGAGGATGATGGAACAAAAAAAGATCGACTGATTCAACGGATCAACCGGCTTCTTTATACTCGATTTCCAACCTTCATGATACCATAGAAAAGAAGCCTCTCCCCCAAGTTCTTGAAGCTCAAGGCCCTCATCGCGAGCCCACCTTGTTTCACATCCTCACCCAAGCTCTAAGCCTCTCGCGGAACGCATTGACGAATCTCAACGGGGTTCGAAGGACGGGCCTCGTTCGCTGGCAATCACAAGAGCAACGACTCCACAGACAGCATCTCACGAGAAAGCCAAGAAAACGCTAAGCCCCCCGAACCCGTATCGTCCTCAGCTTGCGGTCTGGGCTACAAGAGCCGCATGGACCAGGGGATAGCTTCAGAGGAGCTGTTGGCGATCTCCAATCGCATCTATTGATCTGTGCGGGGATCCACAAACGACGAGATGCGATAGGCTCGTCATGAACCTCGGTGAGCAGGGTTGGGGTTTCTTTCCATTGAGAGTTGCAAGGGAAATTGGTAGGTTCGGCACTGGAGGACCCGGCTAGGCGCTGGCTGTGGAGGATCATATTGCCAGGATGGTAATAGTACCTACCTCGTGGGGGATGTGATGCGGCTTCAAGAGGTGCAAAAAAAAGAAAGAAAATCCCCGGATCTTCCCTTGTCCGGAAATCTGTAGGTCTGCGGACACGGGCGCCACCTTCATCCAGGGGGTTGTTTAGTTTCCGCATCGTCGGTGCGCGGTTAGTGCCGTTTCGAATGCACCGCATGAATTGCCTAGTTGGGCGGGTGGGCTGCAAACCAAGAGGCCGCAAAGCCACCCAATGCGGAAAACATCGTGGATTAAAACGAAACGGGGGGGGCGGGGCCAGGGTTCGGCATCTCGTATCCGGGCCTTGCAACAATTCTGAACGGCCGTGTGTTGAATCGAATCTGCAGGATTTCGCGGAGAGAGGGACAAACACAAATCATGAACGGCGGCTCAATCACGGCGATTGTGAACCAGGTTCGAGCTTGGCTGTTCGAGATCAACCATGCACAGGTGGGGCGCTGCACCGCAAGAGCTCCCCGAAGCGAGCTGTGGTACGCTTCACTGCTTCGCATGCGATAGCTCGAAGACGCTTCTGGGATGTTTCATGTTCTTTTTGCTATTTTAGATTTGAGCAGGGAGACCCAGCAGAATATGTGATCAAGCTCAGCTTGCAGAGCCAAGCCGAGCAGGTTTTGTGAAGCAGACCAATCGCGAAGAAGATGGAATCATCAAGAGAACCTTCGATTTCACCCATGAATTTCATTGTAGTTGCCCAGTTTTCATTCAAGATGCACTGCCTCAGTCTTACATCAGGGCATTATGAGCCAGTATCCCTCTGCACTTCTTGGAATATAAACAAGATAGATCACGTATCAAGACTGAGCTCCTCATGACAAGACTAGTCGTATGTTTGGAGACTTTGATGGTTCTCGTAACCAACCGAAGCGAGGACAGGAGGGCCCCTTAGTATTGGGAAACCTCTCCATGTTAAGTTCCTGGTTTGTCCGTCGTCGCTTGACATCCTTGTCCTGGCATGTAGATCCAATACATGCTGTCTCTTTACCGGCGTCGCTATCCCGACCAAGAGCGCTTGGGGAGGGAGAACATCATGCGGTCATTGCTGTCAGCCGGAATCCACAGAATCCACAGAGCTTAATGCTAGTTTCCAAGCACCGTACAAATTGTTTCCGATAACAGTGAAAAATAATGAACTGAGGAACTGGGAGGGGACCTTGTTGCCACCAGCTCTTGTGATCGTCTCCCGACGCCACCACGTCGATCGCGCGCTGGCAGCTAAATGGACACATTGGTATTCGTAAATCTAGGGAATTGTACAGCCGATAAGTTGGACCTACGACCACACAGGCCAACCAGCGAGCCGACACCGGCAATAATCAGTGTGCGTTGAAACCCCAACATCTGGAGATGTTCTTATCTCTAATCCTGCCACATTTAACGCCCCTAATATCACGATCCTCAAGGTCGAACGATCGCCACACTCACAACGTCGTCGAGAAGACGTACCCAACCATCTGGGTATCCCAAGCAAGGCCTTCACAAACCGAGGCGGCACGTTGCAGAGTCAGTATCTATAGCAGAAGAAACCTAATCCGTCCGATCTTTCAACCGTAGCGTCTACATCTACTCGAGAGGCGACAAGCATAACAGAGTGTAGCAACAATGTCTACACACTTCAACACCGGTTCTGAAAAGCACCACACCAGTGATCCAAGCCAATGGCCTTTTCGCATCCCACCCACCATATCGGCGACAAGTGGCCGGCAGAGGGTCAAAGGGTTGTGGTCTCTCCCAATGTTCGATGTCTCGACCTTCCCGCATTTTCGTGAAGATCGTGCAGCAGTGCTGGGGAACCTATTGACGACTCCCAGCCGAAGACCCCATCCCGCGCCCGAAATAATAGGGATCGCGTAGACTGAGCCAATCCACGTCTAGAGTTTTCTCAATACCTCATGGCGTGGACGACAAATCCCCTTCGGGCGTGCCGGAAGACGCGGGGCGAGTGACGGTGAGGATAACTGGACCCTCTTTTTCTTCGGGGTGGATAATTGACTCCACAAGTATTGCCGGCTTAAAATCGGGGTTCGAGGAAGTCCAAGATCTCCGGCGAATCACCACGCCCATCCGCCAGAGCCGGTCATAGTTTCGCAAGAAGCGCCTCTCCGGTTCGTTGACTTTCCACACCGAACCTCCCGGGGCCACTTAGGATCATTGAAAATTCGACGAAGATCATCACCGGCAGAACATGCAAGAACCTTGAGATAAGGCGCGGGATGATCCTCCCCCCTCGATTTAAACTATGTTCTCGACGATATTTGTGGCTTACCGGTCGGCCACTTTAGAGTTCGCATCGGTTCGCAGATTCGTCGAGTTTTCCCTCGTGATGTGATTGTGCGAGATACGGGCGAAAAATAATCACCCAAATGTTGGCTTAGTTATCGTTGCTTATCTCGAGGTCGTGGGGGCAATTATGCAGCGAAGGCTGTCGTGCATCGAAAACATGGAGAGCCGTCATGGGTTATCGTGGGCGAAACAATAATTGCACCAGTCATAGAATTCGATCGTGTAGAAAATGGGTCTAGATCTCAGTCCTCACCGTGGGATTTCCAGGCACACTGCATTATCGTTGCTGCATCTCAGGCTTAGCATGGCAACAACCGAGGGTCAGTCCGTGCATTTTCCAGCCCTCGGGCCTTGGGTTGGTGTGGGGGAGAAATCAATTGGGGGAGCAAGCAATTTTTCCGAAGATCGATTGATGCGGGTTGGACAATTCCAAGCCAAGCCAATCCAATAAAACTTTGCAAAATCAGGTATATTGAATATGTTCTAGAGAACCCATGATCAAACCGCTTTTCGTGGGATATACACACATAAGAACGTACTTAGAAAAGGAAAAAGAGAAGTCATTGTCATGCAATGAAAATATCAACCCAGCAAAAGAACCTCCGTTTCCGTTTAAACCGAGCCTCCCAGAAAAATGTATGAATGTCGTATCGCTTGAATCAAGTTAGAAAACTGGACAACGACGCTGTCGTTCCAAGCTCGGATCGACTCTGAACTGCCGTGTCCCTCTGGCCTGCCCCCGGCCTTCTTTCCTCCGCTCCGCGCCGTATCGTGTCAGAGAAATGCCCATGGCATTGGTTGGTTGTTGAAAGTATTTAGTTCGAAAAAAATGGTGCCAAATTGTTGATTGGGACACCTCGTAGGGTATATAGATCTAGTGAAAAGGAGAGAGTAATGTTCGGGCCTGGATACTACCCGCTCAGTTGAAGAGGGCGGCACCGCCAGACTCTACCGCCTCGATCTCGGCAGGGTCGAGGGGAAGGCGTCGGAAGCGGGCGGGGAGCTGGCTGCGATCGAAGAAAACGCCCTGGGGAGGCTGGACAGAGCCGAGGTCAGATCCGGCTACTCCGCCAATACCGGACTCCTTGATGGTCTTCTGCAGGGGGCCGAATTGTTGAGCATGGTCCCTGTAAGAGCTGAAGGAGGTGTGCTTGGTGCCGGTCGAAGTGTAACCCTCGCCGAAGCCTTGAGGGAGCTTCCCCGTGGGGGAGGCAGGGTGAGGTTGAGGAGTGTGGTCAATAGTGGCTGGTTTTGCTTGGAGTCAGTTTCTGTTGAGCTCGGAAGGGAGACGGGTTTGCACGACAGATTATGACATACCAGGAATGGTTCGGCGGCCAATGAATCGAATCAAGGGAGTCCGCTCGGCGTGGGCCGCCGCCTGTCGAAGAGCCGCAGTAGCGTTCATGTTTTCGAGTGTTGGGGAGGTTGTTTGTGGGAGGTGATGGAGCGGGAATCTCGGGGAGCAATCGCAGTCGAGGGGTTCGTGAAAATTTTTGTTGGGTAATCTCTCTAGTTGGGATAGAGATATTCGGCGGGGGGGCGATTAGCAGGTGGAAGAACTGATGAGAAGAATTGAATTATTTAGAAAGGAGAAAAGCAAGGGACAATTCCTGGAGGGGGAGGGGGATGTGTGCTTGATATCAAGTTCGAGGCCAGGAGACAACTTGGATGGAAAAAAAGAGTCAAGCCGGAGCAAAGCGCAGGTTGATCGGGAGGATTAGGAATCAAAAATGTGTAATATTATCTTCACAAGCTTTGTGTAGCAATATTATCTTCTGAAAAGGACCTGTGGGATTGGTCCGTTGGGGTTTTTTAGGGGGGCAGATTTGGGGATTTTGGGGGGGTAGAGACTAAAAAGTTGAGGAAAGAGAGCTCGCCAGGCAGCTAAGCAAGGAAGGAAGGAATTATGACTAGTGTACCTCGTAGGATGACTAGTCTGCCGCACGGAGCTGATTGGGGTCCCTGCGACCTGTCTGCCACCCACCAACTAAACCGACTAAAGTAGCAGTGGGGTGTACTAAGGTACACGACAAAGTACCGTACAGCCCACCACTTTTCAGGTCTCAACACCAACACATGCCGCAAACTTGGAGGCTGTAAACTGCAGAGTGCCCTGCATCCCCGACACAGTTGATTCCGACTCTCGGAGCGCTCGCAGCAGTACCTATGATTCCAGAATTTACCCCGACCCCATTAAGAGGCAAACTAGCTGTGTGCGGCTCCGCTTCTTCCTGTTCTTGGTTCATGTTTCTATCGTCCGCACTACTCGGTAGCCTCAACCGTAACGAGGAGAGTGGAACGACTCTGGTGGAAACCCGACCCGGATTGGAACCCGACCAGTCCCCTTTTTTGCACTTTTGCATGCGCGAACAAAGGGAAACTTTGGCACCACTCCCACGTTACTCAAGAGAATCGATAACCCCCCCCCAAGTTCTTGTGGATGCCGGAGCTGGCTGGCCTCGGTCTGGGATGGAGCAAAAGTGGCACCATTGATCGCTTGATGATGCTAGCCGGGTTTCCTCAACTTGCGAGTTCCCACCTTCGACGTTGATGGAGATCGACAAACGCAATCGCAGTGCCTCGCGCCGCGCTTTCCCGAGTTCCCAACGTGCTTAGAAATAGGTTCTTGAGCAAACTCTCGATGAGAAATCGAAGGTGGCAGCCAGAACCAAGCTCGCCATCATTTTTGACCAATACAGTGTAGTAATGTTTCCCCCCAAACCAAAAAACCACAACCCACGACGGCTTCTTATCGAGGTGCATCAATCTGCATGCCCTAGATGCAATCAACCCCACCCACGCCAGACACCCACACCACACATTTTCGACAGAGAGTTTTGTTAAGAAACCTCACCAAAAGAACTTATCATCCACATTTTCATAGACTTTCACGAGCAATTCTAAGGAACAAATGGAAACAAGATCATGAATTCGTCTCATGACCCGCTCTTCTCTCAACTTCTACCCCAGATTATTTGTGGGACGACACCACCAGGAGGCGTCGAGCATTCTCGATTCCCCGCAGTTATCATATCAAGAGTTTAGATCAATTGATTTGTGTGGAGCGCGTTAAGCGGTTTGCAGAGGTCTTTCAAGGGAATTGTCAAGTGTCAATTACAACCTTGTGAACTGCGAAGTATGTCAGTTCAGCGGCGCGATGAATGGGGGGAGGGCTTCGCCTCGGTTCGGGTCGGGTTGGCCTCAAGACCTCAAATTGTGAATGTGAAGATTGCAATACCCCAAATATTTACCCCGCCTGCCGATCGGAGCCGCATGCTCTCTTCCCCAAACATCCACGCCCATCGTACCAGAATAGTGTTACCGCCAGCCCTGAATAGGAAGAGAGCACTCGGGGTTTTTTCGCAATCAGTCCTCCAAGGACAAGTCGTGTCCTTGGCCGTGTGCTTTGCGGGCCTTACAGCAGCTCACCGCCTAGCAGAAAGGCGTGAGGGAGCGGCGGCAATATTGCCGGAAACCTACAATAACTAGCATGGCGACATTTCCGGCATTATTTATGTGACAATATCGAATGCCAAACCAGGGGGTTCTTTAAAAGGGCCCGCAGCTCATCAGAGATGTGCTAAAATCTGGTCTTGGCACCTCTCAGGAGCAATCAACGGCTGGGAGTTGGTCAGACTAATAGCCAGATCTTGGCGCAATATCTCCCGAGACCGGCGCCTTACATTTTCGAACACGACAGGTCGGGCTGGGATTGTGCGAGTGTGTGTGGAGCACCGGTTCTTCGGCCAATCCTTCGCCCTTGTTGGCGTCTCTCGCGATTCCTGCCTTACTCCAGAGATGGATTCGAGTTTCCCCAATGCTACTCTCTTAGCACGCTCTTACCACGCTGCGGATGCAGTAGGTTTCTAGAGTAGCTTCGTGCGTACAAGACCCTGGTGTAGTACGTCACAGAGTCCCTTCGTCTCCAACCCTTCCCCCTCTTCTCTCGAATTCTCAAGTTCTTAGTTTCGTCCAGATGGGATCATCTTGCCCTCACTCTTCGGGCTGTTACGGAGCGCAACTCATTCTCACATGCAGATCCAGGACAATAATGCCGGCACCTGCTGCCTGCATTTGATGTTGTGCGTTTTCGTGTTGTCCGGACCTCCTTGATGAAGAAGCCACATGTGAAGTCCATCCTGTCCTACAGCAAAGCATCTCCGAGGCACTGGAATCCCACGAGAGAAGACTTCAAACAGCCCACGAAATTCACGACGACGAGGGAAGTCCCGGTCTCCACTCTCGTTATTGGAGATGGACGCAACAATAATAGGCAGTCTTTCATTGGCGCCTTGGCGGCAATTCTTCCGCCACCTTCCGAGATTGACCAGATTTCCTACAACGCGGGGGTAGTATGGGGTTCAACCTGCCATCCCTTCGCGAGACAAGTCTTCTTAACCCCCCCCCCCCCCCCCCCCAAAAAAAAAACATCGGAGAGAGTGAATCCCGCCCGGGTTCTTCATTGATTTCTGGGGCATGTGCTTTCTTGCTGAACCCGCACGATGGATTTTACACACATATGCAAGGGGTCACTAGTCGTCTTCTCCAAAATAGAAGGCGTGGGGCTATATTTCTCCCATCGCGCCGTGAATAGTACATTCAAGCAGTTGCCGAGATGTTTGGGGATCTGAGGAACGTGCCGGTGGAGACTAGACCCTGAGTAGGTGCGCCTCCAACACGCAAGTCAATGCGGCGCCCTTTTTCGCAGTTCTTGATGGAAGACTCGCCCCATTTCACTCTGCCGAGCAATGTTTGGGAAAGACCAGCAGTGTGAACATAGCCGTTAGCATATCCGGCTTCGCGTTTCTATAAAAAGATGCGTCCTAGGTACAAGCGTGTCCACTGGCGTCCGATAGCAAAGTTGCCTAGCACGCCGAAAATGCCGAATTCTCCGTCCTAAGCCCCGGGCTCTCCGACTCATCCGTTCCCCCTCAAACCCCGGAATTCAGTCTGTCTCCGGCTCGCTCCCCCTCTCTCTTGTCTAGATGTTATTATACAGGAAGGTCTCCCTTTTTCTTTTCTGTTATTTTCCCAGTTCATCGATCTCCCTCAAGGATTGAACGGCCAGCCGAAGCCAGGAAAAACCGGCTGAGCAGGCTGTGCGGGTTGGGCGGGTTGGGGCTGGACAGGTTGTTGAACGGCGGGATTGGGCGTCGCGGCGGGTGCGGTGCCACCAACCTTCGTCATGGCTGCAGCGGACGAAAACTGGGCCGCAGGGACCTTGGAGTCCTGGAAGCTCGCGTCAAAGTATCCAAGGTACTGGTGATATTCGAAGTTGGACGCCGGGTTGGCGCGCTGCGCGACAGAGGCGGCCTGGGTATTCTGGGCCCAGGCGAGACGGACGCCGCCGCTGGGGGAAAGCGTGCGCGTGCCGGAGGGGCGAACCCAAGTGCTGCAACCCTTGCAGATGGCGCTCAGGGTGTAGTGCGTGCCGTTGACGCCCGTATCGGAAAGGATGACGTAGCTTGCGTCGTTGTATACGGTTGGCGTGGTATGAGCACTATTTGGGTGGTAAGAAACCGCGGGTCAGTATTCTTGCGATCACGATCGGGAAACGCGACGGCGTCAAATTTGCAGAGTCCGTAAAACGGTGACCTGGCTCTGCTTCGCCATCGTCCTCTCCGAAATCTTGCTTTTCTCTGGGAACAGTCCGTTTCTCACGAGCTACAAACCCGGGGTATCGACTGGATGTAGCTCTTCCTGCGGGTGACTATCGGGGACACTTTGGGGTAGAAAACTCACTTTGCCCATCGAGAAGAAAGGGTAACATCCTGCCCGTTGGGCCAGGCGACAGTCAAGGGCGCCTGGGACATGCCTCCACCCCATGAAAGCCCTACCCATCCCTGACCGACTGGAGCGATGAGCTGGATAGCAATGTCGAAGTCTCCTCCCGTCGAGGTATCGGCAATCGCTATTCTAAAAGCAGACCCGCCTTGAGTCGTGTACTGGTTGTAGCAGAGGCTTGTCGTCGGGCTACACCACCTGGTAAGAGTGGCTTGGCGCTTCTCGATGCCATTATTGCCTTCTGACGAAGTAGGGAAGGCCGCAACAAGGCCCAGGAGGGTCTGCAACGCGAACATGGGCTTCATCTTTGTTGAATCGCTACTTGGGTTGAAGGATCCCGGTTTTCTAGGTTAGGCGAGGAAGCGCGGAGAAGATGAGACTGCGGGTATAAGCCGTTCGACACGTTAGCGGTCCGGTGTCTGAGGGTGAGCGATAAAGACGGACTCCGGCGAATGCGATGCGCATATCACGAGGTTGAATAGGTCGTTGTTGTTCCTCCTCTTGTTAACGACGTACGTCAGAGAGGCAACCACCGCGAAAAGGATACAACCTCTCGAGCTTCCCGTTCTTACTTTGCTCTTCTCGATCTCTCTTCTCGAAGAAATGAAAACCTTTCCCTATCTCTTAACCAGATGGCTTTAGATTTCAGGTTCCTGTCCTCCTTTTGTACTCTAGAGTCGCAATCTCGGAGCTCTTTTAGCCGATTTCCCCTTTCCAGAATCCCCCAGAGAATGTCCCCATCCATCGTGCCGCGCAAGGGAACAAGGATAGTCGAGTAAGGAAACGGAAATCAAAAAAAGAGCCCCAAAGTAAGGATGAAAAGTACTACGAGGATACATACGACCTACATAAGAGCCATAATCAATAGCTCGGTCAAGACCCACGATCCATCGTACAGCAGACCTGATAGACAAGGTCACGATAGAGTACCATGAGTACCATGGGAACTCGAAGAACGGCCTACGCAGATGGACGCCGGGTGGTGGCTTCCGCTGTCCGCCTGACGATTTGGTTGCGTTCGCAAAATGCCGGCTAATAAAGGAGGATGGAGTAACTTAATGAAATGCCATATTAATGGTGATATGAAAACACGGAAACCGACCCCGCGCTCAGGTTCGGCGATCAAAGAGACGAAAAAGTAAACGGTAGGGAAAACATGGCAGGAAATACTGGAGAAGGAAGGAGGGAGAGAAAATAGTTTGCCTCTAACGATATTGGGGAAACACCCGTGTCGACTTTCTGGGACTTCACGATGGTGGATCCTTGGTGAGTCGGCTGATCGGCTTGGAGAGCCTCATTCGGGGTTCCCTCCATTGATTTCCCTGGCAATATCTGTGGACTCCCAGCGATGGAGAAAAGCAGAAGGGGTGGCGGAACCCACATTGGGACGGGCGCGTGTGGTCGAGGTTGTGGTTCCCTCCTTCACAACATTTTGAGGTGCCCGTGACGATCATAGGATCCTCATTAATCCTTTTAACGATGCCCACTTATTTCTTCGGTCTCAATGTATGGCATTTAGAGTTCTTGACTAAGTCTTTCTTGCCTTCTCCTCCGACGAAAGACTTGGCGTCTGGCATTGATCCATCCCATGAGGAGGACACGCCACCTCCATTGCGGAAATCCGTCCTCTCCTTACCGTCACCCCGTTGGTTTCCCCATGAGGTGGGGAGGTCGAATGGAAACACCCTTGGTTCAAGGCGCCTTGCACCTGCGTCAATACTGAGATGTACAATACGAACCGGGTTTGACTAGCCATCACCGCCTTTGCGCATATCTTCCTTGGGAATCCTGTCACAGCGACAAAAGGAGGGGGAAATGTGGATTTAATGCCACCCAACTATCCTCTTCAGTGGCAACTTGTATGATGGCTTTTCCATGGGAGGCGTGACAAGAGGATCTCGTCAAGAGGAGACTCAATATCACGAGTCTATCTTCCTACATTGCCAACACCCCGCCGTCGATATGTGCTTTCGCATGACGATATTAGATTCGAGCTCCTGCAATGGATGGGCAATATGTAGGTGCAGCCGAACGACGCACGAGGGTCGTAGCAACTTCATCGAGAATCTGTACGAATGATTTGAGAAAACGAAATAAATTTCCTGGATGTTACTATCCTCCGTCACAGGTAATCTGGTATCAGCCTTTTCGTCTTGTCTCGACTACCCCCGAAAGGCTATTTATTGTTCGAGAAGGAGTACCGAATGACTTCGTATCTCATATAAATGCACACCGCGGGAAGGCCATGCCGGCTATCAGACTGCAATATTGTAGTGTAAGACGACCGATTGATTCTGCAACTGGGATTGGATATCTCGTTTCATCGACAGGGAACGATTTTCCTCGACAAGCCGACTCGACCTCTCCCCACGCCAACGACAGTCGCTCGTCTCTCGTCCAAATGACCATGGCTTCTGGGCAAGGCGAAGATCCTTACCACAGAAAGAAGAACCAAGACGGACTGGTGACTGCAGCAATCCAATGTGAACAGACATGTGCTCTTGCGCCCGCTTGAAGTTGTGGCGAATGGGAACAAGTCCAAACCGAGGATGCCAAGCTGAGTAAATGAAAGATATCCCTGAAGATGTCCATTTCGTATATTGCATTCTTAATTAGATTTGAGTGGGTGTTGGTCACTTTAGTACACCACTATATTCGAGATATTTTTTTTTTTGTTATTAGGGGCATTGCTTTAGCAGAGGCGCTCCATGAAAGGGAGCCTTCCTGGCGATATCGAGACGGCCGCGGAGAGCGCTTTGCCTCATGGCAAGAATAGAATCTAGATTGAGAGGGAGAGAGCCGGGCGTCAAATCTATTACTGTAAAACGAACATCCCGTTTGACGGAAGTCGTGGATTTCGTTCTTCGTGGACATCGGGAGAAAACTTGAAAGCTGTCTCTGTACGGCAGCGCCGCCAGATGCCGCATCATCTGCGGCTCGTCTCCGCAACAATACCAGAAAGAATGCTTAGAAAAATCTAGGGAGCTATTGGCTCTCAAAACATGGGGTACCCGGGGTAGACCACGGCACTCGAGGTGGGAATGCTCGTTGCACTGCCTGAAGATTCATCAATCAAGACCAATGCCATATCCTTATGGAGGCGTTTGCTTTCTATTTCTTTGCCCTGATATCCTAGCTTATTCAGGGTATTGATTCCACCTGCTACTTTGGCCACACACATCATGAATGTGGTCATGTGCAGACGGTCCGGGCGACGAGGAAGCAAGGCCCGGGAGAGTAGCAAAAGTGGTAGGCTTGGTTGGGAACAATCCGGGTTCCCACTCCTCCTTGCGATACTATTTCAAGATCCTGGGGACGCTCGATTTAGTAGCTACCCACCCCGCCCCACTCGAGAGGTATGAGACGAGAAGTAAGGACACGCAAGATTACGATGGGAGGGCGGCATGACGGAGCTAGTCCTCACTTGGGAGATCATTTAGGAGGAAAACTCAGTCAAAACTATTGTCTAGGCTGGGAATACTAGAGGGCTGAGTGGATCGCCGGCAAAACAGGAGGGATGGTTGTAAACATGGGGAAAGTCGCCCAAGCTGCCCTCCGGTCCATCGATTGGATCAGAATCCATCCAGGCTGGTTGTAGGGTCGGGGCTCGCTTGTCGACTCCATTCACTTGACATCCAGTTACTATTCAAGGTAGCCAATCCAGAGGCCCGATGCACGATTGCTGGGTCAATTTTTAGCAACACCGCTTCCCCCATGTCGACTTTCGTCTCTGGAGGATGGTGCGGCTTAGATGGATAAAGGGAGATGGGCGGGTGGGTGTAGATGTCCTCTTAGTCGAGTGTTCTCTGTTAATAGCCGGCCGGCGCGAGGGCGACCCTTGCGCATTCGATGCAACCGATCTTCCAAAATATCTTCGGTTCCCTCTTAATCAGACGTGAGCTGGCTTGTGGGGAAACTGTTTGTGTCAATCCCGCAACCTCCACATTGGTAAGGATGCGATGTAGAAGAGCTACGAGTTGCGTATGCAGCGTTGTTTGCTGGCGTCATCAGTTCAATATCGGGCTATAAATTCTCAATCACTTCTTTTCAAGAAAGGGAGACGTGGGCCAAGACTTTGTTTTATTGCCAAGATTCGCGTCATTTATCAGGGGACGGCTATTCGGCTGGGGAAGCAAATACACTACGGTGGTTGAGAGAAGGAGAGAGATTTATTAGGAAGGGAAGTTAAGAAATGAGAAAACAAGAGTCTGGAAAGGTGTCCTTGGCCGTTTTATTACATTGGGAGTCTTTTCTTGTGAGTATTTGGATGAGAGAGTTTGGGATAAAGGAGAGGTCCAATGAGATAGAAAGCTGCGCAACCTCCAAGCATACTTTTCTAATAGGGCTGAGAGTGCACGAGGAGAGGCTTCATGGGGAGAAGATAGGAATAGGAACGACCTTGGCGTTGAGTGGATGCCGAGGACATATTTCGTAGGGATATTTTTCGTTCAATGGCCAATGGCTAAGAATCGCTGAATAGGTGGCCTTCCCTTGACAAGGCCAAGACGGTGTCAGAAGTGAGGAGGACCAAGTGGAGGTCACGGACGTCACCCTCCTTCTCTACATGATGAGCAGCATCATTCAATGTAACATTGGTAGTGAAAGGAAAGATCATGGCGGTTTAAAACTTATCGTCCGCAAACAATTGAAGCAGGTACCTGGGCTCCCCGTAAAACCCTGCGCTGACGTGAGATGGTCGAGATAGAAACGTAGCACAAGCTCGCCCGTCATGTCATCATCTCGGTCTCGCCTCCGCTCGGTGAAACAACATCATTGGCCATTCAGCTGCCTGGGAATGGAGGGATCTAAACGCTTGGCGAAAGGCCGTCGTTGAAGGGCGTATCTTATTCGTCTGTTGTCCGAGATTTTTGTGATGGCGGGTCGGATCATCAACGGCTGAAGCTGTCGGGGGTGGGCGGCGATGGTCCTCAGTGCCTGCCGAGAACATAGCGGTCAGCCTTACGGCTGACGATATGTGATAAAAAGACTGTTTGGTGGCGGGGGCTATGTCAAGGAGGTGTCAGATTGCGATTGTGATATCAGTTTGGAGGTAAGCGGAGGTCAGATTTGATCAGATATGGATATCACAGCATTATATGTAGATATAGAAGATGTCTTCGTCGCACCAGCATTCCAGTTGCAGCTTAGCATACTAAGACACTCATACTTTCTTCCCCTCTTGATACCTCTTCACTTGAGCCAGACTAGACGTGTTGAGATAAGTTTCCAGTAGCACCACAGTCCTCTGGAAACCCGCCCAGGCGTCATAATGACTGGAATCCCTCCCTCCAGTCCATCGGCCTGGACTCTAACCACTGACCAAATCCTTCAACAACTCTCGGATGCCCTCGGAAAACATCCCGATGTAGCTTCCGACTTCCCAGGCCTCAAGTCCCTCCTCGACGACTACCTTGATGACAAAATTGACCTCCACCGCATCGAATTCCATCGACGTCTCCTGCGCATATTCCGCGACGCGCCCCGTGATGACACGTATCAAGGTCTCCTCGGGAAACTCGAGGAGCCTGAACGCGAGCGGGTGTCGAGGTTCGTAGATGGCGGCGAGGAAATTGAGAAGTGTGGGTTAGGGTTCGAGCATACGATGAGTCTTGGTGTGAGGGAGCATATAAGGGAGATGATGGGGAGAGACTCCGTGAGGATTGGAAAGGAGGGCCCTGTGCACGTCGCTGGTTTAAGCAGCGAGGAGTTGAAGGAGAAGGATGGAGTGTTTCATCAGTTTGTACATGGGCTGGCGTCGTTGTTCAAGTGTGTGCACTTCTCTGCCGTGAGAGAGATGCTACACCCAGACGAAGTTATTGTGAGTGAATCGCTGCAACCAACTGCTGAGCGAATACTGACTCTGTAATCTCTTGCTAGGTCTACAGGGACACCGAGTTCCACAACTGGGGCCTTACTGAGGCGTATACACCCGTCTACACGTGTATCCCATCCACTGTCGCTGGGGTCCAGAGGATCGTGCGATATGCAAAGCAGCACTCCATGGGTGTTCGCTGCGCCGGTTTCCGTAAGTTTAGCCCACGGCAGCCCCTTTTCACAAGTGAGGTGGTCGATGTCAATTTCTAACAAGACCCTCTCAGGGCATTCATGAGCTCCGATGTTTGGACGCAATGGGCAAATACTCATCTCCTTGCTGAGCATCCAGGAGGCTGCGGTAATCCCAAACACCACAGCCTTCAGCTTCGTCCCGCAGAGACCGCCCACGGAACTTGAGTCTATCGAGGTTGCTCCAGGGACACCCCTTAAGAAGGGTAATACCCTTGTCCGAGTCGGCGCAGCAGTTACCAATGAGCGGTTGAGGCGCTGGTGTGTGGAAAGCAATAGATACACGCTTCCCCTCAACGTCATTATGGTAGAAATGACCGTTGGCGGGACCAATGGCGCAATTTGCCACGGCTCAGGGAGAGCGCAGCAAACGCTTAGCGATCTCGTGAGGAAGATTGAATACGTTGACGCAAATGGCAAGCTCAAAGTCGTTGACGATCCGGAGCACCTGCGGGCTGCTAGCGGATGCTTTGGTTTAATGGGTGTCATTACACACCTCACTCTTGAGTTCTCGCCGATGACCTACGCCATCCTGGAGGCAAAGCACATTCCAACTATCAGGGCCGTGCCTCCTCCTCCCGACATGAAGGAAGAGGACATCCCGCCTGCTCTGAGATTGCCTCTGACGCCCGAGGAACGGAAGCACGACCAGGAGCAGTTTGAGCGGCATGCCGTCAGCGACTACTATAACGAGTGGTTTTGGTTCCCCTTCTCTGATACGGTCTGGGTCAACTGTTGGAACCACACGGCAGACGGTGAAGGCGCGGATGATTATCCAGATGGCGGCGCCATCTTTTTCTCCTTCGTCACCCAATTTGCCCTCAACGTCCTCCAATTCGCGCCTACTCTCCACGAGTTCATCGATGACCTTGGTCTCAACGAGGCTGCCACAACACTTATATCACGAGCTGCCAAGTTCGCGCTGCCTGACGAGAAGGTCAAGACCTACCTCACAGACGCGCAGCACTTCCAGCGAGGGATCCAGAATGTGAGGGTGCTCAACCTTGAAGTTGAAATGCCTCTTGTGCCTAGCAAGGAGGACCCGAAGAAGCCAGACTGGGCTATCGTGCAAAGGGCTTGGTGGGATGCCATCCTCAAGTGCTACCAGCACAGCGATACATGCCCGCAACGCATGCCACTCGAGATGCGGGTGATAGGAGGCAGCAATGTCATCATGGCGCCGCAGAGGGGCAATGACTTGGGAACATGCGCCATCGAGATTCTCACGCTCTACTCGGCCAAGGATGACTGGGTGCCGTACGCGCAGGAGGTGCTCAATAAGTGGATGTCGCTTACTGATTCTGATGGCCGAAAGCTGCGGATTAGACCCCATTGGGCAAAACAATGGTCCGAGTTCAAGGTGGATGGAAAGCCTTGGGCTGAGAGGCTACGCGATGAGGTTTACAAAGAGGAGATTGTCGAGTTCAAGAGGACGCTTGCGAATATTGGGAGATTGCATGGTTGGGGACTTGCAGACTTGAAAGCGAGATTCTCCAACGACTTTTTCGATTGGTTCTACTTTGACGATGTAGTTGCCGATGGGGTCAATGGCGTTTCCCGTGTGGATGTCGGCAAGGGTGGTAAGTAAGGTTGGGGAGATTTCCATCTGTGTCTATGAGTACTGAGTAGCTATTGATTTGATATCAAAAGTACACGAATTAATATTAGTCCAGAACCAGTTACTCGAACAAATGAGACTAAGAAGTAAACTGCCTGGGGCATTGTAGTCGGTGAGCTTCGGGTCACACGACAAAAGGCTGTTTCTCTGGATGAAATGGGGCGGTGACGGTGAGACAAGGAACAGTCCCAGGCGCAATTGATCTTGGAATGCCTTCGACCCGAGGGTCCAGATTCGGACTTCGCGAGCGTGTCGTGAGCTTACCCCGCTGGCTGTGGGTTGTGGTCATAATATGGGCGCATTAATCCCGTTCTGCCCCTGTTGGCACCCGAGATGCGTGTCGGCAAAGGGAAGGGACAGTCGTCGTCTGCAGGGATCATTTCACACAGAATCATAGCTCAGTCAGTCGAAACACTCTTTACAAGTAGACAGCGAGGAGATGCCTTTTCGTATAATATACGAAGTAGTCACTATGACGCTCGGCTATGGTATGGGAAAATGGGATGCAGAAGGAACATCATATTGATCCATCAATATATTCATATATTCATGATGGTAAATAGAATCGAGCCCCTCGCGACTTCCATGACGATGTTGAGTGTCGTGTTAGCGCGTCACATGCTTCATCGTCGTTGTCTGGGTTTAACTTTTTGGAGAAGGACCAACGCAAACCCTTTCAGGGGATCAAGCATAGCACTTCTGTTGGAGGAAAGTACAGTGGAGAAGTTTGGAGTCTGAGCAACGTTGGGAAGTTGCGAATTGAAATGCGCATCTAAGTTGAGGTCAAGCCCCGAGTAATCTGAGTAAACTCCTTCGTACATTGTGATCTGTCTCTGATCAAATTGTTTCTGAGGACTTGAAACAATTCAGTGCAGTTTACGACATCACATTGATCAACCCCGAATCAATCTTGAGCAACCGTCGGATCAAGATTGATGAAAGATGGGGAAATAGGTGGAGAAATGCACCACGCCTATTCAGGATTCAGGCACCGTGCCGTCCCAAGTCAGATCCAGGTCCTCCCTCCTGTCCAGGTCCCGTTGCGGTTGCAGAGGTTTGTCTGGCTGTCCATCCTGTCAGCATGAATCCATCAATGCCGTCCTACATACCAAAGCCGGTTCGCCATTCTCACCCGCTCAGCATCCCGTTGGTTCGTCATCTCGGGGTATTCCGCCGTCGTGGTACCGTTGAACACTAGCATCCCCTACCCCAACCCTTCGTTTTAGACCGATAAACATAAAACTCTTTTCCCGCTCTCTTCGCTTTCCTTTCGATTACTCTTGGCAGACTTTCCGTCGACAAACTTTCTCATCGTTTGTTTCTGTCACCATCGCCATCGCCGGCCCCATCGGATCAGCCTTTTGTCGCGTGCCATCGGCGGCAGGCACTCTCCCATTGCCACTACCTCTGCCACTACTTCGTACCATGCGAAGCCTGCTGGCGACCGTGGGACCCTAGTTGACCCCTGCACCTAATTACCGATGGACAGTGGACGCCTCATCTTCCATCCCTGTCGCAAAGCTTTCTAATTTTTCTGTTTGTTCGAGACTTTGAGTCTTGTCAGTCAGGTTCGCCTCGAGATCGCAAACATTTCCTAGCATATCCATGCAGAAAAGCGGACAAAGCGATCGAGTTTGTTGATCGCAGCCATCCGAAGAAAACGGCGAAACGACGATTGACCCGAAGCGAAACAAAAACAATAGATACCTGTTGTTTGTTTGTTCGATCTCATGACCACCCCGAAGTTTTGACATTTGGCACCCTGTCCTGTCCAAGCTCCGCTTCTGCCACGAGTCGACAACAACATTGAACACACCGGCGTGCAGGTCCCAGCGACTCTTAAACTTCCATTTCCTCGACCTCCCGCCTTCTCTGAAAATCGCGCGAACCATCCCAAAACAACTATTTGCTTCCACGAAAATACCCATCCTGCCAGTTTTCGCTTGCGACAACTTTTTTCCCGTAAAATCTTCGATTCTGTGCTGGCCGACGAGGGCCGCCATGTGTCACGCCTAAGTACATAAATCCACTCTTCACACTCGCCGAGCTGCAGCCACTCAGGAACCCTCTCAAGGAATTCGACCCGACCCAGTCGCAGTCCCCGGCTCCAAGTTTTCTCCACTCTGACTCCAGGTCTCGCCAGCTGTTCCTGATCCCCCGACTAGCTCCACCCTGCTGCTTGGCGCCCAACCAACCACCCTCGGCACAAAGTTTTCCACCGCCAAACTTTAGCTCCAAAAGGCTTGCGACCTGTCGCACCCTCGCACTCTTCCCGCTGTGTGTTGTTTTCTTCACATCTCATAGGCCAGAACAGCGACTACTTTGTGGCCTTCTGCCCTGTTTCCACAAGGTTTTTTGGGGGGAAACGAGGGAGGCGAAAAATAAAGGAGAATAAAGAAACAAATCAGAAAGGAAGAGGACAATGGACCAACGACAGCGTCTCCCGGCGCCGCCACCTCAACAGCTCCCCTACTCGCACCCGCAGCAGCAGCAACAGCAGAACCCACACGCGCAGAACCAGAGCGGACCCACTTCCGCCTATGCTTGGCATCCCTTGCCCCAGCCAACCTCTTCGGCGACAACATCAAATTCTCCCGCAAACATCTCCAGCTATCCGTCGCCATCGAATACCGCCACACATGCATCCTCGCACAATTCCCACTACCCCGACCATCAACGCCATCCTTCCGATCCCGCATTCTATCCCTCGGCCGGTCGCTCCTATTCAGTAGACCCGGGCTCCAACTCGGATTCGAGTCAAGGGTCCCGGCTTCCTCCGCCGTCGCAAACAAACCACGCTAGGCACAAGAGCTCATCATCTGTACCGTCTGCGCCCCAAGCATTAAATCATACCATGCCGCCTCCGGGCTCACCTCTTCAACAGCAGCAGGCGCTTCCGCCGCCGCCGCCGCAACAACAACAATCGCCTGCGCAGGGCCAGCAGCAACAACCCGGCCCTCACGCTTCGCATCAAATGGGTCACTATGGTCTTCCGCCTCCGCCGAGGCCCTCCATCCCCTCGAGGCAATCCTCGACCTTTTCATCTGGTCGCGAGTTACCTTCGTTAAATTCTATCGCCAGGACCGGAAGTACTGGGAGTACCATGTCGATTTCGTCGATGCTTGGCGGACCCCCATCTAGCTCTCGGGAGTCTCACCCCCCTCCGCCACCTCAACAACAGCATTATCCTCCGTCGTCTGCCACGCCCTCATCCAATGCAGCGTACGCACCTTCGATACATGCGTCGCCGAGGATGCATTCGACATCGACAGAATATCCACCTTTTCGCCGGCCGCAAACCCCCGACCATAGTCGGCCTTACGATCCGAGAGCAACCGCCGCGCCCTCACCCCAGACCGGCGGACACTATACACCCGAGCTGCAACGTTATGGGACACCACAATACCATCAGCAACGGCCGCCGTCGATGCCCGACCAAAATCGGGACTCAAGGATACCAGGGAACGGGCTTCCTCCGCGACCTAGTAGCCAGCCAAAATCCTTCCCTAACATCCATCATCCGCCAGCCCCCGTAGAACACTCCCGGCCTCCTCCTTCAGACGATATATATAGTCGCCGGGACGATCCGAGTCGTCGACCACCCTCTTCTGTCGAATATAATCCCGAACGAACAGGCCTCAGGCCCGTTGGCTACGATGATAGATATAGGATGGATAGGGACCGACAACACGACGCCGAGCAACGAGAAAGGGAGCGACACGAACGCACCCTGTCGACTGGTGAAGCCGGAAGGCCACATCCCGTGCATCCCGACTACCCCCCTAGAGGCCATCAACCTTATGGTGGCCCCCATCCCGATGTCCGCGACCCTCGAGACCCGCGCGACCTCCGTGACCCCCGTGATCCCGCGAACTGGCAACGGCCGACAGCATACGACCCTTCTAGACCGCCGTACGAGTCCCCCGGCCAGCACCAACCGAGGCATCCCGACTACCCTTCCACTTCCGCCCCCGCATACCCAAGTCATCCTGCTCCGGTCTATTCGCAACCGCCGCCGGCCAACCAATATCCTCCTCATCCGCAACAACCCCATCACCAGCCGCCTGTGTCTCAACCTCCGGGCAGTGGCGCGCCACACGCGAGATACGATGCATCTCCCGAGAGGCCAAGAGTTAATGTCGTCCATCCACAACAACCACCTCCGTCGGCACCACATCACCAACAGCCGCTCCCACCACATCAAGCACGACCACACGACGAGATGCCCCGAAGCATGCCATACGGTCCGGCTCACCCGCCGGGTCCGTTTGATTCGTCGCGCCCCCGACCGAATGAGGAACCGCCGAGCCAGCACATGCAAAACCGCAATCATCTCGCTATCCAGGAGATCAACAGAACAAAGGGCCGGATTAGCCCCTTACCCCAGGCCGTGCAAGGTGCCCAGCCTCAGCTTCCAGGACCAGCCGGCGAGCCAGGTATCAAATCCGAGTTCGGCCGCGTCTTTTCAGGTCTCGGCGGCGGTATTGGTGGTCTAGGCGTGTCGAGTCCGGTCACTTCAGGCCCGCCGCCAGCTCCATTTTCCAATTCAACGTCACGACGAGACGAGGGCGAGCAGCCGGTAGCGCACGATTCTCCTGCCGATGGGGCGAAGATGGTGCGCGAAGGCAGTCGGGGTCGACGGCGCAAGCTGAAGGAGGAAGATCCACGGGAGGAGGATAGCAGCGGACGGCTCACCCCCGGTGGGAAGGTCAAACGTCCGAAAACTCTTCCCCATCATCACCACCATCAGTACGTTTTATCTACTTCTCCCATTTGTATTCCGCAAGCTAACCATGCCTCCTTCAGTCATCACCACCATCACCACCATCATCACCATAATCATGATGGCAGCGGTCAACCAGCCGGGACACCATTCAAGACAGGCAAGGGCGGGACCCCGATACAATCCCCAACTCTTATTAAAGACGCAGCCATACTAAGCCATCTCCCTCGCCCAAACATCGGCACCTTGGCCTCGGCTGTCTCAAAGCCCGTACCAAGCCCCGTGCCGGTTATCCCGCCCAAGCCGAAACAAATTGTCAACTCAAAAGCCGTCCTTGATTCCGTGGCTGACCGACCCAGGCATCATCTTGGCGACACGCTCTATGAGCCGATTTTCCAACCAGCGAGACTAGTACCAAACGTTCCTTCGAGCCGAGGCTTCTCGACTACCCCCAAACCGTTACCTTTTGATAGGATTCGCGATAGGGAAAACTGCACTATTACCGTCAAAGTTGCGAGGATACATCTTACACCGAGTGCGCGGGAGGAAATCACGGCGCGCCGGGCCCTTTGGGGCACGGAAGTTTACACGGACGATTCGGATGTAGTAGCGGCTTGCATCCACGGAGGTTGGATCCGTGGCGAGTGGCCAGAGGATATTGACGTCAACATGATAGATCTCGACCATGGCATTCCCAACGACGGCGTCATTGAAAAGGATGGCCGCCGTAAGAAGGAGAAGGAAGCCGAGGCGAAGGCTCGGCAGGATGCCAACGAGGCTTCGTATCTCTCAGCTCCGCCAAAGACCGGACCCGTCCACGTTCCCTCCGATCGCGATATGCATGTCACCCTTCTCGTCCTGCCCAAACTACAGAAGTACGCCAGTACGACACGGTTCGGTATACAATCTAGGGAGTTTGGCGGTACTACCAGGCTCCACGACGGACGAAGACCTGTTGAACACGACGGCTTGAGTTTCATGATCCTCGGTGTCAGGTGGGTCGAAAACGGCGCCGGGGCTCAGAGCCGACTTCGAGGGCAGGCCCGTCGGGAACGGATGAGGAAAGCGATGAGAGAAGTCAGCCTCACTTTCCAAGGCATGAATGGGGTGGAGCTGGAGCACGGCAAGGCCGTCGTGAGGAAGCTACGCTCGGAACTGGAGAATGGCGTGATGATTAAAGACGGAGAGGCCAGCGAAAAGGCACGCGTGATGCAGGATGATGAGAATAAGGAGAATGGCGATGTGGTGGATAAGGAGAACCGTCCTTCTGATGCCAAGGATGCTGGCAGGGACAAGGAGGACGGTCCAGTCACAAATGGGGACAGTGGTGATAAGATGGAGGGCGTAGAGAAAACGGATGGGAAGGCTACGAAGGCGGTGCAGGCGTAAGGAAGGACTGGATGTGTTCGGATTTGCGGCTCATTTCTTGTAATATAGATATTAATACCCGCTCCTGTAATATTTGAATCGATCTATTAAGCGTCTATTGAAGATTGTACAGTTGGTATACATCAGTCCCTTTCGCCCTCTCTCGACGTATGGCGAGGAAAGCTATCCCATGCATACTGAAGGTGCATGTCCGCGATATTCTTCACGATCGGCTACCCCAGCAAACTAGCCACTCATTGGTGTTCCCTTTTAGACCGGAGGGAACCGTAGAATCGAGCAAGGGTCGTGTCGGAAAGTTTTCGAAGCAATTCGTCGCCAAAAACTAGCTCATGCATAGCATAGATCAACCGTAAAAGCTCGAGCGTCTCCGTTTCGGAACAAGAAAAACAATAACCCCTCGCAAAGAAAGTAGCAGGCGCAACGAGTTCACGTTCTCCCGTCCCAGGGGATCCATATAACACGTCCGCGCAGCAACCCCCAACGCTCAAAAGTCGGTAACCTTCCCATTAAAGCTCCAATCTCCCTTAGCACCCCACCTCAAGGGCTCGACCTTGGGGCCACCAGCCTCTCCCGTCTTGGGATTCACGTCGCCCTCGAATTCGGGCTTGGCATTCTGGAAGAAAGGGTCGTCCTTGTCCGGGGTGGTCGCGGGGGCGGATTCAGCGGCTTTTTGAAGGGCTTCGAATTCGGCTTGTTGCTCGGCGGGGAGGCGCGGTGGGGAGGGAGTCGGGGGGATGGGGTGGGAGGAGTAGGGGCGGAGGAGGATGGTGCGGCGGGGGAGACGGAGGGGGAAGCGGCGGAGGGCCAGGAGGGACGACATCTTTTTGTCCTATCTGGTGTGGTACGGTACTTTGTAGAGGCTTTGTAGTACTGGCTTGTGTGGTGCAACGGAGATTGGTTGATGTGTGACTGGAGGCCGTCCTCTCGTTAGAGTGAAGATTTGAAGATTTGCTTCCCTCTTGCCATGATTCAATTGTTTGGACCTTCAAGTCTAAGTGGCAACGTGATTACGTGATTGACCGAGGTTGAAGGAAATACTCCCATAACTACATTTTCTTGCACCGGATACTCAAATATTATGAAATTATCCAAACGTTTTAGCCAGTATCCGATCTGTGCGACTTCCGAGACAACCATATCTCGGCCTTCTTAGATCATGGGAGAGTGTGTCGTGCAGCTGGATATCGCTTCAAGCCTAATTCCTTGGAATTATTCCTATTCCAACTATAAGCGGAAGATTTTGGAGTTCTGGCTCGACGTTCTTGGTTTTCGGCTCCTGCTGCATTGCCAGCACCACTGGGTCTCCCACTCACAGCCGACGAAGTAAGCCAGTATCCTAGGGCATTCGGCTCTTGCCAATCGGCCTTTACGGCGTCGGCATATTCATAGCCATGTTATCTACTATGAGAGGAGTTGGCACCGGTCTCGGGATGCGCACAAAAAGTCTACCACGATGCGATCTCGGACTTCCGGAGTCAAAGAACTGTTGAGCCTCCTCCAAAACATGGACTCGCTTCATTCACCCGTTCATATAAGTTGGGCTCCTAAACCGCAGGGACTAGCTTTGCTTCGGAAGAGCAAAGCAACACTCGAAGAGATAGAACTGAGGATGCAGAAATTCGGGATGCAGACTCCTGGCTGGTTGGCAAGAAGGAATCTTCTCAGGTCTTCTCAGACGGATTTTCGATGGTCGTGTATCCGTTAGAGCCTAGGTCAAAGGTAAGTTCCAACGGGAGAGGGGAGTCATTGTAAATTGTGAGCGTTGAAAGCGGTGCTACCCATTCTGGTATTAACGAAATGTCCATAGAAACATCTGCCTCTCTGTGCTGCTGATCTGGCGTCCTGTTCTGGTTTCTCGGGGACTGTTTGGATACCATATCCGCAGTGGTGGGCGCGAGACGACCTGCCACGCCGTATGGTGTCTAGGCCAGAACAAGTGCAATTGAATGGACTTTAGCCACAGAACTGTAGGACGTAATGACATTAGCATGCTCCCTCCGTGCAGTTGAAAACGTGGAGGAGTAACAGGTGTCAATGTTCTTCAGCGACGGAATTAGGCGAGAATACTCGTCGTCTCCGGACATCCTGGAAGTTCCTCAACAACGCAATGGGCGCATAGGGGCAGAGATTTTATTTTTAACAGAAAATCAACATGCTGTCAGCGATCACAAGAATGGTGTCTCAGCATCGAATAGGATGGCCAGGCGGGCAATGGCACTTGCCGCAGTGTACGAAGTGTACGAAGTAAGCTTTTCTATCAGGGTCCACCCACCGGCGGCCACCACCTCGAATTCCCGAGAGCTCTAGATTCCCAGGTTGAAGCGTCTGATCGCGACAAGCATACCCGGACTCCAGTGATATGGCAAGACGCAGACCTACGAAGTGGGTGATACGATGGTAGGGGAGCTTGGGGAGATGTGGCAGGAGATAGAATTACTGACAGCGACGACAAGGACCTCCTCCAGGCCGCAATGTCTAACGTAACATGGCTGGTGGTCGAGCACAGCCAAGCCTGCGCGCACTCGCATTGCATGAGAAGGTGTTATCGTGGTCGAGTTGGTAGTGGGGAGAAAACAAGGAAGGATCGTGTCGGCGTTCCCCGTGTACAGCGCCAAGACAAGTAGGATCCAACGAAATATGGACTTGCAGTGAAGACATTCTGGCCTTCCTCTGGACCCTTACTCTTACTACTCAGTTTCGCAAGGGAATGGGACCACACGGACGAAAATGCCTACTTCGCATGTTGCCCTTTTGCCGTCAGAATGGTCGATGCCCCCAATGAATGTCCCCACCGGGAAGTGGACCAAGTTTGGGGGTGGGGGAGGAGCATCTTGTGTAAACTAGAAGCAGTCGGCAAACCCGTCGTAGTATGAAGTAGGGACCTGAGAGGATCGTCTACAGTGAGAGGTCCTTTTCGTCCCTTGAGACGCATGGGGAGCCATGCATCCTGCATTAAGCTCAACCGGCTGGTAGTGGAATGCTTGGCTTTTTGAAGGAGTGCAGCAGAGTGGCCAATGATAGGAGGTGGAGCAACACTTTACCACCTTCCAAGATTGGTGACGAAGCTCGAGTGCTGGGTAGGCATTGTGGCACCATCTCCCAAGATGAATTCATGAGAGCGCCGGGGACAAGGCTTGACCAAGGCACCCCAGCGTTTGCCAAGGCTGACTGGCCATCCATCACTGGGGGTCGATAGTAAGGAAAGATAAGTGTGACGTCTGATTAGCTACTACTACATGTATGGTAGGCGGGAGACAGGATCTTGAGGGTAGCGGGAAATTTGGCTCAGTTGGGGCATTACGCCCGAGAACTGGAAATGCAGAGAGCTGTTTTCATGAGAGGACGTGAAGAGATCTGATGTGGATCTCCAGAATGGGGGCTAGCCTGGCCAGGGGTGAATGGGCAGTCTTCCGCACTAGGCGATAGGAGAAGAAGAAACGGGCCGATCGAAGAGACCTGCCCCACACTAGTTCCTTACTTTTTGCTCATATCAAACCCTGGGAGCTCCAGTGACAAGTTTCTGGGCTTCGTCCGTGCGTGCTATGGAAGGGAGAGCTATTGCCATCTCTTGTTTGATTCGACCGCAAGATCGCAGCCTCAATCGTCGACTGCAGCCCTAATTATCCTCACTTCCGACCAGCGTCTGCCCTAGAGGTGAGACAAAGGCTTATGGGATCTTGATTTCGATAACTCCTCTTGCTCCTTGGTAATATCCGGCGCTGCTCTCTCCCTTTCGTCGATCTCCTCAGGTTCACCAGTCTCATCGTTAATCCACGTATAAATATAGTCATCTTCAGTGACTTTCTGGTTATCTATGAATATCCGCGATTAGTTTCTGGACGAAGTTGATGGGAATCCTTATGTTCATGAAACTCACCCCAGGGCTGAAACTTCGCCAGTTCGCTCCATTCTTTCTTCTGGATATGCTTTGCAGCTTTGCTGAAGGTACCCTGGGGCATATAAATCTGGTGCCAGATACCATTTCCATCTTCATATGTCATCTTACTTGGCTCAATCACCTTTGTATAAGACCAGCCTGGTCTCTCTGATTTCCCCTCCTCGGAGCCTACTCTATCGATTCTCTTGTTATCTGCCATGGCGGACTCGAGGGTTTAAAACTAGGCGTGGAGAATGATGTGCAAGATGCTTTAAAGAAGGGACTAAGACCGCTGTCATACAGGTGAGATGGCAAAGAAGTTAGGCGGGACTTCTCGAGAGAATAGGGCGAGTGGTTCGGAGAGGCAGAAGAATATCATGTGTGCAAGGTGCTCTGGGAGGGTTCGAAATCGAGGCCTCGAAACCTTTGATGCGTCACGGCACTCGACGCGACTAAACTAATTTACACTTTTGCATATGATTTTTCAGTGACGTGACATCTGGAAATCGAGCATGGAAGACTGTGACCAAGGCAAAATCTTGAGTTAAGTATGCGACTTGAGCTTACTGTCTTAGCTCCATCTTGTGAGTTGAGGTTGGCTTATCTTTCCCATGATGAGGTCAAAATTCGGTTAATGAATTACGAAGGACGATGTATTAGACATCATTTCTCGCCGTGACCAATCTCTACTCTATATAGTCCAAATTGTAGTCTTCTTTACCGTCGAGGGGATCCGGGGTTTGTGTGAGTCGAGAGTTTTTGCTGGAGCACCTGCCTCAGCCAACGGGCGCAACTCATACTTCGTACATGATGGTGGCGAAAGAAGCGGACGGGCTTGGCCATCGGAAGTTGGTTCGTCCTGCTCAGCTGCATTTGCCGAAGCCGAAGGAGCGCTGCAGGACAGGGTGTCATTAGCGGCGCCAAAGAATCGCACGGACGACATTCCTAGAAGGGAAAAGATAAGTAATATCAAGAAAACATGACCAGTCTGCCCTGAGATTCTAGGGTTCGCTTCGCTGGGAGCTTGAAAAGCGCGAGTTCGCCTTGAGGATACTTTACTGTGATCTACTTCGTAGAATTCAATAAACAAGTGATTTGGTGGCCTTGTTGACGTTGGGGCAAAGGTAGGAGGGGAAAGGTTATACTTGACAGCTTTGACCGCTCGATTACAACTTGATGCGGCTTGCGGTCTCGAGTCTACCATTAACCCTAGAGGTGAGACTGGCGCTGACGAGATCCTGATACAAGCAACTCCCCGTCCTTCTTTGTAGCGTCCGGCGGTGGGCCAACACTATAAAAAGTCTGCACGTACGTTTAGGGAGACTCACCCCAAGGCGGGAACTTCGCTAGTTCACCCCATTCTTCCTTCAGGAAATGCTCTGTAGCTTTATCGACGGTGCCTTTCGGCATATATATATATATATATGGTGCCAGACACCGTTGCCATCTTCGTACGTCATTTCGAGTTGGCCGTATCGAACAGACATAGAGCCAACCTGGTCTCACCGGAGGCGGGATGGTTTGAGGCAGGTCTGCCGCGTCGATTCTCTTGCTATCTGACATGGCGAACGGGTAGGTTCTGTGTTCAAGAGTCGACGGGTCAGCTGCTTTGACGGGGCAGGAGTCGTTGTTGTCGAGATGAGATGACAGCAGCAAGTTCTTCAGAAGAATGCTTTGTTCTCGGGAAAGTTGCTCAATTGATGCCTTTAAATATGCGTCATGGTATGCTGCACCAAATAAAGTTTACACTTCCGCTTGTTTGCTTACTCGATATCAAATGTTGTTGGCATTCCCAGTTTCCCCGCTGAGCTGCTTCGCCAAACTCAAGCCTTGTCGACATATGAGCCCGTATCGCCGCCTGTATGCTGTGGCATTTGATGCTCGCTTCAACATCTACATCTCACTAGTCAATGAACTTTGCATCATACTTCGTATTTTACGTATCATTCATCATCTTGGCCAACCCAACCGGTCTTTAATACCAGGCTTCTGGTCTAGGACGTAGTGTGCAGTTGAGGCCAGTGAAAGAACCTGAGATCGTCTTGGATCAATTGATCTGCCTGCTTTGGAGTAGCCAGCCACTTTTACCGCCCCGAGAGATATTCGATTTGATGATAATGAGGCCTCGCCTGGCCCTATTATCTGCACGTTCCACTTACGAAGCACGGCAGCCAGGCGTTGACTCCAAAGTACCTTAGTAGTCGGTAAGCAACAAAGAAGGTCTTGGTTAGGTGGAAGACGCGATGTTGTGGGGTGAACCTGGCTCGTGCAGGCTTAAACCAGGCTTGGTGACAATGCCAAGGTAGGCGTGCCTGGTCGCAACGTTCGCTGGCAAATGGGCTAATTACATTGCAATTTTCGGCCCACAGTGATCCCACCTTATCAAAATTCCCTCGGGGGAGCAGGACCGGGGAGGATGCCTGGGCGACGGGAGTTATCGGAAATGCTAATGGACGAACTTTTATGTAAGTAGATGGGAGACACGAGGGTGACGCCCAGAAGGCTAAGGCCCAAATAGTGCAAGCATGAAACGATGGGAAGCGGAGGATTCGAAGAACCAGCTAACATAGGGCCCCAAGGCGAGGATAAGGTATGGGCAGTGGACACTGCGCACTACTCGTATAGGTGTCAGTCTCGGAGCTAGTCGAAAATCGTCTTTAGCGCACTCACCTGCCCAAATCATCTTGCCTCCTGAGTCTGCCCACATGCGCCCAGACAAGTAAGCTTCCAGAACGAAAAATCCTCCGGCGCTTATCTCGACCCGACCACTGCCCTGCTGCGATGCTGTGCGCCAGCGGCTGAGACCCTAATCAGACCTTTGTCTCGGGTGCGACCACAGCCCAATCCGTGAACTTTGCAGCCTGGCAATAAGCTGAACGAATCTGCCTCGCGATCGACAGGCTTCCCCGTCTTTGATCGTCCTGGCGTACACCCCCCGCACCGAATTGCCTTGATGATCATCGGATGAACATAAGCGACAAGCAACCAGATCGAGGGGAAGAAAGCCTTCAATCCCACCTTCCAGACCGGGTAAAAAGAGGAGCATTCACGGACACCTATCAGTGAAAGTGAAGGAGCCACATCAAGTCTTGGCAGTATTAAGGCAATTGAAGTGGGGGGGAGGAACATTTGAAAGTAAGGAGACGAGTTGATGGATCTGAGGGGAGGATAGGACGAAGTACGAAGTACAGGAATCCGCCGAGACCAGGCCAAGCCTACACCTGCTTGGCTGGCGCCTTCCTATTCCTATCTCGACCGTCTCCCTTGCCTCACGTCTCCTGCTCCGTGTTCTCAAAGGAGGTAGGTTTCAATGCGATGGCTCTACTCCAAGGCCATGAGAAATGAGAATAACTGCTCACGTGTGGCCATGCTTGCCCTTGTGCAGAAGATTGACTCGGGGCTTCTTTCCATAACCAGTTTAAGCTTATTATCCCGTACGCATAGTTGATGAAGTACCTCTACTCAGTATTGCCCCTTCGCAAGAAGAGAGCGAAGAGAATGGCGGGTCTTGATCGATTCAAACGTAATTTTTATTATGGCATCGATGTAACAATACTCCAGATCCAGCCACCGGACATCGCGCGAGGTGCAAATCACGATCTACAACGTCCTCCGTGTCTAGCCGGCCACCGGGGGGGATCAGGGCTAGGAGGAGTTGACGCCACCGCCGAGAAAGAAAGGGAAGGCAAAAAAGCGAAGGATAAAACAGAAACCGCGCAAGAACCACGCAACGAGTCGAGGAAATAGGATTCTTGTGAGCTGTCCGGCCGTCTCCACGCATCGTCGCGTGTTCCTCCAGGCTGTCTCCATTTCCATTCTCTGGGATCAGGCGTTCATGAGATAAGAACGGATGAATTTACTAATAATATCGAGCCTTGTAATAGTACCACCGCCTGCTATTGATGGCATGCCTTTTCTAACCAGCTGGACCTACTGGACTTCCACACTTTAACCTCCCCCATGTTCCCCATCATTTCCCCAGCAAACCTCTTGGCTTTCTGCCCTGCTCCAGTCCCATATGTCCCTTGTGATGTCGCCCTCGAACCCCCTCCCTGGTTGTGCCCGCACCAGTGCAACACATAAGATAACCCAGACCAGTAGGCAAAGTCTTGGCTTGCATCGAGAACGCGCATTTGTTATCTCTTGCACTGCCAAATCAAGCAGCCGGGAGACACCTTGCCACACGGCCAGTCTGCCCAGACCGGCGGATTTGCTTCTTTCTCCACGAGTGCAGCGTTCCCCATCTCTCCTCCCGTGTGTAGCCCCGTCTTCCTTCGCTCGAGACTTGTTGTGATAAGAAACGAAAGAGCGGTCCGCACGTAAATATATTATGTACATATATTAAGGACGGCCTCCGCCTCGCACTCTATTCAGACACAACTTGTATCCTTTCCCGCTTGTGCTTCTCCTCTTCCCTTCATCAAGCTGCCTCACTCCTCTCCATCTCTCCTTCCTGTGACATATAAGTGAGCAACGTTCGCATATCCTCGCGAATGGCTACCACCACTACCACATCCACCAACGAGAAGAGGGCGATCTCCGACGATGCGGGTATCTCGCCCGTCTCTTCGCAGGCGGAAGGGGATATCAGAACTGAGGTTGTGAAGGAGACCATTCCTCAGCGCTTCTGGCGATATACCACAACTCCTGGCCATGCGTTCCAGATCGTCATCGCCGCCGCATTGGCAATTGCCATCGGCATGGCCGTAACCTCAACTGTTGACGATATCCCGTCTGCGGTTCCGACTCTTGTCGGCATTCCAGGAACACTATGGTTGAGGGCACTCAAAGCTGTTGGTACGTCACTTCCCACACACGCAATTCCCAGAAAAGCACTCTGCGTTTTGAGTTGCACCCCATGTTGATTAACGCCTTGCTTAGTCCTTCCTCTTATTGTCACCGCCATGATCCTTGCTATCCAGAGGCTGCGCCAGATGAGCACCAACGGAGGAAGGAAACTCGCCGGCTGGGCGGTCGGCTACTATGTCCTAACCACCATGCTCGCCATCGTCATCAGCTGTATCCTGACGAGCCTTGTATGGCGCCCCATGTTCACCGTCGTCGACGAAGACTCGCTCTCGCTCGACAACATTTCCGAAAAGGACGCCGCCAAGACGGAAAAGCAAGAGATTCACCAAGTCGTCCTGCAAATGTTCGAATCTCTCGTTCCCGCCAACGTTGTCAATTCTCTCGCCACCGATAGTCTGCTTTCCGTGCTGGTCATGTCCATCGTCATCGGCTACCTCATCGACTCGGAGCAGTCTGCCATCTATCGCGTTACACTTGAGGTCGAATCCATTATCACCAAGATCATCACTTGGCTTATCAAGATGGCTCCTGTCGGCGTCTTCTTCCTCATTCTGCCCAACCTTTTCAAGCTCAACATTTCCGAGATTGGCCAGAACCTGGGCATCCTCATGGGCTGCACTCTCACGAGCATGGGCATCCACCTCTTCATCGTTTTACCCATCCTGTTTTTCTTGTTCACGCGGAAGAACCCCTACACGTATTGGGCCAAGTGTTCGCCCGCCTGGCTGACTGCTTGGGGTACTGCTTCGTCGGCTGCCACGCTATCCGTCACTCTGAAATGCGCCAAGGCTCGAGGCGTTCCCCACACCGTCGCCGACTTTGCCATTCCTCTCGGATGTCTAATTAACATGGACGGGTAAGTCATTTCTCATTCCTGTGATAGTGTTGGGAGGCGATCTAATTTGAATTCTGTCATCAATAGTACCGCCATCTACTTCCCCGCCTGCGTCGTCTTCCTCGCCGCGACCCAGGGCCACGAGCTCCTGCCAACCGACTATGTCGTCATCGTGCTGCTCTCCACACTCGCCTCCATCGGCACGACCCCGATCCCTTCGTCCTCTCTCGTCCTCACCGTCATGATCGCCCAGAGTGTCCGGGTGCCCCTGACTGGTATGTTTGCCGTCATCATCGCAATCGATTGGTTCATCGATCGTTTCCGAACGGCCATCAACGTGAGCGGCGACCTGTTCGCAGTCTCGGTAGTCGCGAAGATGACGGGCATCAAGGATGAGGATTCGAGCCAGATGCTCCGGAATGAGAATGAGACGGAGTCGCTGAGGAACGATGCTCGGGTCTAGCAAGATTGAATAGTTGTTGTATTTTCGTAGCTTGAGTTATATATGAAGAAAAAGAAAAGCAAATATTTCACAAAATGTTTTTCGCCATTTGTCCGTCGGTGTTGGCATTGATCTTGCCGCCCAGTTTTCGTCCCGAGAAGTTTTCGGCACGAAATTTGTTGAGGGTGCTGTTCCTCCATTCGAAGAAGTTGAGCTGAACTACCAACCGCAATGTAGTAAATGAGCTCTCCCTTTGTAATGTATTCAGTACAATTGTAGCTAAAATCCCTCAGAAATGTGACTCCTTGCTTTCGTTATCATCGTGCAGTGTTCGTCGGCTTCAAATGTAGGCTAAGCAGCTGTGGACAAGCGCCCCCAGTTGTGTTCCTGGTTCCTGGGCGACCAGAGCTGATCGAGCTTCAATTCAAGTGACCCCGCCCCCACTGCAAAGGGATCAAATAGGACGACTTTGGCGGTGACAACTCTTCTCCTGCCCAACATTTAGGCCGAATCCTAATAATTGACGTTGAGGCTGGCAATATTTGATCTAGCGATCCCTTATTTTCTATAATTGACATAATTGGCACCATCAGTGTCTTCCTTTAAGCTTTCTCTTCCCCCCCCTCGTCACAGCCCCGCCTCTTTCTGAGACCGCCCTTTTACACCATGGCCGCCAAGGTATACCGCGCCAGCACGACGGCACCCGTCAACATTGCCGTCGTAAAGTGCGTCGATAGAACACTTCCCTCATCCTCAGAGTGTAGAAGGCTAACATATCTACCCTACCCAAAGGTACTGGGGAAAGCGAGACCCCAAGCTCAACCTCCCCACCAACAGCTCCCTCTCCGTGACCCTCTCCCAATCCGACCTCCGAACCCTGACCACGGCATCATGCTCCGAGTCCTTCGACCGTGATAGCCTCATTCTCAACGGCGAGGAGGCCGACGTTTCGGGCGCCCGAACCCAGGCCTGCTTCCGCGAACTTCGAGCCCGCCGCGTAGCCCTCGAGGCCAAGGACGCCTCGCTACCCAAGCTCTCCGCCATGCATCTGCGCATCGTGTCCGAGAATAACTTCCCCACAGCTGCTGGTCTCGCTTCCTCAGCGGCGGGCTTCGCCGCTCTGGTTCGAGCCATTGCTGATCTGTATGAGCTGCCCGACTCGCCCACGGAGCTTTCCCTCATCGCGAGGCAAGGGTCCGGATCGGCGTGCAGGAGTCTTTTGGGCGGATACGTTGCGTGGAGGGCTGGTGAGAAGGAGGACGGCACTGATTCGCTCGCCGAGCAGGTAGCGGATGCGTCGCATTGGCCCGGCATGAAGGCGTTGATCCTCGTCGTCAGTGCCGGCAAGAAGCTCGTTCCTTCGACTTCCGGAATGCAACAGACCGTGGCCACGTCGTCGCTATTCAAGCAGCGAGTCGATGCCGTCGTGCCCGTTCATATGAAGGCCATGGAAGAGGCGATACGCGATCGCGATTTTGCCAAGTTCGCCGAGGTGACGATGAAGGACTCGAACTCGTTCCACGCCACCTGCCTCGATACCTACCCGCCCATCATCTACATGAACGAGTATTCCAAGGCTGCCATTCGCGCGGTGCAGCTGATCAACGAGGCCGCGGGGAAGACTGTCGCGGCTTATACCTTTGATGCTGGCGCGAACCCCGTCATTTACTACCCTGAGGAGGAGTCCGAGGCCGTAGTCGGCACTCTCTTTAGCGTGCTCTCCGAGCGACCGGGATGGAAGGAGCCCGAAGCGTACAAGGGATTGAAGGCTGCGGTCGCCCTCGATGATATTGGTTCATTCCTGGCCGAAGGTGTCAACCGTGTCATCATGACTGGAGTTGGAGACGGTCCCGTCAAGTCTGACCAGTTCTTGATTGCTGAGGATGGAAGCCCAGTCAAGACTAATTAGAGGCTGAGCAGGTCTGGCTTTGGAAAAACAGTGGGAAATGAAGTCTTGACATAAAAGCAGCATATATAGGGTCCTTAAAAGTGGCCGTGATGTCTCAATTGATGAATATAATCGAAGTCGGTCTAGGCAAACAGTTTCCTTGATCCCCCTGTTTTATGACCGCAGTGAGTGTTTCGCCTATTTAGGATTTTGGCCGGGATCCTGACGACACGTCAATTTGTTTTCTCCCTCCACGTTACATCTCCATTTTCACCACAGTCGCCAAAGCATCCTAATCAATTGCCAGCTACGTATGGATAACAGGTGGTTTTCTAAACATTGATATCCGATGAAGTTTTCCTCATCGATGTGTCGATGCAGCAACCTCCATCGCTCCTTCTTTTCAGATGAGCTAAAGTGGGAACAGCTCGTTCCTTCCCAATCCTCCCATGACCAAATTCTGTGAATCACAACAACATCAAGGAAGGAGCTCTTGAGAGATGGAGCAAGATGTGAATTGCCCTTTACAGAGTAGAGGCCACAAAAAATCACTACAAAATCCAAAACAACCTCTGGTGGTCAAGATTTCGAAATCTCTTTCCTCCCACACCTTGAACCATCACCATCTCTTTACTTTCACTCCTCATCCATTCATCATCAACCATAACCAGTTTCATCAAATCAAACCTTATCACAGTCCACAATGGCAAGAAAGAAGCGGTCTAAGGCCAAGAAGGCTAACAATGCTGTTGTGCCTGAAGTCCAGGGCAATGTCCAGCCCATCACTCGACTTGGAGACCCCGGCAATCATGAGGAACCTGTGAAGGAGATTCAAGATATGAGGCCAATCGATGAGCCTGTAAAGGATTTAGAGGCTACTGCAGATGACACGACACCTGCCCTTAATGAACCAGAGTCTGAGTTGAGGGCTCTTGCAAGGGATACGCTTGGCCTTCGTGATGCAGAGTCTGATGCCGAGATAAGTGCGAATGCGAAGTCTTTGGACATCATGGAACTTGACAGGGCAGGCATACTCCAACGTGAGTGGGTTGATGCAAATACTGATGTCTTGAAGGTATGGCCATCTCTTCCCCAAGGCTACCATCCCCGAACACTACTGTCACCATAATTCCTCTCATCAAAACACGTTATTCCTCTCCTCATCATGCCCTTCTCTAACTCCAGTTCCCAGGTTGAAACTCCTGCTCCTCCTAGTAACATGGTTCGCAAGTCGATTCGACCCTGGATCGAGTGGTGCCAGCAGACTCTGCGTGAGGGTCTACTGCCCGTTGGCTACCCTTACTCGGTCTCCGAGGACTATCTCGCCTATCAGACATATGATTCCCTCCAGGCGTTCTTCAGTACCATCACAAGCATGCTCTCTGATCGTGCTCTCCTCGAGGGCCTTGGTGTCGGCGACGCGAACACCTCCACCACCTACGCGCTCCTTCTGAACGTTTTCAAGGACTGCGTCTCCCGTTTGGCCACCATTGGCTTTGCTCAGCAATATGGCCTAATCATCGAGCCCGAGTGCAAGCGATACCGCTTCATGGCCGATCTTCTGAACGACGGCGCCTTTTTTCTCAATCTTGGCAGTCCCCTTCTTGGGCCGATCGGCAAACCTATCCTTCTCGCCGTGGCTGAAGGCCTTCGCGCTATGTGCGGTGTGGCCGGCAACGCGAGCAAGGCGGCGCTCTCGAGCCACTTCGCGCTCCAGGACAACCTTGCGGAGCTGAACGCAAAGGAGGCCAGCCAAGAAACTGCCGTTGGTCTCGTTGGTCTTATTGCCGGCACTCTTGTGGTCAAGCTTGTTCAGGATCGCACCGCCGTTTTCTTTTTGATGGTCGCCCTCGTCCTAGGCCACCTCTACGTGAATTACCTTGGCGTTCGAGCCGTCACGCTCCGTACCCTCAATCGCCAGCGTGCTACCATCATTTTTAGCCATTGGATGAGACATAGCTCTGTGCTTTCTCCCGCTGAAGTTTCCGAGAGGGAGAACATTCTTACTTGGAGCCCCATCATCAGCAATTTTACCGGACGCAAGAAGGCGATCGTTCTTTTCGCTAAGAACTACTATGAGTTCAAAGATGGTGGCCATCCTGACATTTGGTTCCTCCAGCGGCCCACTTTTCTCATCACGGTCCGTTACATTGAGAAGAGCGGTCTGTTCCGCGTCAAGATTATGCTCACCTATCGAGCTGAGCCTATCGACGCCGTGAAAGCCTGGTTCCTGGCTATGGAGATGATTTGGGACCTCCCCGCGGACGGCAAGTTGATGGACTATGAAGGCTGGGAGCTGGCCGTCCCCAACGTCGACCCCGATGTCGAGACAGATGTCGACACCGATGATGGAGCCGAGAGTGAATACTCTAACCATATCTTGAATTTCAACCATCCCCTGTTGTTCAAGAAGCTCGAGGCTGCCGGATGGGATCTTGGTACTTCGTCCATGGAGACGGGTAACCCCGTGCGAATCAAGATTACTCGACGTAAGGGCAATGAGACCAAAAAGGATCAGTGAATTGGTGCCGGTGTTTTTGCATGACGGCGTTTATTGGGACTGTCACTTCTCGGAAGATACCAAACGACACAAGGCGAAGGCGCATTTGTAAGTTCATGAGCAATGATGCAATGAGCCAGTTATTTCGGAAAAGAAACAAAAATTAGAGGGGGGAAAAAAAAAAAAAAGGATAAAAAAAAGATAAAAAAGTATTTCAGGACTGATTCTGGAAAGGTTTGACTATTCTGTGTATCTTAGGAGGATAGCAAGTAGCGTTCAGATCAATGATTAGTTTCTGAACAAACCTGTGTTCATTTGTTCGTGTGCGTTTTAGCTCTTGTACATGTTTCCTCTTAGACAAACTCAAGAAACACATAAACACCAATGGAGGGATAGACCGTAACGACGTACTTCATATCAAAAGGGAGATGTTGTCTAATTAGATCTAGATATTCCAGCCCAGTTCATATTCTATGATAGCAGGACATTGATGCAAATACTCCGAAAGTGAAAACAAGAATATGACACTCCCCATACGCGCCATTTCCGATGGTTATACAAAGTCACAGATATAACATACACTCATCCTAACAAAAGACGCCCTTTATTTCGCGCGTCTCCTCTACACGACTCCAAGTCCCCTCAGCACCCTCATCTTGACACCCTCCCACGTATTCAGCTTCGGCCGCACATCAAGATAGAAGCTCGGCCCGCCGGTAGCGCCCTTCGCCCTCCCGGCGTAGAAATCTATCACGTAGTCGACGCGCGTGCCGCAGCGATCGACGATCCAGTCGTGGCGGTCGAAGGGGGCCGTGTAGCCCAGGAGGGTGTTGATGCGGGCCTTGGGCGACATGCGGGTGCTAAGACCGGCGAAGGAATGGAGCTTGGGTCCGTCGCAGCTGTACGTTTCTCATAGTTAGCGAATGCGTCTTCAGCTCTAGAGGTTGGAGAGGGGGAGAAGAAGAAACATACGCAGTCCCAGCAGTATAAGGCGTCTCCCACTCCAAAATCTCCTTCCACGCCCTCTCATTAACAGCGTTATGTATCGGCACAACAGTCTTCATATCCGCTGCCTCAGCGCCATGTCCCTTCCTACGCATAGCGTCAAAGAACATCTTCTCCGACGGATACACCCAGTTCCCTGACGCTTCGTCCTTGCCAGTTTCCGTCTCGTGGTTCACCGGACAGCCCGTCACGGCGTTGGGGTCTGAGGAGCGGGGGATGCTGGAGACGACGCGCGAAGTGTCGAGCGAGGGGTCGTGGGGGGCTGCCGCCGGAGTGGGAGCCGGCGCTGCAGGCGCGGAGGATGTGAAGGGGATGTAGGAGACGATGGTTTGCGCCCAGGACTTTGGCGTCGGAGCCGGAGCCGGCTGGGATTGGGGTGGGAGGGGATGCGGCGCTTGGGAGGAGCCGCCGGCGCGGGCTTGGGCGAGCCAGGCTTCGCGGGACTTGTGGTCGACGGGACAGGCGGATGCCCCGTCGCTTGGGGCTTTGGAGTCGGCCATTGGCAGGAGATTATGGTTCTGAGGTTCGGGGATTTGCAGGTTCTTGCGTTTGCGCCAGGCTGCTTCACTAAGAAGCAAAGGGCTGCTCTCGAAGCGGTTTCTGCTCGAGATCTTTGAGAGGACGCCGGGAAGACGGGACCAAATTTTCTAAGGGCAGGAGCGAATCGGAAATAATGTATATCCAACCCAGTTCGCACTGTGTGATGGCGTCACTGACCAAGCTCAAGCACACTTGTACGCCAAATTTATCCCAGGCGCCGCCTGGATTTAATAGAAGGCGACATTTTCTCACAAATTTGCTCACTTCAAGAAGCCATAAAAAGGGAAGAAAATGATGAGGGAAATGAGAGAGGAAGAAAAAAAAAGGAGGAAAAAACTGCCTCGAATATAAGTGAATGCTAATCAGCTACTACTCTCGAGAATCATAACGTCGTGAATTCTTCTGAACTCCTCATCTCATCGAAAATGCACGATTCTAAGGTGAATTGGGAGTCCCGGTAAGACTCCTCAATCCCCAGTCTCCACGGCTCCCCGGGCCAAGAAAAAGGAAAGAATGCAAGGAAGAAAGAAGAAGGAAAACGGCCGTAGCTCTGCAGACGACCTCGTCCGCGTCCCCATCGACCTTCACAACAGACAGACTTAGAGAGCAGGCCCTTCCCAGTCCTCTCGTCTCATCCGAATAAGCCACGCCTGTTTATGCGGAAACGCAATCTGCCGCTCCCTCGAGAATCCCGCCTTCTGAAGATGAGAAAGGAACCTATACCACAAATTAGTGCCGGCCACACACAACAATAATGCCAAACAATGGAAAAATCCTTCCTCCTCCTCCTCTCCCCTAGGACAAACTAACCTCTCGTTATCGACCCGCGGCTCCAAACAGATGCTCATCGTGCGGAAATCCGCCGTCAAGCACCAATGCACCAAGCTCGACAGCCAAGTCGGCACCCTCCCCCGCGCCCACTCCTCGCCGACCAGAATATGCAGCCCGCGGTCCCAGTCGGCGATCAAGTCCCCGAGCTTTTGTCCTAGAGGATCCTCCTTGACCCAGTATATTTCGAAATAGCCGAACGGTACGCCGTCCCACATGCCGATGACGGGGAACGAGTGCTGCGACTTCACGGCGTTGAGGAGGAAATCGGGGGTGAATTCGCCCCAGAATTTAGACACGCGAGGCTTTGAGAGCCAGGATTTCAAGAGAGCGGTGTCGGAGAGTTCCCGGAGGTGCGTATGTTCGGGGGGGTTGGGCCCCAGAGGGCCGCGATATTGCACGGGTGTCGCCGAGGTCGAAGCTACTCGGAGCGACAGATAATGGCCTATGCTCGGCACGAATCGGGAATAGAATATCTCGCCCATTCGCGGGGGCTTCGGCCGCAGGGGATGCCGCACATTATTCGTAGTCGTATAGGCGAGCGGACCAGGAGGGTAATAGGTTGGTAAATGCGAGCTGGAGTAAAATGGACCGGAGGGAACCGAGGTGGGCGGTGCCGTGAAGGTTGTCGTGGGTATCGAAAACATGGCGGATTGGTCGGCGTCGGCGGCGGCGATCAGCGGCGACAGGGGTGTGCCAGGCCTGCTGCTTGGCGGGGATCCCAGGAGGGAGCTGCTGCCAAGGTAGGTATTGTGCTGCAGGCTAAAGAGAAAGAGGCGACCGGGGATCTGCCAAAACATTTTCTTCGACACGAACATGCGGGACCACGACTCGGCCGACTCGTCGCTGACGGCGGAATCAGCCGACGCGATGAGGCCCATTCGCTCAAGCTTGGGTATCAGGTTCCTGCCGCGCAGCACGCCGTCCTTTTTAACGTTGATCAGCCAGTCGCCTTTAGGCTTCGCGTCGTCGGGGGTGTTCTTGGAGGCCTCGGTGCGCAGGTAAGGAAGCGGCTCGGGCTGGTGGAAGTACCAGTACAGCGTAATCCAGAGCATCATGGCGATTTGGCGGGTTGGACTGGCGGGGGCCTTGTACTCGGAGCTCGAGGGGAGGGACACGGATGAGATGAAGAGATTGTCATTTTGCAACGATGGCTTTGTATAGGGACGGATGCGTAGGTGCGAGCCATTGGCGTGGGAGTGGGCGTGGGCCGCAACTCCGTCCAGATGGTTGTTTGGTCCGTGGCCGTTGATCGGAGGCGAATCATGATATCCGGCACCGACGCCGAGGGGGGACACTTCTCGCTCTTGTGTATTTAGGACCACGGTCCAGCCAATCGGGTAGGGATTAAGTTGATTGCTTAATTCATTGGATTTGAAAAAGAGACCAGAAAAGACGGGTTTGACTGTGAAGCTCTGGCCGTCAGGCAAGTTGATGACCTGGGGCGCCATCCTCAAAGATATAGAATAGATTGGAGATATCAGCGATGGCAAGGTGGCACGTGGGAGTTACCGAGGGTAGGTTCGGAAAAAGCAGAGGAATGATTAGGAGCACCAAAGGTTCAGAGGGTGATGATCTGAGGTTTTCAAAGGTTGAGACGCGTGACCTCAAGAGGAGGAGGAGGCGACTGTGCGATATGCGGAGGCGCCACAAGGACGCTGAACGCACGATGGTGACGTCTAGCGAAATTTGCGAATTCGCCGAATTCCCAGGGAGGGAGCAAAGGAAGGGAGGAGAGTTGGAGGAGGAAGCTCTGCTCCAACCAACGAGCCAACCCGATCCGAAACGAGGTCGAGGTCGAAGCTACAAAGGCTAGTGAGAGTAGGAGACACTAGTTAGTACTTTAGAGTGACAGCATGAAGTCTGGAGTCGGGCGAAGGAGCAAGCTGGAATGAACTGTAATGTTGTAACTTGAGATCTCCAAGGCGGGTATTAGCGGGGTGGTTTTGGTGGCGGGCGGGGGAGCAATTGGCGATGGATCCTCAGGTAAAGTTGTAAGGTCGTCCACCAGCAGACGTCAACGATCATTCGATGTAGCTCCAAAGTAGCTTCTTGTATCACCCTGTCTCACTCGGTAGCTTTAGCTGTAACTCTTTGTCTGGGCGCCAGCTCAAATTCAGCCTCGGTGCTGTGTTATTGCCGTGGGTATCAAAAGACTTCGGTGTGGGCTCAATCAAATCGTGCCGTCATCGGGTACTTCGCAGTTGAATACAGGAACCTTCTTTTTTTTTTTTTTTTTTCCTCTTTTCGTCGTATTGATCTCTTTGATCCGTTTTAGGGCGGCCAGGTTCACTGCTCTGCTGCGGATCCTAATCCTACACTGAGCTACAGTGAGAAAATAGGCGACGGTGGGCGGCAAGACTAGCTCAAAGGAGTCAAGTGCCCCCGAAGCTCTGACGAAACGGACTTACAACGAGCTCTCTTTGGTAGTATTTATGGTTGAGGAGGTCAGACTCAGAATTTCCCCAACTCCACTGCTGATGGACCCGAAGCGGGCTCGGATATAGCGGGCGACGGGAGGATACGGCCGAGATCGCTGCCGTGCGTGGACGAAGTAATGGATGTATTGATGTATACGAAGTAGATCGACTTTGTTGTCGTAATTGTGCGTGCGTAGGATTCCGAGCTTGGGAGCCGTTTTTCAAATTGAGCTGGGAGGATCTGGATCCGGGTCTAGATCTGGAAGAGACCAGGGACAAGGGGGTTAGGGGGAAGGGGGCTTAGGCCAGATCGCTTGGCTATGCTCGGAGGGGAATGCCCGAAGATAATCTCGCAAAGATAATCTCTCTTCCAGATAATCTCTCGGCTGCGGTAACACACAGGCCCAGGTGCAGGCGGCAGATGGGCTGGTCTGGACAGAGAGGGACGTCGAGGCTCTATTAGTACGAGCGCAGGCTTGGGCAGAGCAGTCAGTGGGGTGCGACTTCGCGTTGGTCTGTTCTCGTTCTTATATCGTGTTGCAGAACGGGTTTAGCTGTGCTAGTTGATTTGTGCACCAGGAACAAGAACAGAACAAGAACAAGAACGGGAAAAGAAGGTGGAATGAATGCCGGACCTAAATGTTTATTTAACTTTCATGTTCTAATCATTGCTTCTTATATGCATGTTCCAGATCAGCTTCGGCCCCCGCTTGTAATTGTAGTGTAGCGTGGTTCCCCTAGTTTCCTTCCATCGTCCAGGCACAACGGCTTAGCATTTGGACGGGCTGGCTGTGTTGGCTGTGTTGGCTGTGTACATCGTCGTAGTTTACCAAATCTGGATATCATCAAGCAGGAACAGGAACGAACCTCCCAAAGCTTCGAGATTGGTAAACAGTCTCTGCTGGTTCGTGACATTTGGCCATAGCCGGGTGATACTCTCCGCCACTAGGAGCTTGTTTATCTAACGAGTCGGTCACATCAACTCACTAGACTTTGCCCATCTGAGATACGGCGACGGTGATTCGCCGAGCCATCCAAGACTGCCTTCGGCTCCCCGCGTATGCGGGCTCGCTTTCTTACTGCGGGAGCGGGATCTGGTATGTTTGTCGCGTACTACCGTGGGGTGTCTCCCAGGATTCAAGATGAATCATTGTTTCTTCCGCTGTCGTGTCGCGCCAGATCCCTGTCACCATGCAGCCTGCCTTACGAGTACATGTAGTACTATTTCCTAGTGGACCCGGCCACCAAGGTATTGATCGTCGTTGGCCCAAGGAGTGGAGGTTTCTTTGTGTCATCGACAAGGTATGAACTTTCCTCTCGTGGGGGAAACCGAGAGGGATGATGATGGTGATGATGCGATGAGAACCATCTTCACAAGAAACTAGATCCTCCATACTCGACCCTTCCACCGTGACAAGGTAATGGATCTCATAGGAACGGGACGAGGTCCTCGTGATCAATGAACCGAATCTCCCTCACTTACAAGAGTTCCATGGCCAACTCTGCCCTCTTCATCTCTCTCTCCAACACCTCACACAGCCTCCCCCAACGCCCGAACCCCACCCCCAAGCCTGCACGCGAGATGCACTTCCTCCTTGATCCGGTCTAGACTCGAATGATTGCGATACAAACCGGGTTGGATTTTCTGACGAGTACTGCTAACGGGAGCGGAGCTGTTCTCGAAAGCTGGAGCCTGGTTCCGAAAGGGGATATCCCACCCTCCTCCTCCCGGGCTAAGATTGACCAATCGATCGAGACGTTTTACTCATCAGAATGTCAGCTCTTTTTCGCAACTGAATCTGCTAGTTCCGCCCTCGGCGCGTAAACAGCTTTTCATATTGACTCGTTTGATTGTTTCGTTCTAATGTTCTTGTTTTGTGGACTAGGAACTCTGCTGACATCAAGCGTGTGTGGTGCAGTGTGCTGTATCCAATATACTCTGGATCTCTTGGGCGGACATTGCCAACTCTTCTCGCACTTGCTCCGAGAGAGTGGAGGGGTTCAATTACGGTTTGGACTTTCCATCTATTGAGACAGCTCCCACTTCTGAAGAGCTTAAGTCTGTTTAAGTCTGTTTTCATCGGTCATCGACCAGACCCCCCCAGACCTCCAAGAGATGGCCTTTTCACGGATGCACTCATAAACTTGCTACCCGTGAGCCAAGAAATGGGAACGACGATATCACTATTGGGAGACGTGGTTCGGCGAGATCTTGCATATCGGGGCCCTCAAGTGTGCAAGCCTCGATGTCATCCAGTTTATTGACTGCCCAGGCATGCTAACAAACTGTTTGCTCAAAGACAATGCCGCCTTGCCTGCCATGCGGAACGCCGCGAAAACAGTTTCCTTACTCGCCCCTAAGGGCCCTTGACTCCGGTTCTACCGTATATTGTTTCCAAAAAGCGCCGGCCTTCTTGATAGCCCAACTCTGCTGAGCAGTCCCTTCTTCGCTTCTTCGCTTCTTCCCTTCTAACCCCTACCTCCATTGTAATCAGCACCGCCAGCTTTCCTCAACCTAGCAACGATATCCGCCTCATCCAAATCCGACTTGTCATTCGCATCAACCTGTATACTATGATGGCTCAGCACCTTCTTCACCTCCCCGCTCTCGATGCTAACCCTCGCCTTCCTCATAACCTTGGTATTGTCCCCAATCCAAATGACAAGCACAAACTTGACCCTCGTGCTCTCCGAGTCATTGGCGTATTCCACCCGCACGTACGCGTACTGCACCTGGCTGTCGTCGAGCTCCTCGCGCAGCTCCGAGAGGCCGCCCGATCCCGTCTTGGTCAGCTTGAGCTGGTTGCCTGTCGGACCGTTGCCGATGAGGAGCCAGTTCGTCGGCTCCTTGTCTGAGCGGACGGCGTCGTATGCGCTGGCTATCTCGGGGGAGTTGAGGCCAGACATGGCTTGTATATTCTCGGGGGTAAAAAGGGTCGGTGCGGGGGAATTTCGCGGGGCTTGCGTCAAAGGAGAGGGTCGCTGGTTGTCCCTCTGGCGTTGACGGGCCGATGGTTCTCGAGTGTTGTCTTTGATTTTTTGGCAAGATTTTTTTTGGGGGAGAGGAGCTTCGTGGTAGGAGAGCTTTGCGACAAGTCGTGTCAGAGGCTTGTCGGGGACGGGTTGTTCGGTCTCGTGCCGCTGCTCGGTGTGGAAGGAGGCGGAAGCCAAGTGATCAGCCAGCGATGCTGAACCCCCTGTCTCAGTCCGTCTTGGAGGGGTCGATCGCCTCCATTGAAGCATTGTAGTGGGGAGTTTTCTATTCGCTACTGACATAACCGGGATAGTATGTAATTTATCTGATTAGAGTGAGTATCGCCTTCACGGTGTCAATTCACGGATAAGTGCATGATTCGCTTACGCCAGACATGTCAACACTTGATAGAGACACAAAGACAGCAGAAATAGAACATACCGGGCCAACTTATACCAAGGAATTGGTTCTCTTCCACAGCTGGCGTCACCTTCGCAGTGGTCCCAGCCGATGTCAAGACCGCAGATTCTATGAGCGCTGAGAGCACTGTTCGTTTGCAAGAATTCGATCTTGGCCATACCTTACCAGCAAAAACAACTATTGGCGACAAGTGAAAGACAAGTGTGCCTTCATAATAGTCTTTGGCCGACCTTTGCTTTGTCTCAGAAACAAGCCTTTGGCGGCTGCTTCCGTTGTTTCCCATTGTTATCCGCAATTTCCGTCCGTCCTTGACCTTCAACCCTCTCTCCTCTCTTTAGCCTCCATGTTGCAAGACAGACTAAGCTGCTACTTTATGCCCAGTATGGGACAAGATGTAAATATTTTAATTAATGCACTTCCATTCAATTTCCTTTAGAAAGAGGACAGAAAGGGGTGGCAGGGAGGGATTAGCCTTCCTTCTGCCTTGTCTGCGGATTGTAGTACACAGCCATTTACACTCTCCCCAACTTACACGCTCACTTACACGCTCACACGAAAACACCCTTTTGTGATCCCTTTGAAGGCGCCTCTAGTACCTGACTAGGTAGGATGACTTCTTTCCCTTGAGCCCTAATCCACTTCATCTCTTCCCAACCACACTTTTCTTTCTCCTTACTCTCATCACAATCACAGAACCAGCACACTTCTAGTCCTGGAATCCAGATTGCCCTGCTTCACCTCTCACCTTTCACCTTTCTCTGGTAAGTATCAGATTCTCTTTGTCAACCGGATTCCTCACTTCTCTCATAGGAGAAGACCCTGTCAGTGCTGAATCTTCTTTGTAGACCACAGCTTGGTTCAGGGATCAAGCCCACAGTGTGGCTATCAACCCCCTTTGCCCATACGGCAGAACTCCAGCAAAGGAGAAAGAAACCCACCCAAAGGAACATCGTCAGGCCAACACGGCACCTCTACCTTTGTACAGTAAGTATCAAAAGGCCAGCTTTCCTCGGTTGGCGTTTCCCGTTTTGTTTTCCCCCTTTCTATCTCTCTCTTCTCATTCACCCTCGATCCTCGTCTGATTCCTCCCATCATCCTCCGATCGAGTACGGCATTCTAACATTCAATTCTCTCATCTCTCCCTAGTCCTTCGGACGAACGATGTCAAGATGGCGTTCACTACGCCCGCATTCGTCCCTATGAACCCACCTCTCCCCATTGAGCCGCCTCGTCCTTGGCCTGCCTCGGACGGTACGGATATCCCTCTTTCTGAGTTCATTCAAGACATCCTGCCCAAGGCAAATGATCCTCATGACCCTCCTCCCTTCCAGCATGGTAGTGCTGTTGACCCCCCCACTCTTCGTGTTGGCGTTCCCAACACCATTCTCTTATTCCCCGGTTCCTTCAACCCTCCCCACCATGGCCATATGAAGCTCCTGAAGCAGGTCATGGAGGGGGTCGGCAAGGACCTGAATGTCATCGGTGCAATTATCATCATCGACGATGATGAGAGGCTGGCCGAGAAAGCCAAGAACGGCGACTTGAACCTCAAGTTCTCGCAGAGACACCGCGCTCGTTTGTGGCATGGCGATCGTCGTCCGCCTGTCGATTGGGTTTGGATCTTTTCTCACCCGGAGAGCAAGTGGTGGAAGTTCCGTTCTGATTTGGCCGAAAAGGCCAAGAAAGACAAGTACGACATTCGCTTTATCCATCTCGTTGGACCGACTCAGATTACGGGGGACTCCCTCCCCGATACCAAGACTTGGTCTTGTGACTACATGATCACGTCGGATACGGATTACAAACCGGGCCAAATGGGTGTCTTGGACGTTCCGTCTGACAAAGCTTATGAATGCAGCCCTTGGATTCGGGCCGGCAGTGTGAACAATGATATCCACCAGCTTGCTTGCGCCAAGTTCAACGTTGACCCGACCGTGGCCACGCCCTACGCTTTTCTGCAGTACATTCACAATGAGTCGCAGCGCATCGGCGCCACGGCCTTGAGCAATTGGGTCTGCGAGCGTCGCGAGTATCCTTTCGGAACGATCCGCTACGTTCCAGCAGTCAGCGCCGATGAGAAGCGAGGCATTCAGTCTGAGCATGTTCGGAAGTTGATCGTTGACACCGATGTTAAGAAGTTCCTCCATATCTATCCAGCTCTCGCCGCGGCGGTTCCAGAGCCCAGGCTGATGCTCCTGTTCGTCCGTGATATTCGGGCCATGGAGAATCCTCATCTGTATTTCACGATTTTCCCACCCACTCCCAGAACGCCCGGAAATTCGTCCAAGAAACCGGCCAAGAAGTCCCCCAATGAGGCCTCCAAGAAACCCCTCGGCGGTTATGATGGCTCCGAGGACCCTCATATTTAGGAAAACAAGACCCAAGGAGGTCCGTCTAACCAGTCAGCTCGAAAGAGATTCAAGGACAGCGAGAGGACCAACAGCGGTCCTCACCGAGAGACTAAGAAGGCCAAGTATGATGACTTCGAGTACGAAGCTCTCAATGAATTGAAGAGGGTCATCAACCGTGACAAGACCGAAAACCTTCATGCCAGTTCTTGGCGCTCGGGCTGGATCCCTCTCGGCGATTTCGCTTATCTCGCTGAACTCAGCAAGGTATTTGATGATTCATCCGGCGACGAGAAGAAGCCCATGCCGGCCGATGTGCCGGCCGACGTGGATAGCCCCGTACAACAGCGCACGGCTCGTCGCAAGGCTTTCGCTGCCGCTGCCGCTGCCGCTGCCTCTTCCGATACACAGGCCGGCAAAATGAAGGCTGTCACGACCATGTCTAGCAAGATGGCTTTGAGGTCGAAGGCTTCGGTTTCGGGTCTTAGTGACAACTACTATGCCGAGCTCGCAGAGGCGGCCTCTGTTGGTCATGACGGTCAGCCCGCTGGAATGACTGATTCGACCACGACCACCAAGGTCTTCGCCGTCAAGGCGTCGTCTGATGGCCAGGCTCCACGGACCCCACCTGCCCAGGTTACCTCGAATGAGCCATCCAAGGGAAGTGCCGGCGAGCTAGCCAAGACAGAGATGAACATCGATGGATCTCAGCCGTTCAACATCGTCGACTGGTCCCATCCTAACGGGGGTGTCTACCTGCGGGGTCCCCCCGGACAGCAATCTTGAGCATTATTCGCTCGTATTACACGGCTGATGGTCCGTCCTCATGCAAGGTATCAAGATGCATGTATATTGAGTGGTGGGTGGTGGGGAAGGGATTGTATTGTTCGTCTGAGACTGTCTTTGTTTTTTACAGTTCTTACCCTTTTCATTGTTCTATCGTCCGTCTACCTGATGGACGGCGTCGGCCATGGGGTTTCTTCCTCGTTTGTTCTCACCTTCAGCGTCGTCGAATCAGGCAAGTTATACACGCACTTTCCTCTTTTTCGACAAGAGCTGTTTGAAGTGGCATGGCATTTTACTCAACCCAGCAGTTCGGGTTCCTGTTCGCCTCGTCTTTTACATCCAGAGGATGTTGATTCTCGTTGGTCAAGCCTGGGCAGGAGGAGTAAATCCTGGTTATGGCTGGTAGACTATTGATTTTGAAGAAGGGGGTCTGTTTCCAAGTTGTTCTCCGTTGAGGATCGAGAGTCCTATCACGTTTTCAATTCGTTTTCTTTCTTTTTCTGTCCATTACACTATTATCTCGTACCTTGCGTACGATGCGTATGTATGACACAGCTAGTCAATAAAGTTCATCCTTCCCCACCCAAAGTTCTGCAAGTCTGCAGGGGAGATTCGAGATTCCCCCCACCTCAACCTCATGGCCTTTCGGAAGACAGGAGATGGCGTATTCGTAACTAACTTTGGTGCTACTACTTTGTACTAACCTTGCGCAAGGGATAGAGATCCAGCGAACCGGATCATGACCATGTGGGTGGGAATGGACGCTGTGGTTGAACCATCATAACAGGGGTGGAGACGGCGCATTCTGCAAAGAAAGGTCAAGCTTCGAAACGCCTTGGCTTTGAGGACCATGGCTCTGTTTTACTTCACAGTTCGTATCATGGCATATGGCATGATGTGATGGATGCGATGGATTTAGCGGCAGGCGCATAATTCAGGCGAGCGAGCGCAGGTCCACGAAGAAGAGAACCGGGTGAGGAGAGAAAGTGGCGTTAGATGATGATGCCTGTAGATGTAATTATGGAGCACGGGGAAGCAAGGGAAAAAGCAGCATGAGGAGAGGTTGAAGATTTCAATCGCTTCAGGTTGTGCGTTGCGTTGCGATGCGTGGGGGCGAAGCGCATCCGAGTCGGGGAGGACGTGGTCGAAATGGAAGCTGCGATTGGTCCGACGAGTCCATCGCCAACGTCGTGTTATTTCTCTCTGACCAGACTGTCGGGCTCGGCGGATGGCACAGGCTCGCCCGATTCTGCCACCGAAGGCAATGCATGCGCATAAACCGACTTTTATGAAGCCTCGTCTTGTTCTCGTCTTTGCTTTTTTCCCCTCCTCTTCCTAGTCTCCTGGTCGAGGATAGGAAACGTTTGTGCACGATGTGCATCGAGTTGATCATCTTCCACGCCATCCGCACATCCACCATCCCACCGCGACGTCCACATCCCACCTGGATCCTCGCCCTTAGTTCTACATCGGGATGCCGAGCTTGACAGGTACGCGGAACCAATTAAACTAGAATGGCCTAGTCCAGCCTCCAAATAAGACTGCAAATTCCGTTGCCGCAGCCGATTGGGAGGGAAGCACCCGTCCATCCGTGAGTGACCGGGCCAGTTAATGCCCTGATACCATCCCCCACCGAGTCACTTTGCAGACTCGAAAGCTTGGAAGGATCCGAGCTCAACGTCCCAAGGCCCCGGATACAAAGTGTTGCCCACGCTTCCTCTCCTGTGCAGCGCATTGGACCGGATCCCTCCAGCTCTCCAACCTGGCCGATGGTAAGCTAGAACGTCTTCGGCACGGAATTATTACCACACTTATCTTCAACTCTTCTCCCCCACCTCCTCGCCTGAGGATGTCTCACCTGTCCTCGTTGGACACAGACCAACAGCCTTCCCGATTTCTGTTTAAACGTCGATTGTGTCGATGGTGGTGTCGAGGAGTTAAGACGCTGACCTTCTTCGACTTTCTGATCAACTTACTCGCTTCTAAGAGATCTATGATATCGACGAGTTAACGCAATGGATTATTACATCCGTTGATCATTGACCTGGGATACTTAAACACCACTCACTGGCTGATTTCTTGAACGCCGTAAAGACGACATGGCCGCCCTCTCGCAGTACAATTACATCTTCTTCATCACAGCCATCCTGGCTTTCCTCGATGCCTGGAACATTGGTAAGTGTATTCGATGTCGACGAGTCATTTTCTTGGTCCTCGTGAAATATACATCGAACAGCCAAGTCATCGTCTGTACTACGATATAGCCTCAGGGCGCATCAGTTGCCTTCCGACCAATATCAATATCACCAATCATATACCTACCAATGAACAACATGGGAGTACGTACGGCGCTCAGGAACTAACTCACTTCACCAGGCGCCAACGATGTCGCCAACTCCTTCGCCTCATCCATCTCCTCACGATGTCTCACCATGAAGCAAGCCGTCCTAGTGGCTTCAATCACCGAACTCGCCGGGTCTATCTCCGTAGGCTCCCGAGTCGCCGACACCATTCGAACTCGAGTTATCGACCCATCTCTCTACGCCGAAACCCCCTCCGTCCTCCTTCTCGCCATGATGTGCACCGTCTTCGGCTCCGCTGTCTTCCTTACTATCGCCACTCGCTACGGACTTCCCGTCTCAACGACCCATTCGACGATCGGGGGTCTTGTTGGTGCTGCAACCGCCTCCGTGGGCATCTCGAAAATCAACTGGGGAGTTTCGGGCGTGTCGCAGGTATTTCTGGCTTGGATCATAGCACCAGGTATTGCTGGGTTCTTGGGAGCCATTCTTTTCCTCTTCACGAAGATGGCGGTGCTCGCGAGGAAGCAGGCTGTGAGAAACGCTTTATTCTCTATTCCCGTCTACACCTTTATCACCGTCGGTGCCCTGACGAGTAAGTCACCGTTCCCTTCTCCCCGATGTCCTCTCTCTCCCTCGTATTTCGCATGCTCGCTAACGACATCCCTTCAGTGCTTGTCGCCTGGAAAGGAGTCCAAGTGGTCGAAGAGCCGTCAACCGAACTCATGATAATCCTCGTCTTCACCATCGCTGGCGGTGCCGCCATCATCGTAGCCCTCTTTCTCCTACCCTACCTCTGGCGCCGCATTATGAGTGAAGATTGGCCCTTGAAGTGGTACATGATTTGGCAGGGCCCTTTCCTACTTAAACGTCCACAACCACCCCCGACACCGCCGGGCTTCAACAAGCTCAAAATAAAAAACTATTACCAAGGCCACCTCACCCCCGAAGAGCTCTTCTACGTCCGCGCCTCCGACACCCTCCTCAAATCCGTCCAAACCAGCCCCGACGGATCCTGCCCCATCTTCCTCGACAACGACGACGACTTCGTCCTCCCTCCCCCGGCCCAAGCCGTTCCCTCCATGCACGGGGCCATAGTGGCACCCTCTTCTTCCTCCACCCGCTGCCAAACCCCCAACAACGACCTAATCCCCCCCAGACCCCCGGGCCACTGGACAACCCCAAAAGTCTTCCTCTGGAAAATCAACCGCATCCTCCTCCACGGCCTCGAGCAGGACGTCGTCCGTCTCCAAAAGATCAACTCCGTGCTGACGTGGGACATCGCCACCATGCACTCCAAAGCCCAGCGCTTCGACAACCGCGCCGAACACGCCTACAGCTTCCTCCAGGTCATCACGGCCGCCGCTGCCAGTTTCGTCCACGGCGCCAACGACGTCTCGAACTCGGCGGCTCCACTGTCAACGGCGTACGAGGTCTGGCTGCACAACGAGGTGCCGATGAAAGTGGGCGTGCCGATCTGGATCTTATGTCTTGGCGGCGGCGCAATAGTCTTGGGATTGCTGACATACGGGTACCACGTGATGCGGAATCTGGGTAACCGGTTGACGTTGATATCGCCGTCTCGAGGGTTCTGCATGGAGCTGTCTACTGCTATTACCGTGCTTATGGCCACGAGGCTGGCTCTCCCCGTTTCGGTATGTCTAAGCTTCATAGCCCGTCCCTTTTCGTGTTCTTCAAACTTAAGATGTCGCTAACATAAAAATAAAAAAAAGACGACGCAATGTATCACCGGCGCGACGGTGGGAGTTGGTCTTGCCAACGGCGACTGGCGCAGTATCAACCCACGCCTCGTCGCCTTCATCTACTTTGGCTGGATCATTACTTTACCAGTCACAGCATTCCTATCGGGTAGCATGATGGCTATCATTCTCAATGCGCCAACCTGGGCGACCGGAGTGGTCACCCCAACTTAAAACGATGCGGCACGCGCCATTGAGATGTATATCTCTTTATTCCGTCCAGAAGACGGATAATCTACGTAACCTGGAGGTTCTCGAGGTTTTGTACATACTGATCAGACATATTACTATTTCCTTTTCTTCTTCTTTTTCTCTCTTTTGTCGGATATTTACAGGGAGGGTATCTGTCAGATTTTTGGGCTTTGGAACTAGGACAGGGACTGGGATTGGGAATACAGGACTGGGAATAACACTTGTGATAGATACCCGTGGACAGCGAGGCGCAGTTGGAGTCTTTTAGATCAACATTTACTTACTCTCATGATACTTTTGGCCATGAATATTATAAAACTGTCTCTCGCTACTCTTCTCCTTTCGCCGCTAGGCTGACTCGATTTCGTGAGGACTGTCCGTTAAAAGGCGTCGCCCCCAGCATAGCTCTCGGCAGGGGACTATGAGCGGACAGAATCGCCTCTACCACATGAGTAAAAGAGGAGAACCACTCTATTATACAACATTCTGTTTTTCAAACTCGCGGTATTCGTCCGAGGGTGGAGATATCCTGGGCAACCAGACGCCGGGTTGGCCACACGACACGATGGACCGCTGGCCGCAAGCAAAAGAGAGAGAAGGGAAAAAAAAATAACAAATAAAAATAAAACTGTTAAATTAGAATAAAAATAAATAAATAAAATCAAGATGAAGAATGAAAAAAAATTATCGGAACCCGCCAGTGCCACCTTATCGAGAAAATCCTATTACTTCCCGGTCCGACCAGGGGTCGAACCAAGAACACCTCGAGCGCTTTCAACCAGCTGCCAAGAGGGACGGGGTTAACCAGTTGCTTAGCTGGCGGGTTCCTTAGGGGTCCTGCACAATATTTTTTTCCTATATAGTTAAGTTGGGATTTCGATGCGGTTGCCGTGGCTCCTTCCTGATGCTGTTCTTTCCTTGGGAGTGTGAACGCTATGCGACCCCTTCCTCGCCAAATGGATGACGACGTTTCAGGGGGATTCCGGGATTTCTAAGCTGATAGGTTGAGCGAGCGTACGTTCCGCGGAGGGGTTCTCCATAGAACAGCATCGGCCTATTTGCCCATCTGCTTGTATCTTCCACTGGTGATGGTTTATAGCTAGGTCCCTCGCCCATAGCCTAGTGTCACATAAGACAGATGGTTACGAGCGTTCCCTATTAGGAATGAGAAGTGATTGGCAGGAGATAGGATAAGAATGGTGCTTACAAGTGAACATACAGAATTTGATCGTAAGTTGAAGTTGAGGAGTCCATCCAACATTCGTCATGAAGTTAGCTGAGAATTGACTCACGTCTAAGATGCATCTGAAATATCCATATTCCTGCCCAGAGCCACTCACTCCAATTTATACACTCTCGCCGCATCACTCCACCTCCCTTCTCTCATCGGATCCAACTCCCTCAGCTTCGCCAACCAACCCTTGACCTCCTCCTTCTCATCCCCATCAATATCCTCGATCCCCGCCTTTGCTAGAATACACTCCAGTAGCGCCTCGTAGATCCACTTGACATCAAGATAATCCTCTAGCAGGTCCTTGATATCCTCCACCTCCTTGGCTAGATAAGCCAATCTTTCGGTCGCCGTGAGATGTGGAACGAAGCTCTGCTTCGCGTCCTTGGAAACAATGTTAAGAATGAGGAACTGGTGATAATACCACAGAGACTGGTCCTCGGGGCCGACATTGACGCCGCCTTGGATAAGTTCAAGCTCTTACCAACAAAACCATGTGAGTGAACGAGTCCCAAATGTTTTAAGCGACGGCAGAACGGACAGATTTACGTACCCTTTTCAAGAAACTTTGTCCTCGCAGCATCGTCGGCATCCCGCTCATCAAGTAACCGCGGAATCAATTGACTCCGATTATGCCACGCCGAAAAGTTGGACAAATCCTCGTGGATCTTGGCCGTCGTGTACTGGAACTCCGACTCCACCATACTCTTCCCTGCGAGCGCCGGGTCCTCGAGCTGTGCCACAACTTGCCTCCTGTATCCCCAAGCGTGAAAATTCCTCCTATCTTTGGTCAACATCTTACTCGCCAGGTCAAGCTCCCTCTGCCAGATCTGCCTCGCCGCAGGAACCGCCAGCAGCGCGATAGCCTGGTTGAGTATCCACAGCCTATGGTTCCATATCCAGTAGCATTTCGGAAACTCCATTAGGAGCGGAACGGTAAACATCAACTCGTCCTTGATAACCTCAAGATCATTCCGCTGTTGTTGCTCCTCGACCTTCTTCTTATCATCCTCACCAGAGTCGTCGGTTTTTGTCTCTTTGCTAGCTGTTGTACCACTCTTCCCAGTTGTCCGGTAGCGTAGGCTTGGCGGGGTCTCTGTCGAGGAAGAGGTAAATGAGCCTTCGGAGGAGGGTATGCCAGTGCGCGCTGCTGTAGAACTCGGCGATGCCCTCGAGCGCGAGGGCCCATCCGACGATCTTGAGAATATACCAGATATTAGGCACCGCCTGCGGACGTTCCATATCGTATAGTATTCGGGGTTCGTGCGTAGAAGCTTCGTGGAAAGATCGAAAGTGTCTCGGCTGTAGTTTTGCTCGGCGACCTAGTGTCCCTCATTCGCATTTAGCCACGTTTGCTTTCGTCACAAGGAAAAGGCGGATTGAGGCATCGACGATGGTAGGCAGTCTGTAAAGATGAGGGGAAGAGGGGGAATGGAAATGGATAGACTCACCCGCGCGCGTATTGTGTCTTCTAGGTCGCGGTACTTTTGAATTCTCGTCTGGTCCTGCTGGCGTTGTTCGGCGGTGCGATATTGCTTCGTCCGGGCTATGCCGTGCTCAATGCGCCCAATACACGTTAGCCTTTCCCTTGTTCGTCCTTTTCAAAAAGACAGATCACACCCTTCGGCGGCATTCAACTAGGAGAGTCGAAAGTGACGCCGTCCTGGTATCTCTCCCATCTGTCGAAGGAAGGTTTGGAAATGGGAGCTTACACTGGCCATCTCGAAGGTAAATTGCAGTGAGGGGTTGGCTTGCTGGGTCAAGGAGTTCGGGACGAGGGGTTCCGACGTCTCCTCGGAGGACAAGGGTCGCTTGAAGGTGGGCTGAGGAGAAAACAACCCGGTCAGAAGATCGCACTCTTCGAAATTTACCAAGATACAGGTTTATTCGGCAGCCTAGCTCGAGTTCATTTCACTCCCTAAGCTACTCTTGCACGCAATCATCGTCCTGAAGACATTCGATGCGTCGATTACGTAGGCGGCTTTCTGGCTCTGGGCCGCCAACTGTTGTCACTTGCTTACTGAAAGAGACCAGAAACTTCTGAATTTCTAACTTGCCAATATCTTCGTCCTCTAAAAACTCCAAGAATGCATGTTCGCCATATATAGCGAAATTCCAGTACTACCTTTCCAGACTACGGTGGTGGCGGGACCCTCTTCTTCTTGAGATAGCGACACATGGAGAAAAAAAAAAAATCTAAGCGAAACGCACAAAGTACTCCAACAAATCAATCTAGGCCTGCAGCTGACATGGCCAAGTATCCAAGAGTAACCGAGACAAGAAGGGTAAGTATGCTGCTTGGTACACCAGCGCTGATAAAGTGCTTGACAGACAGGTATCGTCTTCCGGTGGCATCCTCCTTCATAATAGCGGCTATAACACAGGCATCAGGATCGCATTCTTAAAGAAAGGATGGGGTGAAGTAGAAAAATATGAGGAGGAAAACTTACTCATGTTCGGGAAACCACTCGTAGGCAGACCCATGGCAGCGCTGCACATGAGTACGCCCGCCATAACCAGAATGTTCGGCGTCGGGTTGTCCATTCCGTGGCCAACACTGTTAAGCAGCGGCAGGAAGATGAGAGCAGCCACAGTATGACTGATAAAGGTCGCAATGACCAAGATGAGGCAAGAGAAAATGACGAGCACAGAGTACAAGCTCATTCCCTCGACCTTCTCTGTGACGATGCTGCCGACAGTGTAAAGCAGGCCTGAAGACTCGACTGCCCTGCCAAGAGACAATCCACCGGCAGCGAGCATAATGATGGTCCAGGGGAAGTTATTAAAGTCCTCCTTCGTGAGAATACCGCTGCCGAAGAAGAGTACCATGGGGATGATGGCGATGACACCCATGTCTCCAAAGATGTCCTCGAGGGACTTGCTGGCACACCAGAGGCCGATCGTGCCTAGCGAAACGAAAACGACAAACCACTGGATGCCAGAGAAGGACTCCTTGATGGACCGAATCGGCGTGAGCGTCGTTCCTCGGCCAGGCTGGAAAATGATGAGAAGCAGGATCCAGATGAGCAAGATAGAGACGAATCCGACGGGGATGACGATAAAGAACCATTGGGGCCAGGTGGGTGGCGGCGTCATGATGCCCATGGCAACGACGTTTTGGGGCGATGCAATCGGCGAGAGCATACCGCCAATGTTGGCTGCGAGCGCGATTCCGAGGATCACGGCTTTGGACATGTTGGACCCCGATGGTAGCGTTCGAAGCATGGGCTGCTCGGACAAACCTTGGTCAGCATGCCTCGAAAACAATCAAAGGCAGGTTCATCTTGCTTTTCTCCCCCCTCACTCACCTCGATGATAGAGAAACAGAGAACCGGAGCAGCGACATTGCTAATCAGCATACTGGCAAAAGCCGCTACCATCATCGTGGCCAAAAGAACCACTCGCGGCGTAGTTCCCGCCTTACTGAGAACAAAGGTCGCGAGGTATTTATCAATCCTGCACTTGGAAAGCGCGGCAGCAAGAGTGAAACCACCGAGCAAGAGCATAATGACGGGTGTCCACATGGACGAGAAGATGTACTTGGCCGCCGCTTTGGAATCGAGCCTCTCCTCGGGCATCACTTCCGAATGTGCTACACGAAGCACGACGCAGAGGAACGGGATGATGAGCGAGGTAACGAATAGAGGGATGGCCTAATTCATGTGTGGTTAGCATCATTCAAAATACTCTTCTAATCGAACCGTCATGCCCGGAAAAAGAAAGTCGCATACCTCTGTAGCCCACAATGAACTAACAAACACCAGCAGGGCTAAGCAATTTTGCTGTTCGGGCCGCTCCATAATGGGCATCGTCAAGACAGCGAAGAAGACGAGGAACACAATGATCAGAGTGAACATGGCACTGTTCGCCAACCATACGGGAAGCTGGATGCGTCCAAACGGAGTTCTCACATCCTTAGTGACGGGCAGCTTGACATCGTCACCTTGGAGACCCGCAGCTTGCTCTGTCCCGAGGATGGCCCTGCCTAGGCGAGCAGCTTCTGCTCTCCTCTCCAAACCAATCATATCCCTCCACACGGTATTGCGCTCCCATACGACGTGCTCTCGAAGATGAGAGCGTAGGTCTTCCTTTGCTACCTCCAAGTCACCCTGCGTGGCAATGGTGGCGTATGCCGTCTCCATCTGAGATATCCTATCCTCCAACGCCCGCCGCGTCTCTGGTCTGAATGGGTAGGCAGGTAGGACGATCTCATCCATGTAACGGGCGCGGAGCTCCTTCTGGAGGATCTTGTCGAATTTCTTGAGAATTTTGCTGAACCCCGTCTTGTTCAGCTGAATGTACGACTTGAGCTCGCACAATTGGACATAAAGAGCCGTTATTCGCTTCTTCAGCACGATGCCCGTGGAGTAGGCTAGAGATCGCTCGGCAAACTCGTCGCTCAGGGTGGTGCTTCGTCGGCGAAGGGCTCTCCCAAACTCAGCTGATGCCGTCATAAGCCCCGTTATGCTCCCTACAGACTTGCGGCGGCTAAGAGCGCCCCTTGTCAAACCGACCGTCTCGTCATCCTCGTCGCTATCATCAACGCCGTCTGATATATGACTGTGGACACTGTACCGGCGCCCGTCGGCGCTCTCGGCGTCGAGATCGAACTCGCTAACGTCGGCGAGTAACTTTTCGACTTCTTCGTTGAGCTCTGCCTCTTTCGCCGTGTAGAATGACGTGATCTTGCGCAACTCGGGAACTAATGCGCGCTTGAAGATGACTTCGGGGTCTTCGCCGCCGACCAGAGGTCTCGCCTCGGCGTCCATGGCGGCGGCAGCAGCGACGGCATCGTGGACATCCTTCTCAAGCTGGTATATTCTGCACGAAGGGGAGTGTGTTAGCTTACCCAGGGCCCTGTAACATAGAAGGAATAGAGGGCACGTGAGGTGTCAACGTACAGCTTCTTTAGGTTGCTGTAAGAAATATACTCGCTGCTCCAGTCGGGCACGGCATTAAACTGAATGCTATGTGAAAACTTCATTTCGTCTTGCTTGTCGAGCCAGCGGGCCTTCTCCTGTCGCTTCGCTGTTCTCCTGGCTTGTTTTTCAAGATTGTCTTTCCGAGCCTTGATGGCGACGTAATCGTCGAGCTCGTATTCTTCGAACGTCGAGTCGGTGTCACGAGCAGCGGCAGGGGTAATGGAAGCGGTAGCAGGTCGGTTCGCCGTTGTCGATGGCTGTGTCGCAGTCGAGGCTGAGGCCGTCCCAAGACTTGCGATCCCTCCTCTTTCCGTTGCTTGTTGAAGACTAGGAGTACCGGTCCATGGATGGGAAGCAATGGGGTTATCAGAGGAGGGACGCTCGGAAAAGGATTTGAGCGTAATGGTTAACGATTGGTGCTAAACTACCTAGCAGCCTTGGAGGGAGTGGGAATCGGAACAAATGCGGAACGGGGGGGGGGGGTCAATCAGAAAGTCTCGATGTCTGTCACTTGTCTGGTTCCGTCAGATGTGGATTTGCAGAAATGGTGTCGGTACTGTACATACACTACTGTACTCGTCAGATAAGGGGAGTTTGGCGGGATTCGGAAGGTTTCTGGAGGGCTGACTGGGGCCGTTGGGGGGGGATTGGAATCCAGCTGTTCCTTGTGGCGGTGGCCACACGACACAGGCTAGCAGCCTTTTTCGTGCAGGTGTAAACCCAAAAGGCGACGCTTGGCAAGGGACCTGGCCATCAATGCCATCTCCCGTGGGGCTTGATTCTTGAGTCCTTGACTAAGAGACTTTACTTCACAGTTCAGTTCGAGTTGGAGGTACCTCGTTGCACGGAAAGGTGGTAGGCAGAAGCTCGCCTGATGCCCCTTGCACGTCCGCATTCGCAGGCTGACTCCTCGTGTGACGCAATCGACAGGAGGGAAAGATGCAAAATGTTGTGCCTCTCGTTGGTAGATCAAAAGAGGCCAAACTGGCCCGGAGCCAATGAAACAACCCATGTGCATGATTGGTTCGTGATGCTTCGAGTGAGAACTTCAGAGACACTGAGACATCAGCTTAGTCATCCACTCACGAGTCTCTTCTCCAGTCCCTCCTTCTCCCTCCTTCTCCCTGAATTTCTCGTGAAATTCCCAGAATTCAGGGGCGTCGAATCAATCAACCCAGCACTCAACCACCTCGTGATACAGTAGCTTACCACCCGTCCTCATGGGATTGGACACGCCAGTGACAACTTCATCTTGGCTCGTGGGGCTCGGTGGGTGGTCTTGCTTAATCCGGCATGGCGCAGCTTGAGAGTGGGAGTCATGCTTTTACTGGAAACTAGTCTCAGCCGTCTGCAGTTTTCGTGCATTGCCGCACCTACAAAGTACGAGGTACATGTGTGATGTGTAAAATCTCCCTGAGGGTGCCGATCGAAGCGTGATTGATTGCATTTCGATTACAGATCGATGAGAGACCAACCAGGTCAACCAGGTTTAGGCTGCATATTACACTTTTGCCCATCTTTTTCGTGAAGAAAATCTTCTTATTATGGTATGGTTGAGAGATGATGCTATGCCCATGTATGAAATCCAAATCCCATGTAAAGACACAAGGAGAAAGAGAAGGCAAAAAATAGGAAAGAAAAATTTTTACTCCGAGTCAGATCTTAGCGCCCCGAACCAAAGGCCAGAAGGAAAAAACTTCATCCCAACCGCCTCCGGTCCTTTTCTAGTGAGAAAGAAAAAATGAAGAAAAAAAAATAGTAAAAAAAGTTGACCCGCAAACAAGTCGGTGGATTCAAGTCTCGAGACCGTCTAATGCAGTTGTTGATGCAGCGCATTCGCCCTATAGCTCTCGCTCCTCACAATCAGGTCGTCATGTGTGCCCCGATCTACAATCCTGCCTCCCTCCACAACAAGAATCACATCGGCTCTCCTCACCGTGTGGATCCTATGCGTGATGGCCAGCACGGTAATGCCCCTCGCCGCCCTCTCCAGCCCCTCTTGCAGAGCCTTCTCGTTCTCTGCGTCAAGGGCGCTAGTGCTCTCGTCCAAGAGGAGGAGTCTAGGCTTCCTCACTAGGGCTCGGGCAATGGCCAACCTCTGCCTCTGGCCACCTGATAGCCTGGAGCCGTTGGGTCCGCACTCGGTGTCGTATCCCTGAGGGAGGGCCATGATCACGTCGTGCATGTTGGCGATCTTGCAGGCCGCCTCGATCTCTTCTTGAGTGGCATCTTGCCCGGGCTTGGCTCCGAGACCAATATTGAACTTGATGGTGCCGTCAAACAACGCGGGGTCTTGCGGTACGATGGCGATCTGATCCCTAAAGGTCGCGTTTTCCAACCGGCCGATATCGACGCCGTCAAGCTCGACCACTCCGGAAGGAGTATTGTACATACCCTGAACGAGGGACATGATTGTAGACTTTCCCGCTCCGGAGGGTCCAACAAGTCCGCAGAACTTTCCGGGCTCGAGCTCGAAGGACACATGTTCCAGGATTTTAAGTTCAGGCCTGGCAGGATACGAAAAGGTTACGTCCTTGAAAGCGACCCTGAGGCCTCCGTGTCCGGCAGGAAGACCGGAGCTGGCGGGTGCTCCTACCGCGGCCTCGGCGTCCTTTTCGCTCTTGGGTTCGTAGTCGGGAAGAGGTGGGCGCTTCTCACCCTCTCCTAGGCCTAGGTCGACGAGGTTGAGAACGCGAGAAGCTGCCAAGCGAGCGCGGGTCACCTCGGGAGCGAGGGCAAACATTTGTCCCCAGAGCTGAGCACCAACCAGCATGGCCACGAGAATGGTAAAGAACTGCGTAGGACCGTACTCGCCCTGGATGATCAACTTAGCACCCCACCAGTAAGCGAAGGCGTAGATAAAGTTGCCAACGGAGTAGGCGACGGCAAGGTAGAGGTTGACGTAGGCGCTGGCGCCAGCCATCTCCTTGCGCGGCTTCTTGAGAACTCGGCGGTAGGTCTGGTAGACCTCCTGCTCGAGCGACAGCGTGGCAATCGTCTTGATGGAGTTGACAGCCTCGACCGTGATGCCCACGGCTTTGGAAAAGGCCTCCGTGTGGCGCCTCTGGTGGCGGGCGAGTTCTAGCATTTGCATGATACCAGCCCCAAACTGAATAGGGATCAGCACGAGGCAGACAAGGGCGATCTTCCAGGCCATGATATGCGAGAGGATGATGGCGACGAGCAAGTTGACCGTGACGGCGATGAGAGTGCCCATGACCGATCCGCTGAAACCCCCAAGCTCGGTAGTGTCCTTGGTGATAATGGACAGAAGGCTGGATGGGTCCCGGCGGTGGGATTGATGAAAGTCCAGACCCTGCTTGAACAGGGACCTGAAAGAGAGAACTCTCAGTCGGTACAAGAGCTTCTCGGAGATAAGACCAAAAGACGACCAACTAGAGAAGTTGGCCAGGAACTCGACGCAGGCTATCATGAAGAACAGTCCAGACATGAGTTTACCCAGAGATCGAATCGTGCTCGGCTCTGTGCATGAATTGACCCTGCCAACCGTCTGTCCAAAGATGACACCGGTAGCCGAGTAGGTACAGCCGACAATAAAGGCGGCAACGCATCCGATGAGGACAAACGGTATGTTGGGGCGAATGAAATAACCAATCTTCTTCACCACAGCACCTCCAGGCATGTGAGCCTTGAGGGCATCGTCGTCTTCCTTGCTAGCCTCGGATCCCTGTTCCGAGCTAGGGGGAGGCTCAGCGACGCCCGTTTCACTCTTGACGGTATCGATACGCTCGGCCTTGCTCAGCTCGAGGGAGGCCTCCTCTCGCACCGTCGAGGCATTGTCGTCGTCATCTTCCTTATCCAAGCTCTGGAGCCGCACAAGCTCGGCGTATTCGCCGCCGAGTGCGACGAGCTCGCTGTGAGTACCTTGCTCGACGACACCACCAGCCTTGAATACGATGATGTTGTCAGCATTCCTAATGGTTGAGAGACGGTGCGCAACGGAGAGAACAGCGCGGCCCTGGGAAATGCGCTCCAGGTTGGCTTGGATGCGCTGCTCGGTTGCCGAGTCCAAGGAGGCAGTGGCTTCGTCGAGGACGAGAATCTTGGGATCGCGGATGAGAGCTCGAGCCAGGGCAACACGCTGCCTCTGACCACCGCTGAGCTGCGATCCCCCAGTTCCGACAGGGGTACCAAAGCCGTGCTGAAGCTTTTTGATAAAGGGGGCCGCGTCGGCAAGGTCAGCTGCCTCAGCAACAAGCTTGGCGATGGTCTGGACGCCGGCACTGTAGCTGGCAGAGGCCTCGATCATATCCTTGCCATCCTTGACCTCGGCGGCAAGCTTCTGCAGCTCGGGGCTGATCAGGGCGGGCTGGAGCTCTGCATGCTTGGGGTTGGACGAATTGACGAGACCCAGAGCAATATTCTCCAAGACGGACCGGTTGAGGAGAGTCGGCTCCTGCTGGACCATGCCAATAAGGCTTCGGACATACTTGACGTTGAGGTCTTTCAAAGGCATTCCGTCCAAGAATAGCTCTCCATTGATGGGATCGTAAAGACGCATAAGTAGAGCAACGATAGTCGACTTGCCTCCACCAGATGGGCCGACGACAGCTGTATGCTTGCCAGCGGGAATCGTGATCGAAACGTCCTTGAGGGTGGTCTGGTTGGGGCGGGAGGGATACGCGAATTCAACGTTTCTAAACTCGATTGTGCCTTCGGCGGGCTTGCTCGGCCGTACGCCATCGTCGCTGGTACCGTTGATAGCAGGTTGGTGGCTGATATCGTCCCTCAGCTTAATGAAGGAAGCAGAGGCGCCGCTGAACAAGGACAAAAAGGGCGCGACTTGGCTGAGTAGGACGCAGGCTTTACGGGCCGTTAGTTTCTACGGGCACACAGAATTCTTCGAACAACGACAAGAATATGAACTGCACTTACCATCCACGATGAGGAATACCACGGTGTAGATTTGACCAATGGAGGCATTGTTGCCCTTGCCCTCGACGGTATCGGCGATCTTGATACTTCCCTGCCAAAACGCTAACGCATTGGCAGAAAATGCGATAAAGTAAAGCGCACCGGCCTGGATAGCAGTCGTAATTGCCTTCTTGATACCGGCTTTTTGCGCCGTCAACATGTTGTTCGAGAACTTTTCCTCGAGTCTCGGAGCGGCACCAAAGGCGTGGACAACAGCAATATGGGTTAGAGCTTCAGAGGCAACAGACGACGCATGTCCCACGGCCGCGGACACGGCGCCGGTAAACTTCTCGACGTAATGTCCTCCGAGAATGCCCATGAGAAGGAAAGCCGGGGCCAGAGAGATGAGCATGCCGGCGAGCTTGGCGTCTCGCGTGAAACCGACGACGTACGCGGTGATGAAAAAGGAGATTGTGGCAATGTACATGCCGACCTTTTCGGAGGTTCCAGTCTGGACAACCTGAATATCGCTGTTGAGTCTCGACGAGACCTCACCAGCCTTGCGAGTGTCGAAGAAGGCCGCATCCTGGCCGAGGAGGGAGATGAAGTATTTTTCTCTTAGACGCTGGGCTAACCGCTGGCTGAAGAGGTTCCAGGAGACGATGTAGGTGTAAATGAGGACGAAGGACGCGATTCCTAGGTATACTAGGATGAGAACCTTCTTGTTTACTTCTTTTTGAAGCTCATGCTGAGTAGCTTTGGCGATAGCAGGATCGACAAGAGAGATGTCAAGCTCTGGATCGCAACTGCTGTCGTTCATGTCATCTAGAAGCTGACCGAAGATGATACCCATGAGAGGGAATGGGACACCGGAGGCAATGGCAGCAACGGTGCCGATAAGTAAGAGGAGGTAGTCGCGCCATGTCGGGTGCGCGTAGATGAGGAGTTGGAAGAATGTGAGGATGCCTGACCCGGACTGCTACCCAGATGTGAGAATCGAGAACAACACAATAAGTAAATTCAAGCTTTTTCGTTTGACTACAGTCTTTAGATCACGAAGGGTAGTGAATTCAAGCCTCCAGGATTGAAGAAGAAGAAAAAAAGAAAACAAAATAGCAATAACAGCTTTCTTACCTTGGTCTGGGGAGCTTCAGAGCTCAGCTGCGACTCCGACGAAGCTGTGTCCACAGCATCGGTACGCTTCTCGTTGACAACCTCGGTCTCGCCCATCATAGGCGATTTGTGTTGCTTGAGATCTTGACAAGCCAACAGCAAAAGCAAGCTCGTCAACTAACGAAGATCAAGCAAGCTTCGGGACTTGAAGACTGACGATCGCAACCGTTCAATTAAGAGAGATCGTGAGCGATCTCTCAACATCAATTTGTTTGGCTCGGCGTGGGGACTAGTTAAGCTCCGCTGGCATCATATTTTTTTTTCTTCTTCCTCTTCCTATTTTCCTTGCAGAATGGGGTCTTTTACAAGTACCAGTACTGCATGTGCAATGTAGCCAAGCCAGAAATGATGTGCCCGCCCGATAACCTTGGATTTACAAGGATCGACAAATCTGTTAGCTCATAGCAGTGTGGCCCAGGGAACTGTTAATGGGGGAAGCTCCACGCGGGACAAGCTGCGCCGAAGGTGTCAAATTCAATGACGAGAGCACAACTACCTCTGTGGGAGGGCGGGTCTGAACTTCGGGATATTGAGTGGACTCGACTGTTGGGCAGTGCAGTGGGTTTGCAGGAATAGCTCGCAGAGAAGGCAGCGCAGCATCAGCGATGGGGGACAGGACGGAGAGGGGACTTTGAAGTATGTATTGATCAGTGGACACTTGCCAGCAAAATGGATACAAATAGATGGGGAACGGAACAGAGATTGATTGCTACTCTATCCCAAGTGAGACAAGTAGCTCGAAGTGTTAAGGCACTACGGTCACGGACTCCTCTACTCTACGTGACGACCGATGTCCACCCCCCACTCAGTTGGCGGGCCTGGGAAGACCAATACTACCACTTGTACGAGATGAAAACATCGCCAACCTAGAGTTGCCGGCAGCACTTGCACGAGTCACATACGACCTCGCTGCACAAGAGACCAGGAGTGGAACGAGCCCCAATCTCCCATGACCCCCTCACAGATCCTTGTGCCTTTGGAAAAAGGGAAGTACTGTACTTTTGTGGCCAGCCAAGGGTTCGAGGTCTTGGCGCGATTGATAAAATGGGTAAAAGGCCGGTGTCTTCCCAAATGGACATTGCTGTTTTTGCTCTAAACTAGTGGGTGGAGGGAGTTGTCGTCCCACGCCCGGCCACCGTCTCAATCAAGACTGAAGGACGAACGGATCTAAAGAAACGGAGGAGGCCCCCGCTACCGTTGGGACCTTGGGGGCTGTTCCGATACCGGGTGGCTCCCCGCCCACACCAAAATCTTCGGATCAGATAATTTTGCTTGGCAAGGCGGCCGCTTCGGGGAAGTACGAAGTACTTGTCAACTCGATCGCCACTAACAATTTTCGGCGTCTCCAGTTTAAGATTTAGTGGCTCAATAGTCACTGATTGATAAATATGCCTCAACCGATGTTCACTTTGATGGATCAGTTGATGAGTAGCGTGTTTCAATGGAGATTAAAACATTAAAACTGGGCTGGCTTGAAAGCCGCCCCCCCCCCCCCCTCCCCACACAAACTCCCACGACTTCGTAATTGTAAACTACGTTGCTGAACACGACCAAGTATTAAAGGTTCCAGTTAGTGAAGAGATTGCGTTCTACTTGTAGTGTCTCCGTGCAAACTTAGGGTATTGGAGCCTGCTCCATCCAAAGCAACCCTGGACAGAGGCGTGCTGCTTTCACTTCTGATCTGTTGATCTTGGCCTCATGAAGTCGTCGGCTCCGAGACCAGCCGAGCCCGAATTTATGAAGAATTTTTTCCCTCTCCTTCTCTCCATACCCCCCATCCGAGGTGTAATATTGGGCCCTCCCACTCTATTCTCCTCTTTTTGAGCCCTCCTTTCGGCTATACTTGCAGATCTGTCCTAGCTCCAGTGAAGCCCCGCCAGATGGACATGATGAAGAGGTGGCACTCTGGATGTACAAGTATAATGAATGTTGTTCCTCCTCCCATTTTGCTTGGAGTAGATTATATCCCTACCCAAGGATTTCGTCCACCCTGAGAGAGTCTACGCGGATCCTCGGAAATTTGATGTTATATTGATCGCGGTGCCGGCAGCAGTAGATTCTGAATCATAATCATAAAGTCAACACCCGGTCTTGAAGCGCAATCGGAGATACGAGTCGTTGAATCTACGTGACCGCTGCCTGAGCTGATTCTTCCCTGCTTCTTTCCGAGCTCGTCCTCGTCATCCATCGGGTTAGTGCATAGAGAAAGAAGCAACATCTCACAAGCACGAGCTCGGCTGGGGTTACTGTCACACCCTCACCGTGGAAATTCTTGATCTGATAACTTTGCTTGTCGTACACCACGCTGCTTACGGGCTAGGTCTTATTCCCTGTCCTTGCCGTCCCGGAACCCGGACTTTGGAATTTCTACTTCAGGCGATCTCGGTCTTCGTTTGTAAGTCTAGTCTCATCAAGTCCTGAGATCCCCACTATCAAACTTCTCCCAACAACGCCGCCGGCATAGCGTAGAGAGTCACAATAGATTCCTCAACCAAGCTTGACTCGCTCGCTGAGCAGTGAGTACCGTTTCCAAGTTGTCGGAACTGCCAGACATCTTCCTCCCTTCGTTGTTGAGCCAGTGCTCCACACAGTTCCCCTTTACCCTGCGTCACCGGTCTCCTCGATTGCGCGAGCTAGAATAAAAAGAATAAACATTTGGCCTGTCCAAACTTGGACTAAACAAAACCATTCCTCATCATCATCACCATCACTGTCATCCTGCCACTAGATCACTCTTCCTTTACTCTATCCCAAACTCATTTGCTCTCGAGAAGCCCACAAGCTCGACGTTAGACCGTTCCCGGCCCCGGTGTACTGCATGAATCCCTTCTTCCCAACACGTCCAGTTGGTACCAGACTGATCCGATACATCACCTCCTCTCCGCTAGCATCTTACCACTTCCCCAGCCAATATTCCACTTTGGCAAGGCCAACACCCACAATCCTGGTTTCCGCCCCCATCTCTCTAACTAACCGAGTAGAACGAGGCGTTGTGCGTCCCAAACCAGCAACCTCAGGCTCGCACTATCTCAGCTCCTCACCGTGCTACATGTTCTCTTCTGCAGCCATGAGCCCACCACTCACTCTTCCCACGCCGGCCGCCGTGACCAAGATCCTGGTCATCGGAGGCTCCTACGCTGGCCTCTCCGCCACCGTCAACCTTCTCGACCTGGGCAACCACCTCAAGCCTAGGCTTGCCTACCCGAATTATAAGCACACTCCTGATGCGCCGCGGACGCCTGTTGATATCACAATCGTAGATGAACGAGATGGCTTCTGTATGGTTCTCCTGCTTATCAAGTTTGCTTCATCTTCCTCTACCCCTTGTCCTACATCACACTCCATACATCTACTCCACATCCCGCATGATATACGATCCGTATCACCAATCTCCTTCCATTCCTGAATAGTGGCAACAGACCGACCCTGGAACACCTACACCCCCCTGGTCCTGCTGGTCCTCGCCTCATTCCCACTCCCCGTATAAGCAAAGCCCACTAGTGTTCCAAAAACACGCGTCTAAACTAACCTACAAGACAATGGTTTTTCTAATCTCCGCCACCCAATAGTCCATCTCATAGGCTCACCTCTCGCATTCGCGTCCACCGACTACGCTTCCCAGTCCTGGGTTCGCTTCCAGGACATCCCGGCCCTGCAAGTTCCCAACGTACGCTTTGTGCAGGGCAGCGTTACGGAAGTCGATTGCGCCGCGAAGAAGGCTAGCATCCTGAACCAGACCACTAAGCAGATCTCTGTGGAGGATTATGATTTCCTCGTTGCAGCTCCCGGTCTGAGGAGGCCATACCCTGTTGTGCCTCAGTCGTTGAACAGGAAGCAGTTCCTCATTGAGGCGGAGGAGCATGTTCACGCTGTTTCGAACGCCACCCACGGTGTGGTTGTTGTCGGTGGTGGTAAGTATCGTTACTACAACTTATCTTAGTGAATATAGAAGGGAAGTAGTATGAGCGTATTTTGACTGATGGTTTTCTGCAGGAGCCGTCGGCATTGAGATGGCCGCTGAGCTCAAGGTCACCCAACCCGACTTGAAGGTCACCCTCATCCACTCTCGTGATAAGCTTCTCTCTTCCGAGGATCTTTCCGATGAGGCCAAAGACTGTGCTCTCGACCTCATCAAGGAGACGGGCGTTGAGGTCATCCTCGGCAAGCGTCTCAAGGACACAAAGGCCGAAGTCAAGGATGGCATCAAGAAGATTGAAATTGAGCTGAGCGACGGCTCTAAGTTGATTGCCAGTGAAGTCCTCATGGCAATCTCCAACCCCGTTCCCTCGAGCAAGTTCTTCCCCAAGTCTGCTCTTGACGGGGAGGGCTACGTTAACATCACCCCTCGGTAAGTTCCTAAGGGCCCCTACGGTCTTACGTCCTTTTTATCCGATATCCTGTAACTCAAACTAACTCTCATTTCTTCACTGTAGCCTCCAACTTAAGGAAGGGACCCCCAATCCCACCTCCCACTTCGCCGTCGGTGACGTCGTCCACTGGTCCGGAATTAAGCGCGCCGGTCGCGCCATGCACATGGGCTACTACGCCGCTGTCAACATCCATCAAACCATGCTCTCGCGTGTCATTCCTGACCATGAGCCCTTCTTCCATGAGCTCGATCCCGTTCCTGCCATGATGGGCCTCGCTGTTGGCAAGAAGGCTCTGGCGTGTGGACCCGACGGGATGTCGTTTGGCGAGGATGTGATGGAGGCGTACTTTAGAGACGATTTGGGCTTTGCGAGTAAGTTGATTCTCTCAACTTTGCCGATCCCTTTTTGTATTATTTGTTACTAACATCGGTTGTCCGATAATAGTTTGCTGGGAGTACATGAAGCTGTCCGAGGACAAGTGGAAGGACAGGCTTGCTCGTGGGTTACATTGACTATAAGGACAGAAAAAGTAAAAGGGAAAAGAAAATAAAATTGCCGAAAACATGTTCATTTTGAGGAATTCATGAGATGTGCGCGAAATTATGGATTGATATATATTTCTAGATCACAGAGGTCAAGACCACGAATAGATGGGATAAATTGACCATTTGAAGCATTTTCATTCTGCACTTAGACCAGGGCTATTTCACTAACAACTTCGACACCTCCATGTTCCATCTCCATGTCCATGTCCATGATCGAGATCAAAACACGATCCCGTTGACACCGCGTAAAGATACAAAAACATACAGAAAATCGTGGTAAACTTGGAAAGACCAGTAGCGTTTCAAACCCCGAGATAGACCAGGAGACTCAACTACATAAAATTTTCATAACTTTTCCTCGCCGCTAATCTCCTCGTCTTCCTCTACAACTTAGGCACCAACCCAATCTTCATGCCACCCACAACTTTCTCGTTATCTCCCAGCGGCGAAAGCTGGAAGAACCTCTCCCTCGGACACCTCACAAACGCACTCCTCTTGTGAGGCAAATCCACAAACTTATCAATGCCGAACCCATGCATAAGATCGTACATGACGACGGTAGAATTCGTCTCCTTGGGTTCGCCCACAACGCACATGGTCCTCGGCTCGTCGAGGTACAGATAATGCATCAAGCTGCTCCACCACGCACTAACCCTATGAGGTCCTCGGTACCTGACATCGCCGACCAGACTGTGCCTGCCGCGATCGAAATCGTCGGCGTCGTAGTACGCGCCGAGCTTATCTTCTTTGGCCCAGTAAATCTCAAAGTAGGCGAAGCAGGTATCTTCGAAGCGCGCAAGGACGGCCAGCTGGTGCGGGTCGGCGTGCATGTCGTTGATGTACTTCTTGTGCTGCTCGAGCGTGCCGGTTTCGTTCCAGCCTTGGGAGACGCGGGGGTCGTTTTGCCACTGGTGGAAGAAGTTGACGTGGGCCTCGTCGTTGGGGTCCAGGGCGACCATGGAAAAGGTTTCCCGGAGGTGGGGGATCCACCGACTGTAGACGACGGAACCCCCGCGGGGCTTGGCGGGGCGGATGGGATGCCGGGTGAGGTGGCAGCGGTTAGGCTGGTTGGGGTCCCCAAGCGGTGTGAGGCTCATGGTATAATGGAGGGGCGTCAGAGGGTAGGAGGAGAGGGGGTTGCTGGCGGGGAGGGAGCTAGGTGATTCGGCTGGGAGCCAGACGGGGCGGGGCCCGAAGGGAGAGCCGGCGCCTTGCCAGAAGGCGCTTCGGAGGAGAAGGACTTCGGTTTGCGAAGTGTTGGGCTTGTCCTGGGGACGAGTGGGGAGATCAATGGCGAGGACAACATCCTTCATCTGCTGCCCCACGAGAGCCGAGCCCTCACCCTGGAGGCCAAGCCGAAGGCATTCTACGCCAGGCTGGATTGTGAAAATTACATAGACGAGAAGCCAAACCTGGCCGAGGGTCGGGGGCTCCTTGACGTCCCAGAAAAAGACGCAGCCGGGAGACCTTCGAGCTCTCGCCCATAGCGTGTTGTCAGACTGGGGAGGGAGCTCGCTCGACTTGAGAGTGGAAATCTCGGTAAAGTAGAGATCATCGTTGGTGAGCGACACGGGGGGCTCTTGTTGAGAGGTATTAGAGGTTTGGGAAACTCGGTAGTAGGCTGACTCTGGCGCGGGAGAAGAGCTGCCTGGCGTCGAAGAGGCTCTGTCGATTACGTATTCGGTGAGGTATGGGTGCGGGAGTTTGAGGACGATGTCTTGGGAGGACAGCGAGCCCAATGGAGGAGTTGTGGGAGAGGACGACATGGTAAAAAAAAATTCTGCCGGAGACAGAGCTCTCAGCAAAAGTTTCAATGGGTATCTGAGCGATTGAGAGAGCAATTGAGGGGGCGGTTGAAAGGGACCGGGTTCTCACAGCCTCCCGCAAGTAGATCTTGAAAAGTTGAGATGGATAAGAATCCGGGTTTACATCAGGGAATACAGTATATAATACTCGGTATGGGCAAAGGCTATCAATGTATACTTCTCAGAGCGGTATGCAAGACAGCAAAACATGCGGGATTGATCTCTTGTCTGCTTCTAGGAGGGGTGGAGGGGGCCGGCGGGAGAATTTTGCTCGCCCAGCCTCGGTTCCAGGCTTTTATCGATAGAGATAGTTTCCAGCGTACTGTACACCCAAAGGCACTTTCAGCCTGGTGTCCGGTAGTTTCCTGGGAAAGGAGCTTCCAGAATGGCTTGGATTGAACACATCCAAGTTAAGCTATACGCTCGCTACTACAAGTACTTCGTAAGGATGCGTATGAGCAAAATGCCGCTAATCGGTTCTTCAACCACGGGTTGGCCAGGTCCTAGGACTACACTAGACCCATCCACCTTTAGCTTAACTCTAGTGTGGTGTTCGCTCGTTTTCCGTGCAAAGCCGGCAGTCTGGTCTAGTCTCTTCAAACGGTAACTTCGTTACGGATAAGCCCTGCCATATAAAACGGATGGGACATCGTGGGAGTAGTTGGCGTGTTTGACCTGGTGAACGTAAGCCATGCGAATGTCTCGGCTCTTTCGACGCTTCACCCTCCTTTGCGTGTGGTCTGAACAAGGCTTATGCTCCCCCCCACCCTATATGGACGCATGGATGCATACACATATCGAATGCTCTCCTTCACCGGGGAACCCCGGGAAAGTAAATGTTGCGCCCTTGGTATAAGAACGTAATGGTAACAGGGGAGCGGGCCTGGTGGAGGCGTTCAGAGTCGGGGATCTTCTCGGTCTCTACGGTCTCTGCGGTCTCACAAAAGGCCGGCCATGTCAATTTTGTGACGACTGAGTTTCCATGATCAAGCCCGACCGGTGAGCTGGGGAGGGGGATGATCGGAAAAAGAAATTTGGGGGGTCCTGCAACTTCCTGTATTGGTCGTCGAGGCGGAATATCGAGAGTAAAATGAGACCATGCCTGGGTCTCGCCCACTCTCTTGTTAGTGTCGTGTCGCAGGATACTAGCCCATTTTGATCCCGGTGCAGTGCAGCACCATGCAGACGGCACTAAAGTTATAGCCGAAGTGAGCCGTTCTCGGGTGTTCTGAAGAAAGTGTGGAAACATCATCACAAGTGTGGGCACCGCCGGAGCAATCTCCATGACGGGAAATGGCGGCCTGCTGCCTCACGGCAAAGCAGGATACGACGTGTATGTATGGGTATGCATTATCCAAGTCTTAGGGCCTCCAGGATTGAGGCCTGGCAAGGGAATGCTTTCGTGGGGCGGGGGACTACTTAGGGGGGGAATGTGGGTGGCTGTCGCTGACGCGATGTGAATGTGAATCCAGGGTAAACAACAGAATTTTTCCTCAGAAACACAGAATGCGACAGACGCGGATCTGATAACTTTAAGGAATGGTGGCGTTTGTGGATGTGGGGGAACGCCCGGAAGGGGGTGTGTGGAAAAAGACGGAAGACGAGGACGCACGGCTTCATGATCCTGGTTCATGCGGAAATTTTCGTCATTTGGCCTTGTCCGAATTCGGAGGCTTCAAGGTTTCACTCAATCAATCAGATAATCTGACAAGATTGCGGAAGGGGTATCGGCGGTGCCAGGGTGCCGCGGGGGTCCTGCGCAAGCAGTATGCGTACGGCGTCGCAGCCAGAGCGGACTCAACAAGCAGGGACCAGGGCATGCTTTGGTGGACATGTTCCGAGGCTCAACGAACCAGGACATCAAGTTATGGAGCAGCACGACACTTCTTAATACCACGGATTAATGGGCGTTCAAATACCTGGCCCTCTCGGAGACAAAGCTCGACGAGCTCTGGTAGGGGCTTGAGGAATCCGACTCGTTCCTGACTGCCTCGTTAAGTGTGGTAGGAATCTACGGAGGACGGAATAACATCGCAATGTCGCAGAGGACCCCGAATGTGATTCCCATCCCTGTTGGGGTGGCAAGAGCAGTCAAAGGTTCCACGCTTTGCCTTTTTCAGATGTTCCTCCTTGGGAGTGCAACTGGCAATGAAGTACCTCGTATGTAGGGAGGAAGGATAGGGGCGGGGCACTAATTACGCTGCATTATGAAGCACGCTCGAGGGATCAATACCCTACTCCGTCTTACGTCCGCCTCTGTCGTCGGCGCTAGAAAGAGAATACCCGCTATAATTGATGTGCTTCAGGAGGGGGTGGACAGTACTCCGTAGAAGAACAATTTGTTCTAGCTGGAGGTATCCGACACAGCTCGACATCAGACCACATCCCGTTCGGAACAAGGTACTTCTCAGCGCTGGAACTTGGCCTGCCGTGACTAGTTCGTTTGTTTGATGTCGATTTGAGGTGTGCTTGGACTTAAACTGATCTAGTTTATCAATCTTTTCGACTTCATCCATCTCGTGATCAAACGTTTAGATCGACTGCACCGATGAGTTGAGCAAAGACTTCGAGCCACAGTTGTTAGTCAGCTCGCCTCATCAGCTGATGCTTGGGCCTGATATTGCCCAACAACCTAAACTACTGCTGGCTCGTGACGGCTAGAAGCCCAACAGAAGCCCGAGAAACTTGGAAGGTTGTTTGGCATGCGCGGGCGACACAGTGATGAGATGTTGTCTCGTGAACGATCGCATCTAGCCTAGCACAAGATACCGGGGCTGAGCCCCAAAAATGCAGAGAAGGCATCCCCTGCAACTCTATGGGGGACAAGCCTTTATTTCCAAGACATCAACCATTAGATTGATGTTTCAGTCCGTGTTCTAGAATTCCCTTTCTTTTCCGAGGACTCAGACACACGAAGAGCTTTGGAGCGCCGCCTTGAAATAAACTGGCTTGTGTCTATCATATGGCTTGGTTCAAGTTCGATCCCCTTCAGTGTCTCGACACCTAATTGAATATACAAGCCATAGGTTCATAGAGGCTTGGCCTACAGCCTGCGGTGCATCACCTGTGTGGGTTGTGCTATCAACGCCTCACCAAGGACGCCGCCGTGCCAGGTTCCAGTTCCAGAGCCTGGTGCTTGCCTGACGACTCTTTCCCCGCTGCCGCCCGCCTACAGATACATACCCGCTGATAGTACCCGTCACTTAGCGCCCAGCTCGATGCTTCCCCAATATTGATTGATACATACAAGAGATATAAGGGATCTGTATAAGTTGCTGGCCGAATGTGTCATCGCCGAGAAGAACTCCACGGCACTGAGTTATTTCTGCCATCTTCTCTGTAAGCAACTTTGTGCCGGAGGCGCCCAAGATCTGCAATGGCAGTACCTCTTCTAATGCTGGTTTCAGTCACATTTCACAAATCTCTGGCAAATCCCACTTCCGGAAGGAGCTGTCCCTGCCTCCCCGCCGTGGGTTCCTGCCCCTGCTGCCTGCGCTGTTATTCCCGCTCGCTCGACAATAGCACCTTCCCTCGCATCTTACGTGGTGCCGCGCCTTCCTTCAGTCTCTGTCAGCAGCAAGCTTCACATTTGTTCGATCGGAGACTTTGTTGCGCGAAATTTGAATCGTCAACCTGCGCGATGTTAGCTGGGCACCTCAATACTACGGACTGGATGCCTTCTCCATTCGTTTCCCTTTAGTCTTACGCCTGTTGACTCGTGGAAGCGCATGCTCATCTTTGATACCCAAATCCCATTTTTCAGCTACTCTGCATACTATTATCCCCTTTCGGCTGTGTCTCGGCTTGAAAGGCTGTCATTGTTGCTTTTTGCCCTCCTTTTATCCAACCTCTCGACCCCTCTCCATGACCCAGCCTCATCGTTCACGACGATACTGCAGCAATCCCCTCGATATCCAAGGCATAGTAATTCCGTATTCGATACCGCTTTCCACCGACGCTCCGTTGGTGTCACCGCTAGGATGGCGAGTTCCAAGGCCAACTACAATACATTCTGCCCCGCCTCCGCTGGGCCACGGGACGAAGATGATAGTGCTTCGGTAGTTTCCAGGAAGAGCAACAAGGGGGCCGTAAACATACCCATCATCAAAAGGATTGTTAGCTCGCATAGCAGACGCGATGATCCTGAGAACATCCCTTTCAACGTCGACGAGGACGAAGGGGAAGCCACAGTCGACGCCGACGCCCAGGAGGGCGTCCAAGAGATCGAGGCCACAGCCTTGACTTGGACGAGAAACGAACTTTTCCTCTCCTACGCTTTGGTCTGGTTCGTCTACTTTCTCGATTCACTGCAACAAAATGCCACAGCCAACTTTACGCCATGGGTTACGAGTTCTTTCCAGATGCACTCGCTCACCCCTCTCACCAACATCCTCAGCAGTCTCATTGGTGGACTCTGGAAGTTGACTCTCGCCAAGATCCTCGACATCTTTGGCCGACCTCAGGGATACGCCATGTCCGTCTTCATCCTCACAATGGGCCTCACGATGATGGCACTCTGTCGAAACGTCGAAACCTACTGCGCAGCCCAGGTCATTTACTGGGTCGGATACAATGGAGTCATTTACAGTCTCAGCATCTTCATTGCCGACACTTCCGCCCTCAAGTCTCGTGGTCTGATGCTTGCCTATGGCAACTCTCCGTATATTATCACGGCTTGGATTGGCGGTCCTATATCCCAGGCATTCCTCGACGGTCCCGGCTTCCGATGGGGATTTGCGACTTTTGCCTTGGCTACGCCGGTCTTGACCCTGCCATTATATTTTCTCCTGATGTCGGTACTCAAACGTGCCAAGGCCAGGGGCCTTATCCCCGAGAGGAAGCACGAGCGGACGTTGAAGGAATCAGTTCAACATTATACTCGTGAATTCGACCTCATTGGCCTGACTCTCGTTACAGTGGGCATTGCTCTATTCCTTCTGGCCTTCAACCTTGCTCCCCTCCAACCCAAGGGTTGGAAATCTCCCCTCATAGTCACGATGCTGGCGGTTGGTCCCGCGCTTGTGACAATTTTCGTCTTTTGGGAGAAGAGCCTACCAAATGACAGGACTTTCATTCCCTTTAACTTCCTCAAGGACCGGACTATTCTTGGCGCGTGCCTACTCTCCTGGGGCCTCTTTACTAGTTTCTACATATGGAACTCGTACTTCTTGTCCTACCTTCAAGTCGTCCACGATCTCAACACCACGGTCTCGAGCTATATTTACTACATCTTCAACATAGGCGGCTGTCTAACCTCTCTTTTCGTCGGCCTAATTATTCGAAGGCGAGGAACTTTCAAGAACTTTGCCCTCTTCGCCGGTATGCCGTGCTATATTGTCGGTGTTGCCCTCATGATTGTGTTTCGACGGGCCGGTAATGAGCTGTACAAGGTGATTCTTCCACAAGTTGTCATCTCCATCGGCAGTGGTGTCCTGCTCATTTGCGAGCAGCTGGCCGCCCAGTCGGCCGTAGACCACCAGCATATAGCAGTCATCTTCGCCGTTCAGGGAGTATTTGCATCGGTTGGTGGTGCCGTTGGCTCCACAATCTCCACATCTATCTGGCAGGTTGTCTTCCGAGGCGAACTTGAGCGTCGCCTTCCCCCAAGTGCACTCCCCGAAATCGACAAGATTTATGCCGACCTCGGAAAGCAGAAGTCTTTTCCCATGGGGTCTTTGGAACGAAATGCTATCAACATCGCTTACACGGCCGCCCAAACCAAGATGCTTATCCCCGCGCTTATGGTGCTGGGGCCTTGCGTCGGCTTCGTCATGATGTGGAGGAATGTTAATGTCAAGACCCTGCGCCAAGTCAAGGGAACCGTCTTCTAAAGGACGGGTCACCATATCTTCTTTTTCTCTTTTATTTCTTCTCTTGTTGCGAGAGAGTTCAACAAGACATACGCCACTGCTAGAGAGACATGCGAGATGTTCAAGGAGCATTGCCACGGATTGCATCTCCTGATAGGAAGGTTATTTTCCTCTCTTCTTGTCGCAACAACGATATACTCATAGATAGAGGTGCATACTCTGGGAGTAGCATTAGATTCGCATTAGGATTCGGCGTTTGGGGTGCATTGAAACTACACACTCAGGGCTATGAACATGTTATCGGGCTTTTTCAATCTTTATAGTAATGGATTCAGTTTCTTGTTCATCGGAAATGGATAGTCTTGGATTAAGACGAAAGTTGAATCTGATATCTAAACTTGTGGATCGTATAAACATGGCGTGTAAAATGTATCGAAATTTACAGAAGAAATTTTCAACAGTACTGATATAAATTAACCCATCCTCCCCTCTCCCATGGCTGTTTTCATGGAACAAGTTTATATGCCAACGCCGAGCCAAAATCATCTGCGATCATCCCCATTTACAGCTTGGAGGGTGTCGCCTGCTCTCTCAGGATCTTATTTCCCAATTGGGCCATCTCATATTTCTTCACCTTTCCGCTTCCAGTTAGCGGCACCATGGCTGGCACACCGTCCCTACCAAGCCAAAACAGCTTGGCTGGCACCTTGTGCCTACCGAGCCTGGAGCGCACCCATTCCCTCACCTCTTCGTCCTCGGGGAAGATGCAATCCTGACGGAGCTCGAGGAAAGCGCCGACAATCTCGCCGTAATGCTTATCGGCGAGGGCAACGACGATGGCGCGGCTGATAGAAGGGTGGGCGATGAGACGCTCCTCAATCTCGAGAGGGTAAATGTTCTCACCGCCGCGGATGATGATGTCCTTGAAGCGGCCGGTGATGGAGCAGTAGCCGTTCTCATCGAAGACGGCCTCGTCTCCCGTATGGAGCCAGAGAAGGCCGGAGGCATCTCGGATCATGACCTCGTTGGTCTTCTCCGAGTTATTCCAGTAGCCCGCCTGGAGCTGGTAGCCGGCGATACACAGTTCCCCCTTCTCGCCGAGGGGTACGATGTTGCCCTCGCGATCGACGATCTTAGCGTGAGCGTGGGGCATCAGCGTCCCCACCGTCGTGAGCCTCAGGTCGATAAGATCGTCCGTGAAGGCGTTGAAGCACGTTGGAGCCGCTTCGGTGAGACCGTAGCTGCTTGTAAACTCCGTCATGCCGAAGATGTTGACCATCTTCTCCATGAGGGATCGCGGCACCGGAGCTCCGGCTACGATGCCCGTGCGGAGGGTGTTGCAGGTGAAGCCCTCGGGCAGTTTTTGGAAGAGCGTGTCGAACATGGAGGGCACGCCGTGGAGGGCCGTGCAGCCCTCCTCGGTGATGGCCTTGATTGTGGCGACGGGGTCGAAGATCTCGGCAGGGTAGACGATCTTGCCGCCGTGCGTGAGGACGGCTAGGAGGCCGAGCACGAGGCCGAAGCAGTGGAAGAGGGGGGGTGGGCAGCAGAGGACATCGGCGGAGGTGAGGCGCATGCGGTCACCAATGAAGCGGGAGTTGTTGACGAGGTTACTAGTTGGGTCGCTGTTAGTTGGTTCTCGGCCGTCAAAAACTGGACATTTGGGTTAACTCACTGGTGGGTAAGCATGGCTGCCTTGGGATGGCCTGTGGTGCCGCTTGTGAATTGGAGGTTGCAGACTTGGTGAGGGAGGACACGCCTCGTGACCTCAAAGAGCTTCTCATGTGATCGGGATCGGCTGGATTTGATGAGTTTGTCGTAGGTAGGGTATTTCCCGCTGGGGCCTCGGAGGATCACGATCTTGGGGTGCTTCACTTCGCTCTCAAGCTGGGCGAGGAGAGGTCCGTTATCGAGCCGGCCAATCTTTTGTGTCGTAAAGAAGACCTTGCATTCTTTTTCATTTTAAACAAGAATCAGCAATTGGTTTTTCAGTAGCTTTTAAAATGACGAAAAGAACTTACCAGAGAACTTAATCGCATACATAGCCTCAGTTGGCGTATAAGTGTTGTTCAAAATGACCAAGATGGCCCCAATCCTCGTCACCGCAAAGAACACCGCAGCGTACTGCTCGCAATTCCCCGCCATAATGCCCACTCTGTCCCCGGAGCCGATGCCCATGGCCAGCAGAGACTGAGCCAGCAGGTAGCTCTGCTGGTTGAGCTCATTGTAGGTCCAGCGGGCTCCCGTCCAGGGGATGACGAGACACTCCTTGCTGCCATTCTGGTACGTCTGGAGCTCGAGAAGTTCACCGAGCGTGAGGTCGACCAGCGGAGGGTCGACGGGACCTTGCAGAATCGAGAGCCGTTGGGCTGGGACAGACGGCTCGGGAAGGATGAGGGACGGTTGGGCGGCCATCGTTACGGCTTAGGAACTGCCCACTTTTGTGTTGTTGTACGACACACTGAGGGGGATGGGGTGGGAGGGGGGTGTTTTCCTTGAGCAAATTGATAATATCTGTTTGTCCTTCCTCGTCTGCTGCGGGGATTGGAATGACGAGAGAGTTGCAACAACGGTAATATAGTGTAATTTTGGAAGATTGGTATCGGACAAGAGTGTGAGGGGGTCCTTTTTGTTTGCAAAAAGCCGCAAGGCAATAAAGAATCTCCAAACAGCTCACGCTTTCTGACGAGCTTTTTTTTTTTCTTCTACCTTAGTCGCGAAATCAATCAATCAATCATGCAAGTCGGCGGCTGTCGGTCATCGAGGAATATGCCCACGGCATCGGGACTAGTTCTTGCGCCTTCTCGACACACCCCCTTCCCCCCCTCTCCAAGTCTTGGAAGCTTAAGAGACAGAGAGACAAAGCAGACAAACCGACCTCGGGAAAGGACTAAAATAGTTACATTATAATAGCTACGAAGTAGAGTACACTACACGAATTAGAGTACAGGGACCATGGGACCGTGGATCTGGGTAGAGGTGTGGACCCTTTCTTCAAGGGATTGAAGAAAAAAAATTTCTAGACCTTCGGGTTTGCCAGCTTGTGAAGTCGATTCCTCGGAGCTTTGAAGGGTTTAGTACGGAATTTCCAGGTAATCTCCACCACGTACCCCCAACGAAAGCAGGAAATGTCCTATCCCGGAGGTACGCAGGAGATGTATTGTAGTGAATTGGCCTGTCATTGAGAAGAGGGGGCTTTTGATTGACCTTGGAAGAAGGTGTACGAGGGAGACAAGAGCCGTCCAGACTCTGGCTGCCATCGGGTTCCTTGGAAGCTAGTCTAGTGAGAAGCTCTCCTGTCCCTCTTGAAGATTTTGGTGGGGTGGAGATTTTTCCTTTTTTTGCTCCTTCCCTTTTTCGCTCATTATCTAATCTGATGAGATGATCTGATAAGATGAGCATGTCTGACCCTGGCAAGCCACCGTTTTGTGGGTCAAGGGTGGTTACGGTGCTCTGCCGACATCGGGGATATGAGATCAAGGCCTCTTCCTTGTTGTCATTGTTGACATCAATCAATTTCACCCCCACCCCAAGGCCTCTCTTGCTCTTGTGGAAACCCGCTTTCTCAATCTGTCTCATTTTTCCCTTATTACAGGGGTACTATTGAGGGCGCTAATGCCTTCTTACCGTCGACCTCCCCGTCGCCACTGTCGAGCAGTGGTATCGGTACACCCACGCAACCCTCTGCTGGTCTACACTACACTAGTTAGGCCTCCACGCGCCGAGGGGAAATAGTGTCGCAATGGTCTGTCTATGACATGGGTGGCCTTCACATTCTAGGACCGATGGCACCAGGGCACAACATCAAGACCGGTCTTGGATTAGTGCAGGTCTGGCTGGTGCGATGAAGAGTCCTTCTCCCCACGAGTTGAGAACTCCTCGAAGATCTCCTGTGACTTGAGCGCATTTCTTTGGGATACTCCTAGGGTTCCATCGATTCGTGCTGTCAACAGTTTCTTCATACGCTTTTCCGCCTACGGCTATGATCGTCGAGATCACCTCCTAGCTCTGTCTGACAGCTGCCTGCTGTCAAGCTTTTTCCATGCATTTGGAGAGACCCTCCTTGCAGAGAATTGCCCAAGACCCCCAACTATCCAAGTGACCCAAAATATTGAGGGGAAAAAGAAGGGCCAGAAAAAAACAAGGTCCAGAAACAGGATACACGGCAGCTCGAATCTTGTGTTTGCTTAACCAAAATCATCGATCCTTGCTCATTTTACTTTGCCTTGTGAGGTTGCCGAGTCTGGAGTACGAAGCGGGCTAGGGTGGTCTCCTTCACTCAAAGAACACTACGTGAACATGACATACTAGAACCTCGTTGGCTAGGGACGAGGGCATATCGATTTTCAGATAAATTACTTTTCTCTTCTAATTTGGATTCAACGGTTAATACTTGGTATGATGCAACGTCGTTTAATTTTATGCAAATAGATATTCCGCAGATGACGACGACGCCATGTATAAAACCTTGGCATGGTTGTTTGTCAAAAGAGTGTCTTTGCTTCCTCAAATAAGGACATCCAAACAGCTCGTTTTGGTGTTGAACGATCGAACTCACGGGTCTAGCATCCCGCGTCACTTTTGAACATTCATAACTTGAGACTTTTGTGTGCAGCACACAAGCTGGGATTGGGTCTTGAGATCATCACCCGAGGAGGAATAATCTCCAGGCCAAGCTGCAAGTAATCGGAGACTATTCCCAAAATGGAAGAATCGACGACCACGACACCCCACGATTCATCAAATTCTTTTCCATGGCACCAGACAGAACCACCTTCACCTTCACCACTTTCACCACCATCACTCCGACAAGGCACTGAGTGGGTAGTGGGAAGGTGTGACCCATGGATAGCTTTGTACCTCGTAGCTAATGGATATGCACGGAAGACCGGGCAGACCGCATTTCGTGGCGTCTCCCATGCGTCCAGTCCCCAGCGAGTAGCGGCGTGTCTGTTTCCAAAGAGGGCAAGTTGGAAGATACCCACCTCCGGACAAGCTGCCCTTTTGACGAAGTACGAAGGGCACAGAAGTCGTGCCATCAATGTCATGAAAGTTCTGGACAACCATGTCGTTCTTCCCTGGTCCACCACCCGCCCGCGCATGCTTGTAAGGTTGATGTAACCTCGGACTGCAATGTCTGCAAATTCGGCACTTCGCCGCCCTGTAGGGGGGACCACGAACTGTGTGCTCGACGCAACCGAGAGCCAAAATATCACTCTTCGCTTGCGAGTCTAAACACAAAATGTGCCAGATGCGACCCTTTCGCCATCTCCTCCTTCCAATGAGACACGCCCGGATGAGATATTACGCGATTTTTATTTGACCAGGTATCATGAGGGGAAGAAAGAGTTTCCCAGTTCCCAGCATCTCGAGCGCTTCGAATGCTACCCGCCCCCAAGCTGCTGGCCGTTTTGAGAGTGATGGATTGATTGATGTGAGTCTTGTCTCCCCACTTGCACCCTAATTCTTAAATGACCCACCGACTTCCAGTTCCGGAGCATTACATACAATCTGGCCCAGTCGCCGAAGCTTCCTTCACCATTCATGTCGTGGAGTGCGGTTGCAGCGTATGGGTAGTGTAGTGTACGCTACTTCGTTCTTGATAGAGCCCACTAACACGGAAAGGTCGGTCGCAGCCCAATGGCACGCTACTTTAGTGAAAATGGATCAAATTTGATTGATACGTGATTATTTTCTCTCCCTCGTACCAGGTTATGGCTCTAAGCTCTATTTGGATGTCGAGGAAGAGTCGGCATGGGGTTTAGTCTGTTCCTGCAGCACCTTAAGCCGCCCATACACGAAACGACACCAGGTTATTCCATTCCTTTGAAGTTGAGTCGTGAGTCGAGAACGTGTGCTAGTTTCGGGCCATCCAAACAAAACCTTGGAAACAAACTGCAAACTCCGAAGGACTCGACGGCTAAGAAGCAAGATACGGCGCAGATCCGCTGTTAAGAGTCGATTTAGTGCCGTTTCGAGCACTGGTCTCGGCTGTTGCTGTCATTAAGAGATTGATCAATCCATTATCAATCGAATCCATTACAAAGTACGAAGTAGAAGTACACTACTACGTCAAGATGCTTGGGGAGATCAGATCTTCAACTTTAACACATCTACTTTGTACGTCGTAGTACTCAATTTTCCACCGCACCTGCCTAGACTCTCTCGGTACACCAAAGTATATTTCATACTCGCGAGGTTCAATGGTACAACCCGGTACCGTATTATTATTATTATTTTTTTTCCTCTTATTCTTCCTTTCTTTTCCCTTCCTCACGTCCTCCTTCCAGAATGTTTACGCAGTCTTGTACACTACAACAAGGGAGGAGCAGGTGGATATTGCCTGTGCTCCGAGGGCAAGTGCCCCCTCTGGGTCCCTCTGGGTCGGGAAACTACATTGTGGTCTCACCATTCCAGGGCACTATTTGCCCGACTAGTTTCTTCTCCGCGCATCAAATGTTAACTCGATGCCGTCATATATGATGCTGCCATACACTACTACACACCCCCAGCTACCAGGCTGCATCAACCCTACTTTGTCGTGTCAAGATGTCTTTCTTGACCAGGTTTGACCTAGCCCACTCGTTCCGCAATCCCGCACTCCCCCCGTGTTTCTTTTGTCCTTATGGGCTTTGCTGCTTCTAATCTGTGGAATCGTCCCGCCACGCTGTCGCCTCTTATCTAATCGCTCCCACATCGCTCGAAGTCTGCGATCTGCGAAGTATGCCGACTAGTCCGGCTTGGAGGCATCCCGGTCGCCATCGCGCCTGGACAGCTCCCCTTGATCATATTTCACCTGCCGTCCGGACAAGACCCATATACTGCTTATCCTTCGATCCCTGGACGGGAATATTTGGGCCGCCGAAGGGCGCCCATCCGGGAGCGGGCTACGGCGGCGTGGGAGCTGTGTCATTCGTGAGTACTTCGTAGCCCGTCGCACAGAGCGTGCCTGGGTCTAATACAAAGTACGAGGTACTCGACGAGTCTGCCGAAGTCGGGACTTGCCACTTGCTCCGATCTTCCAAGGGACTGGGGAATACGCCGTGGAGATTAAACCATCTAATCTACAGTAGCTTTTCACAGCATACGACTATTACACCACTCCTTTCGACCCGGTTCATGTTTTCCTTGCGCTACGCTGACCTTTCCACGCCACTCACTCCCAGGATAGCCCGTCCCTTAGGTCCGCCTCGAGTCGTTTCAAAGGCCAAAGGAGAACACAGGGTAGCAGTGCTATCCGTTATTCCCACCAAAACACTCCCCAATGCCCGTATTACCCACCCTTGTTGAAGACCAAAATAGTCAGATACAGGACGCTACTGTCCTGCATTCCCAGTTCCACTTCAAGGACCCCATGTGCACACTTTCGTGATCCACCCCCACCCAAGCCCAAGGCGCTTTAGAAAAGTTTCCCC